AGTTGCAAGTAGTGCAAGAAGATATATAGTCTTGAAGAGTAGTCCTTAGACTAGGCCAGTAGAACTTTCTTGTTAGAAGTTCATAAGTTTTTGCAAAGCCAAAGTGCCCTGCAGCTGGAGCATCATGGAACTGCTGTAGGAGGTGTAGCTGTAATCGTTTATCCCTTGGGACATAGATATAGTTCTTGAATAAGAGAAGTCCATGCTGATTTTTTGAGAAATTCTGTAGTCCAACTTTCTCAAGAGAGGAACCTTTCTTCTGGAGGTATTCCAAAGTTCTTTTCGCAAAGGGATCATGGTTGTAAGCATCTTTGAATGCTTTAAGAAGTGTTGCTGAGGGTGTATAGTCTTTAAAGGTCTCTGGTTCCTGAGAAGAGGTAATGGGGGCAACTTGGTCTTGAGGGGATAAGTTTACCCCTAAGTCCTCTGTAGTACTAGGGTTGCTTAAAGATGCTGCTATAAGCTTTGCTGAGTCTAGCAGAGCCTTTGTATTGCTAGTTTTAGCAGAATCTTGGTAGTCATGTCTTCTTGAGAGGAGATCTGCTCTTTGATTCTTGGCCCCTGAGACATGTTTTATAACAAAGTCAAAACCTCCTAGTTGTTCAGACCACCTTGCTTGTCGTCTATTGAGCTGTTTAGTGGTTGTAAAGGTCAAGAGGTTTGAATGGTCACTGTAAATAGTGATAGGATAGTTTGCCCCTTCAAGGTAGCATCTCCAATGCTTTAGAGAACATACTATGGCAAGCAGTTCCTTGTCTGTAATGGGATAGTTTTGTTCAGCTGCTGATAGCTTTCTTGAGTAAAATGCCACAGGCTGTAGCTCTTCTTGTTTGTCTTTTGGAGCTTGGTATAAGATTCCAGAAATAGCAAAATCTGAGGCATCTGTCTCAAGAGTGGCAGGTTTCAAGGGGTTAAAGTGTAGTAACATTTTCCCTTCTTTAAATTCTCCTTTAAGAGCATCGAAAGCATCTTGCTGTGTCTTATCCCAGTGATACAAAGTGTCCTTGTGAAGTAATTGAGTAAGGGGTAAAGCCAAGGATGTATATCTTGGTATAAACCTCCTGTAATAGTTGGCAAACCCAAGGAAAGACTGAACCTCTTTAATGCTGGAAGGAATAGGCCACGTTTGTACTGCTTTTGTCTTTTCAGGGTCCATCTGAATGCCTTCTGTTGAAATTCTATGTCCCAAGAAATCAACTTGAGACATATGGAAAAGACATTTCTCAAGTTTGCAAAAGAGTTGTGCTTGAGATAGCTTCTCTAAGACTTGTCTAACATGTAGAACATGCTCTTGAGTGTCTAAAGAGTATATAAGAATGTCGTCTAAGTAGACAACAACAAAGATATCCAAGTAAGGTCTTAGAATATCATTCATGAGAGCTTGGAAAGAAGCAGGTGCATTGGCAAGCCCAAAAGGCATTACCTGGTATTCAAAATGACCATAGCGTGTTCTGAATGCTGTCTTCCACTCATCATCTTCCTTGATGCGTATCAGGTTATAAGCTCCCCTGAGATCTAACTTGGTAAAGATCTTTGCTGAAGAGAGCCTATCCATGAGCTCAGGGATAAGGGGTAAAGCATATCTGTTTTTAACAGTGACTGCATTAAGGCCCCTATAATCAACACAGAGACGCAAGGAGCCATCTTTCTTCTTGACAAAGAGAATAGGAGCTCCTGCTGGTGAGGAAGAAGGTCTGATAAAGCCAGAACTAAGGTTCTCATCTAGGTATTCTCTGAGAGTTTTCAGCTCTAATTCAGATAGAGAGTAGATAGGGCCGTAGGGAGGCATTGAGCCTTCTGCGAGTGGTATCTCATGGTCATAAGGCTGGTGCTTTGGCAGAATTGATGCCTTTGCCTTGTCAAAAAGATGTTGGTAGTCTTGGTATGCTAAAGGCAAAATGACCTCCTGAGATGATTTCTCCAAATCTGAAGTAGCTGCTATCTCCAGGACAGGTTGGAAAGGTTTAACCCATATCAGAGATGATATATCGTCCATAGTTTGGTCAAAATCCTTGATCTGGGACAAGTCTGAGTCTTGGACCTGAATAGGGGTAACTGAGGCTTGAAGGGTTTTTTCAGTATTGAGCTCCGGATTTGAGCTAAACCCAAGCGATAAATGCTTCCAATTGATAGTTGGATCATGCCTTTGAAGCCATGGAAGACCTAGGATGACTGGGTACTTCATTGGTATAACATCTAAAGAGATGGTGTCTGAAAATGTTGATTTTCCTAGGGGAATCTCAAGTTTGAGTACTGGGGTGTTGCAGGTAATGGAACCTGAACTGATAGGAGTTCCATCAATGACTCGGAGCAACTCTGGAGTGCGTTTGGGAATTGTAGGTAACTGGTGTGTCAAGATGAGGTCTTGAGATATAAAGTTGCCTGTTGCCCCTGAGTCTATCATAGCCCTTGTAGATAACACCTGTTGTTTGAAATGGAATTGAATAGGGATTAACAGGTGTGTGAAACTCTGAGAAAGCACCATCGACACATCTTTGTTGTCTAGGGGAGAAGTTGTAGTCTCAGTTGAAGTTGTGCCTGGTGGGGATTTTTCAAGTTTTTTAGGAATAGCAGCTGTGACTGTGTCTGAGGCTGCTATATGTTTTGAATCAGCACCCCCCCGTGCTGAATAGCACTCCTGAATTCTGTGCCCCCCTTTGCCACAGTATAAACAAAGGTTGGTTGTCCATTCTGTGTTTTCTTTCTTGAGGAGTAAGTTTACCCCTTTTCAGTTTTTGAGGGCTTCTTGTAGGCTGAGGTGCTGGATTTGCTGTAGATCTCTTTATAGAGGCGTCTAAGTCCATAGATTCAGGTGCTGAGTCCTTAGCAGTTGGTGTAGAGGTGTAATTGTTGAAATTTCTTGTTGGATGCCAGTCTTGGTTCTTCTCCTTTCTTCTTTCAAAAAGCCTATCATCAAGTCTGACAGCTTTCTCTATAAGCATTTGAAGTGTTGTAGGGCGTTCTTCTTTGCTGAGTTTATCCTTAATAGAGCTCTTGAGCCCTTGGTAGTAAGTGAAGACTAAGGCTTCTTCATTCCAAGTCAAGTGAGAAGTGATTCTCCTAAATTCTGTTGTATACTGAGCAGCAGAGGTCTTTTGACATAGCTTCTGTAGCTCTCTTTCTGCTGTAGCAGTTTCGTTGATGTCTCCAAAGGTCCTGGTAAGTTCCTCTTGAAACTGGTCATAAGAGGTAATCAAATGTGTAGTGATATTTTGGTTGTTGCCACTAAGTCTTCTAAGATATGGCTCAAAGAAGTTGAATGCAGATCCACGAAGGTAGCTGGCAGCGAAATATATCTTCTGAATATCTGAGGTGAACTGATGAGGCCTGAGGGTGAAGTAGATGTCCAGTTGCATAAGAAATCCCTTCAACTTCCTCCTGTCTCCATGGTATAAATATGGTGTTTGCACTTTAGGAAGTGCACCTGGGGTACCCGACATAGCCAGAGGAGCTGTGGGAAGCTCTGTATGATGTGTCTGAGTTGAGGATTGTGTTGCTGAAGTGTTGGCTTGAAAGGTGTTTTCCAAATTCTCAAGTTTGTTTGCTATATTTTGTATAAAGGCAAACAGTTGTTGCATCTGCTGTTCAGCAGTAGTTGTAGGAGCTTGGTCGTCCTCCATTGTAGTATCGAAGTGCTGCTATAGAAATAGTTGAAGCTTGAAGCAGACAAGGTGTAATGGTGGGTGCACCAGATGTGAGAATCTAGCCACCCAAGGAAGGGATGAATTTACTAAGACAACACACTGTCTTAGAAAACAGAGCCAAAGGGTCGTAGCTTAGACTATTCCACAACGCAGCAATCAGGTGTGTGATGTACTGAAGTGGTTCAGACAAGTTGCAACAAATGTTGAGTCTGGGAACTCAGGGGTAAGTCAGAGGTTAACACCTATCATACACTTGATTGCTGCATTGTGGAATAGTCTAAGCTCCAACCCTTTGGCTCTGTTTCCTAAGACAGTGTGTTGTCTTAGTAAAATCACCCCTTCCTTGGGTGGCTAGATTCTCACATCTGGTGCACCCACCATTACACAATGGTTTTGTTACAATGGTCACGGAGGTCAAGAAGCCAGTCCAGAGAATAATAAGCTAGATTGAATCTAAAGAGAGAAGAAGAAGAAGAAGGAAGGAAGGTGAGGCTATTCCTCATAATATACAGTTGTCCACTTAGCAGTTGTAGCCTTGGTGGCTAAGGCTGCACCTGTAACAACCGTAACAACCGTAAGCTATAATCGTAACAGGTTTGCTCGAACCTTTCTGTAATTTCTTGTAGTATTTGGTAACTAGGTGTATATCCGCTACTTGTTAGCTCTCTAACCCACTTTAAGAGTGTTTCTTCTTGCATTTTTGATAATAGTTGTTGTTTTTGACGTGCTTCTACACATATGAGGCCTCCATTCATATGACAACAGATAGATTGTTCTAGGAGGTTAAGTGCTTTAGCAGCTGTGTACACTGACTTATATTGCTTTGAATGAATAGCTAATATAGCTTGATCTATTGCAATATTATGCTCTTGAGCTTCTATGCTCTTTTGACGTACTATAATAGAGTTAGGTAGGTAAGATGGTAAGTTTGATAGGGCAAGCACCACACATACAAACAAACTAAACCACAAACATGACTAGAATCACAAACAATGCCATATGATGCACTTGAAACTTGCTTCCTTCCTTTGTCCATTTAGTCTATAGCACTTGACTCATGAATAACAAGGGAGAGGTATAAAATATCATACTGTAACAGTAAATACCATACTACCACATTACTACCCCCAAAATTACCATAAATACCATAAATACTAAAAACAATAAAAAAACAAATTATTTTTTCCAAAAAACCAAAAAATATATAATAGATATGACGCTCAACCTTCGTTTAAGCTCGCCGTGCTGCCCTCCCCACCCCGCCTGTCCGCCACCACCTTCCGCCACCACCCACCCGGCCAACGGCAAGCCCCCTCCCGTCCATCGTCTGCGTTCCCTGCGAAATCGCCCTCCGTACTCCTACTCTAGTAACTCCCATAACTGCACCCAAACTCTTTTTTTTTGGACTTTCACCACGTAGATCCCATCCCCTTCCCTCCACAACAATCCCAGTCCGAGTCGCTGAGGGCGAAAAAGAGGAAAGAAGAAGCAAAGTCCCAGCCTGGCGCTCACTTTCTCTACACTCCCTCGATCGACGTTGACACAAACGGTGCCGCCCTCTCGCTCAACGTCCCCCCGTCGACCCCCTGCCGGCCCTGACGCGCCTCACTCTCGATACCAAGACAGTGACGCAATACGAGCTCAACTGCCGCCGCCGACGTTGCCCTGCACGCACGTCCTGTTCCCCCCGCCGCCGCGCTCACCTTTGCCAGGGCGCCCCTCCCCGAGGGAGCAAGCACTTCAAAGCAGCCTACACGATTTAGCCAGCCTGCAGCACCACCGCGTCGGAATCTGCGATCGCCGGGCCGGTTCGCAGTCTGTTTGCTTTACGCCCCCACGCAGACCGGCAGTTATGCTGGGGTCAAACGCGCCGAAACACGATGGTATGTTCGCGACAACCCTGGTGATTCCCTGGTCGGGCGATCAAGCTGCGGAAGGACGCCCTCTGCTCAGGCAGCAGAGACACGGGCAGCTTCTCGCCACTGCCTCCTCCCAATCTCCCAATACCCCGGCTAACTAACTGTCCTAGGCGACGACGTATATCCACGATCCCCAGAGCGAGGGAGAAGAGGCAACACCCCCGAGTACGCAGACCACGATACGAATACCCTCACACATACCAATAGTCTCAACCTACCGAAGAACCGCAGCACCAACAACCTCCTCTCCCAGGGCACTGCGAACAAGGACAAGGGCAGGATACGCTTTTCCTTCGATGGTGGGGCCCGCGACTACGATACCCTTTCCAGGTGAGCTTTAACTCGGCTATGGACAGACGCGGTAGTGGTGGGGTTGATGCTATATCCATCACTGGCACAGTGGTTAAGGATTTTACGAATTATGGTAATTGACGGTTTTAAATCCAGGTCTTCCGTTATGACAGACCATGAGCACGGCCTAGGTGCCTCGGGCCTAAGACGAATTCGCCAGCAACCTCCTTCCCGAATTGCAACTATATCCTCTGCGAGCTCCTCTCGGGCTCCCTCGGTGGGGCCACGGACTGCACCGATTATCACTACGACGCACTCAGAGTCTCGAAAGAGCTCGTATGGTGCCCTGTCGACTGCCCCATCTTCGCCAACGATGAACTTCACGGAAGATCTTACGAGATTCCCCTCGGAGTCGCTACACTCCTTCTCCTTCGCCCACCAGGCGACCGAAGATTTTATGCACAACCGCCAGAATGTGCTGAAGAGGTCGATAGAGTTTATGACAAAATCTATAAGTCGACATGGAGGATCTCAGGTTTCGCTTGCCAGCGTGACACCGCGCACACTGGGGGACCAGGATTCCCAGGGCGGGTTAGACTCTGAAGCAAGGGCGAAGGCTCCGAGGTCAGATGAGGCGGGAGAGATGAATGGGTTTGGTTTCACGGGCGGACTGGTGTCAAGTCCCTCGCCTCAGTTAGATAGCGACAATGTGTTTGAAAAGAGCTATGGTCAGCGCTCAGAGAGTCCAGATGAGATGGCTCCCTTGTCGCCAACACACTCGAGGAGGTCCCAGCAGGAGGTCAGCGCTGTGGCACCGTCGGACGGATATTCGGACGTACTTTCGAGGACGACTACCGGCGAAAGCTTTTCGACGGATGTCTTTACCGCGCCAGCACCTGTTAGACCTGGCTACCTGCGATCATTCACCGACACAACTCCATCGAGGTTACGAAGCACTGTGGTTGACGCCATGGTCCAGCAGCCGTACCTTGCAAACGACAAATATGGCAATGGAAGGATGCTCTCGCCACCCCTACCCCAAGGCGCTTTTAATGCCCCTCAGCAGCCGCCATTGATTTCACCTTATCCCGATGCACAGCAGCGGTCTCATTACGGAATTTCACCGACGTACGGATTAAGCGAATCTCACGTTGGCGGCGCTGTCCATGGTCATTCAAATCGATGGACGCCAGCGGCTCAAGCCATCTTCACCACCCAGTCTCAGGCGCCATGGACGATTCTGGCTGCAAACGATCTCGCCTGCCTTGTTTTTGGGGTTACGAATGCAGAGGTCAGGAAGATGGGCATTATGGAGGTGGTTAGAGAGGAGCGTAGGGCTTGGCTAGAGGAGAAGTTGGCGCAGCCGGGATCAGAAGCAGAGCATAAGAATCGGCAGGCGTCTAATGCAAACAACCAGCAGGATAGCCCGAGGTCAACTACGTCATTTTTGCTGGGGAGAGGTGGCATTACGGCGGCACTACTGAACAAACCTTCATCTAGACAGGTTAAAGAGAGCCGAAGGACTCAGACAGATGATGGTGCCGGATCATCCGTCGCTGCTGCTCGGAAGCAGGCGGGTAACATTAGGCTCAACCACGCGAACAACAAGTCCAGAGGTGTCCTACTATGTGGCGATGTCGTTCCCATCCAGAAGCGGAACGGCCACACCGGATCTGCCAGTCTGTGGGTCAAAGAGAAGAAGGGCGGCTTGATCTGGGTCCTAGAAGAAATCCACGAAGACGTCGCCATCCTCCGCGTAGACAGCGACGGAGTAGTGACCGGAGTTGAAGGCCTCTCCGTGCCAATATGGGGCGAATCGCTAGCGCAGCCAGGCGTCGACATTGGGACTCTCATCCCCCGGATACCCCGGCAGGGCATCAATCCCAGGACCGGCGCACTAGACTATGCCGAGGTCACCAAGCAGCGGTTTTTCACAGCGCGAAACAACAATTCCGCGAACGTTCCGGTGGCGATTGAGAGGGTGCCTGGTGGCACGGATCTTCGGGTCTCGAGCTTCCCACATATCGCGGGAATCGTCGTGCTGTCCGCCGATACGCTACAGATCACTAGCGCTAACTCTGTCTTCTGCGCTGCGCTGTTTGGCCAGGATCACCCGGATCGCTTGCACATCACTGACTTGATCCCGGGCTTCGATCGCATCCTGAAGATCCTCACCGAGGACGATAATATCCAGCTAGTCGACGGCAGCGTGGTGCCTGAGCAGAGTTTCCGCCGCGCTCGGGCATTTGCCGCGCTGCAAGACGGAAAAGGCGACGCGGCAGCGTATTTCCTGCGACCTGATGGTATCGCAGCGAAACATCGCGATGGCTCAGAGATCAAAATTGACCTGCAGATGCGCGTCGTGAAGAGCGAGAAGCAGACCCAGATAGACGAGCACGTGATCCTCGAGGAAGGGGAAGAGTATATCCGGCGCTCGGAAGTCGTTTACGCGGTCTGGATCACGTACTCGCGACATGTCCACGCGGGTCAGCAGGCAGCGTCCAGTGCGACGACGCCAAGGCTGAGCGACACCTCGTCGCCGCTGCACCAGCCGTCGCCGGGACAGACTCAGGTTTCCTCGCCTGTCGATATGGATTCCTCTGATGAACCGGTGAGGGAGACTTCGCACGCCTCAAGTCTGGCGCAGCAGCTTAAGGAGGCGGCGAGGAAGACTACGGATAAACTCATTAGTCGCACTTCTACCGCTTCCCCGCCTAGCACGGCTGTGGCGCCGCCCCCGCCCTCTGCGCGCCCGGTGAAGAAAACTATCAACGACTTCGTTATCCTGGAAGATATGGGACAGGGCGCGTACGGGCAGGTTAAGCTAGCGAGGAATAAACACACCAACGCCAAAGTCGTCCTCAAATTCGTCACCAAACGCCGCATCCTCGTCGACACCTGGACGCGTGACCGCCGTCTCGGCACCGTCCCGCTGGAGATCCACGTCCTCGACTACCTGCGCCGCAACGGCCTCTCCCACCCCAACATAGTAGCGATGCACGATTTCTTCGAGGACGACGTGAACTACTACATTGAGATGCTTCCCCACGGGCTGCCGGGCATGGATCTGTTCGATTACATTGAGTTGCGGGTGAATATGGAGGAGGCGGAGTGTCGGGGGATTTTTGCGCAGGTGGCGAGGGCGGTGGGGCATCTGCATGGGACGGCGGCGGTGGTGCATAGGGATATTAAGGATGAGAATGTGGTGTTGGATGGGGAGGGGACGGTGAGGTTAATTGATTTTGGGAGTGCGGCGTATATCAAAAATGGGCCGTTTGATGTTTTTGTGGGGACGATTGGTGAGTCTCCCTTGCAATTCTCCCCCAATTTACCCCTCTCATGATCGGACACGGATGGACGAATAGAGTACTGACCCCTTCACAGACTACGCAGCCCCCGAAGTCCTAGCCGGCCGACCATACGGCGGCAAAGAGCAAGACGTCTGGGCTCTCGGCATCCTGCTGTACACCATCATATACAAGGAGAACCCCTTCTACAGCATCGACGAGATCATGGACCGCGATCTGCGCGTGCCGTATGTGATGAGCGAGCCGAGCATCGATTTGATCCGCAAGATGCTGGATAGAGATGTCGCGAAGAGGGTGAAGATTGAGCAGGTGCTGGAGCATCCTTGGTTGGAAGAGGAGGAAGGTGGGGGGTGAGCTGGGAATGGGAATGATGAATGTGTTTACGTGAGAGGGGGAGGGGGGGAGGGATATGATATACCGATACTGAGCGGGAGCGCAAATACACGCGCGGATGTATGAGATGAGACAGATGAGATACCCGAATAGACAGCGAACACAGCAAGCGAAACGCAGCGACAGAAGCACGAACAAACGAGCGAGAGACTGGATTGGATACCAACGCAACATATTATTGAACTTACAACAGCTGGTCCACCTTACCTTACCGACCAGCGCGAGGGTGAGAGGGTGGCCCAGGCGCAAGAAGGGGTGTGCATGATTGGACCACGCCGCGTGGGCTGGGTGGTATGCAGGGATAGATGGACTGCCTGTGCTGCGGCTGGGCTGGCTGGGGGACTGTGGCTGCCTCCTCAGAGCAGGGTGTGCATGGCGCGGCCGGGGCTGGTGGGGGAAGACGCTGGAAGAGGCGTACCTACGGACGCAGGACGGACGCAGGGGCCCTGTGGTGGGGAAGGCCCTGGGGAAGGGGGTGTATATAGAACCTTTGTAGACGGGAGAATGAAAGTTGAGAACATTTATCACATTTTCTGCTTCTGTCATGCGGTGCTGTGAAGGCTGGTGAGAGGTATAGGAGAACGGAGGAAGAGGAGCCATAGGCACAAGCAGACAGGTGGGATATCCGGGGTGAGAGAGAAGGAAGCTTGATTTGTCAGGGGAGGGATATGTCGGCAGCCACCCACCGCCGCCGACGGGCGTTTGTGCCTGCAGCTGCAGAATCTATCTACACACAACGCCAAAGCGGGATGGCGTGCCAGCTATCCATACCATACTGTATTGTGACAAGCGGATACTATAAGGTATGGGCTTTGCTTTGGTAATGGGACGGTGACGACATGGATGGGTGATGACATGTGCTCTGTAAGCAAGTACGATTAGTAAACCACCTTTACATAACCCCGATGCCCCTTCATAACTCAAGTTTATGCATCTACAGGGTTACATAACCCCAACCGAACGCCAGCGGTGGAGCCGAGCGGAGGACGGAGGACGGAGGACGGAGGACGGAGTTTATCCTTTCGCGCCCACGAGCAACCACGCGACGAGCGACGGAGTATGGTTAGCGAGGTGGGGCGCGGGTCGCTTGGGCGGGTAGGTACGTACGTAGACTATCTGGGGATGTCTTACTGTAGGGCTGAGATATTTGATACGATGGATGGATGCGATGATCTTCACAACCAGGCGACGACAACGAGGCGGTGAAGTGAAGTACCCCATGATGCAGACGATATGATACATCACCCGTCGGTGAGTGCGAGACGAGAGACCCCCTTTCTTGGGCACCACGCGGCACAGAAACATCAGAGACAGAAAACAGAGACAGGAACAGAGGCAGGAACAGACACAGGACAGACACAGGAACAGAGGCAGGAACAGAGGCAGGAACAGAGGCAGGACAGAGACAGGAACAGACACAGGACAGACACAGGAACAGACACAGGACAGACACAGGACAGACAGGAACAGAGGCAGGAACAGACACAGGACAGACACAGGAACAGAGGCAGGAACGGACACAGGACAGACACAGGAACAGATGCAGGAACAGACACAGACACAGGACAACACATAGAAGCTGGGTGACACCCCATGAGACCTAACAGATTATGGAAGATGGAAGCGAGACCTCAGACATTTGTCGCGACATCTATCGCGAGATCACAACCTAGAACAGCAACCAGCTCGCGCGGTCGGCGCTTTCGGACCCTCGTATGTGAGGGCGGGTGGTGACTCGCCGGTACGGCGTGGGATTGGGTTGGGTTGGGGAAGCGAGGTACAGAAAGACAAGGGAAGCAAGAGTGACAGGTGGAGGGTGACGCATCGGCGAGTCAGGCAGCGGCTAGGATTATCTCCTGGTTGTCTTGGTGGGAGTCCCGCTATAATACAGTAGTATTGTACTGTGCGGCGATTCCGTCGCGAGGTGTCCCCCCTTCGCCTCGGGCCCGAAACAACAATCCAGCCGAGAAACGCGACCCCAAGACATCCGCCTCGACCTAAGACATCCGCCTCGACCCCAAGACATCCGCCTCGACCCCAAGACATCCGCCTCGACCTAAGACATCCGCCTCGACCCCAAGACATCCGCCTCGACCCCAAGACATCCGCCTCGACCTAAGACATCCGCCTCGACCCCAAGACATCCGCCTCGACCCCAAGACATCCGCCTCGACCCCAAGACATCCGCCTCGTGCGCGAGTGTTGGTGTTGGTGCCTTGGGGGGCTTGCGCGTGCGTATGGCGGAGCGAGGGCGATCCGTGCAGTACAGGTGCCGTAGTTTATTTTATATTTTTATACGTTTTGTGTTGGGGGCAGTACTCTACCATCCCCCCGCACACACTGCCACAAAGAGCTGCATAGCCCATCCCCATCCCGTCCGTCCCTTCACCAGCCGTCACGTGTAGGCCTGCGCAACAGGCAAGCGCAACAGGGAAGCGAGGTGTGGGGTGCGATGAGATGAGATGAGATGAGATGACATGACATGACATGACATGACATGACATGACATGACATGACATGACATGACATGACATGACATGACATGATATGAGATTAGATGAGGTGAGATGTGAGCGAGACGTGGGGGTTCAGTCAGATGGCGTCAGTGACTGACTGACTAACAGGCGGAAGGAAATGGGATCGGATGGAACGGTGGTGGGTGTGGAATGTGACGGGATTGAGCAAGATAGAGCATGTATGTGTGTTTCGTTTCGGCGTTAGAAGCATAACGTTAAGAGCGAGGGGACTCCTGTACCTGTACGGCGTATTCCGTATTCCGTATTCCGTACCAGGAGAGTGAGATTGGGGGGGTATTCGGGCCGTACGGCTGCAAATTAAGGTACCAAGGCAGCAGATGGATTGGCAGGGGCGAGAGTGACTGTACCCGTCTAGAAATCCGAGACTGCCGACCTAGACAAGGTACATGCGAAGCGCTGGTACGGACCAGACGGCTTTTACGGACTTACCTTAGTTCTGTAGTCTGTAGTCTGTAGTCTAGTCTGTAGTCTAGTCTGTAGTCTGTAGTCTGTAGTCTGTAGTCTGTAGTCTGTAGTCTGTAGTCTGTAGTCTGTAGTCTGTAGTCTGAGTCTGTAGTCTGTAGTCTGTAGTCTGTAGTCTGAGTCTGTAGTCTGTAGTCTGTAGTCTCTAGTCTGTAGTCTCTAGCTGTAGTCTCTAGCTGTAGTCTCTAGTTGTAGTCTCTAGTCTCTATCTAGTCTCTAGTCTCTAGTCTCTACCTGTAGTCTCTAGTCTCTATCTAGTCTCGAGTCACATACTGTACTTGCGAGCTGGGCACTGTTGGAACTAGAACTATGGGGGGGAAAAAAAAAAAACAATGGATCGCGGCTCCGGGCATGAGCATAACGGAGGGGCGGCCAACAAGTATAATACCACCGACATCACCTCATCTGGTCTTTCTTTTTTTTCTTTTACTTTTGCTTCTCGACCATACCATCAGACAGAACAAACTATCACCTGCTTCATATATCTAGTATTTAGTATACTCACCCCATACTCATACTCATACTCAAATCATACTTCATAACACAGTACTACTACTTCCACCTACCGATATACACTTCTGCCTATCACCTACTTATCCCACCACATTACGCATTATCACCTCGTCACCACCCGCCGCGCCACATCGCTTCCGCCCAAAACCCAAACGCTGCGTCTGCCTATTGACTCATACCAATCCCCCACCACCACCATAAAATCCAAAACGAGATCCCAATCCCCCAAACAGATTTCAAAATGACAACCATCACCATACAAACCAAACGCAAAACAATGTCCATAACCCAAACCTACTACCTCGCCCACTCCGCGCGCGGCAAGCTCTCCACCGAAGCCTCGCGCTCCGACCGCCGCCTCCGCCGCCTCGTCGGCCACGCAAACCTGCTCGATTCCCTAATGCTTGAACTTGCCAACGCTGAGGCGGAGCAGGAGAGTTGGTTCAATGTTTTGGTGCGCGGTGCGAGGAAGACGGAGGATAGGCATATCCAGTGGGCGGACTCGGTTGTTGAGGAGGAGGCTGAGGAGGATTGGCAAGTTGAGGACGCTGAGAGTGATTCCAGCGACGAGGAAGAGGAGGAGGAGGAGGTGCATATGGGCTTCGCTACTTTACAACGCGTGAAGTCCCACCAAGCATTCGATGTCACAATGATCCCCTCACCCGCGGACTCTGAGTCCGAATCCGACGAAGACGAAGACGAGGATATCTACGAAGACGACGGCGAGGAGGACTACGCCATGCTCAGCTTACAACGCACACACTCCCACCCCGCCTCCCCACCCGACCTCATCGACGAAGACGACAGCAGCAGCGAGGATGAGGCGATGCCGCCCTCGCCGCCGGCGGATGTCATGCGCGCCTTCCCCAAGGCGGAGGCGAGGGGGTCGAAGGTGTCGCCGGCGAAGGGGCAGTTCTTTGATGAGGGGTTCTATTTGCCACAGAGGAAGCTGGTTTCGGCGGTGAGCGTGTACTGAGGTGCATACTACTCTGTCCGTCTGGGTCTTTTGAGCGATTAGCGGGAGCGGTTTTTTGGGAAAGCATTGCATTGCATGGTGGATTGCATGGCGCATTCTTGGGTTTTTACGGAAGCATCGTATCGTATCATGGGATGGGAATGGGAGATCTAGATGCGGACGCAAATGTCCTGGCGCATATGGGAAGGGAATACATAAGGAAACGTTACAAAGGAGTGCTTCCTGGTCAAAAAAAATCAGGCCTCCTGTCTATCATCATGAATAATTACAAACAAACACTTTACAAACTTATCTATCGTGTCTTCTACTTGTGATCTGCTCGTGAATGCAATCATGATCTCCAACCGCCAACTGCGAAAAGTACCCCTCCATGCAATACAATACAATACAATACACTCAATACCGTCGGAAACTCACGGAACCCTCCAGCGCGCGAAGTCCCCTCATGGCGGTCATGCGCTGTCTCAAAACCAAGTATCTACAGTATGTACACGCTTAACACGGCACTCGCTCTAGTACAAAGGTATACAGTTGCAGGGGCGGCGGGCACTCGGCCATTCCCCACCGCCGAGCTTCCATGGTATCCAGCAAGGTACGAGAAATTGATTTTCCCACGAGACTGCCACGCTACCCCTTGCCCACGCCGAGATTTTTCAGCGGGGCATGGATGGAAAATGTCGCGTGGGGCTTGGCGCGGTGTGGGTTTACTCGTGGTGGGGTTTTATTGATCTGAGATTTTGTTCTGTGACAGGCGGGTGGAGCGTGGTAATTGCGCGGTACTTACGGGGAGTTGTGCGCCCGAAAGTGTGTGTGTGTGCATAGGCGTGTAGCATAACTCACATATCAATAGTGTCGGATACATCCCTCGCCGGCGACGGCGTGCTGGATGCTAGGTGCCGCGGCGAATGTGTGCTGGATGCTAGGTGCCGCGGCGAATGTCTGCTGACTGCTAGGTGCCGCGGCGAATGTCTGCTGGATGCTAGGTGCCGCGGCAGATGAATGCGCTGGGGAAAGGAGAATCTCGTCGGGCCGGCGGGGAGGGACCGAATTGTTATGAATGCCAATACTCCGCCAATACTCTCTGCCTGCCATTTTGTGAAATGAGGACAGCGAGGTTAATCTTGGCGCTTGGGTAAGGTACAGTATATCCAATTTCCACATCTACTTACTTCTCCTTGCCAATGCTGTCCATAATATAGAATACAAACCTCATGTCTAAGGACAATGCGCTCGGTCGATCGGTGATGCGTGTCTAATTGAACTATTTCCGTACACGAGTGATCGACGCTTCGTGTGTTGAGTGGAGTTTTTCGTATTCGGCCGCTGTGGAGAGGGGGCAGGGCTGAGTTGCCAGGGGTAGACAGGGGAAAAGGGGGTCTGATTCTTAGATGGGTGAGTGATAAGATATGATTAGATTGATGGGTTGGATATGGATATGTATATGGATATATATATGCTAGAAGTGGGCCAGGCTGTCGCTGGTCATGTCATGATTTGCTTGAGGGTGAGAGTAGGACAGCTGTCGCTCTTCCAAGGTTTAGATGGTGATTTTCGGATTCGACATCTACTTCCATCTGTATTTGTAGAGGACGACACCACCTGTCTGTCCTCAGAATACCATAATAACAAGTCGCTATAAAAACTCCCTTCCATGACCGGTATCTGCAGAAATCCCAAACTCCCCTTCCCTCTTCCCTCCTGCCTCTTGCCTCCAGCTTCTAGCTTTGAGCATCCATCAACTCCTCTTAGTCCCCAACTCCACCTCCCCCCCCAATCATCCCACCCCTCCCCCTCCCCCTCCCCCAACCTCCTCCCCCCCAAATCCCCAACGCCGTCGCCCCCCCACCCACAAGAAACCAGCCCTCAAACCACCTCTCCACAAACCCCGCATCCACCCCCTTCCCCAGCGCCTGTCCAATCCCACTCGCCATCTCAGCCGGTAAATTACTCCTGAGTAACAATGCCGCGCTGATAACATACATTGCGCTTATCTGCGCGACCACCAACGGTAAGTTGGCTTGCGCTTGTCGCACTAGTCCGGGCGCGAAACGAGAGAATACGTGAAGGGTTTGGAGGACGGAGTTGAAGGATAACAAGAGCATGATGCCGGCAAGGAGGAAGGAGATTTGGCGCGCCCAGGCGGCTTGGTCGAGGGAGGCGTCGACGTGTTTTACTAGGAGGCTGAGAACGCGATTAATGGGATCGGTAGTCGAAAACGTGCTATGCGGGTGCGATGAGCGCTGTAAGGTGGTGATGGACGTAGCGATAATGCGGTAGACGCAGTATATCGAGAACGCCACATCCGAGACGACCAGACATCGTCCTAACGGTGACTTGGCGCGCGTTTGTGCGGCGTGTCGGGCTTGGAGGAGCGTGTATGAGGTCGAGAGACTTACGGCCATTGTTTCAAGGCCGGAGATTTCCATTTGGAGGGCCTGTACCTCTGTGGCGTCGGGGTTGCCGCGGATGGAGCCGAGGACACGGGTCATGAAGCCTTCTCCGGGGGCGTCGGAGAGTTTGTGGTTTAGAGCGCGCAGACGGCTTTTCTTGGCTGCTAGGAGATCGTTCGTAGCGTCCAATCCTGTCGCTTTGCGGGCCAGATCGGAGTCGGTGAGGGGGCGGGAGCGTTGGAAGAAAGCTTGCCAGGGTGAGGAGACGGAAGCGAAGCCTGAGAGGAGAGCCATGAGGGAGACGCCTACGACGCCCACGCGGGACAGTGCTGCGTCGGATAGGGAGGGGGTGGGGGTGCGTGCGAGCATGTCGTCGAATGAGGAGGCAGTGCTGGAGAAGTCTGAGAACCAGAATATCGAGATCCAGATGGCGAAGAAGAGGGCTTGCAAGATGCATGGGATCTTATTCAGTCGCCCGTCTCGCCGGTTTGTGAAGTCCCATCCAGCGCCGCGGATTACGGATTGTATCTCCAGGAATGGGATCCATAGGACTAGCAGAACCAGCAGCGCAGGCACCGTGACGCGCAGCGTCAGGGCCCGGGCGTCGGGATCGAGCGCGCTCGAGATCTCGCATAGTATCAATTCGGCAAGTACAGCAGCCAGGGCGATCGTAAAGCCAAAGCTAGCAGCAGCAATTTGTCGGCGCAGAGGCCAGGTATTGTGTTTCGCTTCCGCCTCCTTCAGTGCCGGCGGAGCGTCGGAAGGGAGGTAGTAGTCGTCATCGACGCGAGAAGCAGCGCCAGCGAGCAGCGGAAAGACGTGTCGCGCAACCAGGTAGCTGACAATGACAAAAGTCAGGATGAAGGGCAGCGCGGACCCGATCGTGCCGAGGGAGTGGAAGGACAACAGGGCGCGCGGCCGCAGCGGCATCCGGCACGACTCATCGCACGTGTCGTCGGGGGGGAGCATTGGACTAGGTCCTCGGTGCTGGGAGGACGAAGCTCTGGCGCATATCAAGTCATTGGGTTGAGGATGGCGGTGCTTTGCACGGGGGGTTTATGGTGTTGAGGAGGTGATGTGGTCGTATCGGAGCTGGCAAGGCTGCATGCGGACGGGAGATCGACATGGATCACGTGATGGGATGTCTCCACTGGACAGTCTACAAACTATAGGTAACATAAATACCCTTGGTAACTCGGAATTGTTACAGCCTTTCGATTGGACAAGTACTGAAAACCCAAGCTAAAAGAAGAAATCCTATCATCTTTCATAGTATCAATTATCAGTTGGGCACATTTCCTCAGACTTTGGGCCGCGTAAGTAAAGTGTATTCATTAATTAAAAGTACCATGCATCTATCCTTGATCATTTCCCGAGTTGGAGATACTACTCGGTGTTCCACCCACTCGCTTCGCTCGTAGGTGGCGACAGCAAGTTGTGCGTGCGACAGCAAGATGTGCGACACATAAAACGAAGAAAAAGACGCCTTATATATCAACTATATAACTATATAATTAAAACATAAAATCAATAGAACTACTATCACTATCGCTACTGCCACTATTGCTACTATCACTTTGATCCTTACTATACCGTAAAATGATCACTTTTGATTTCAACCCTTCCTTCTTCCGCTCTGCTACCCGCTTCCTCTCAACCTTACGCTCTTCAATTTCGATTTTACGTGCTTGCGCTTGTAGCTGCTTTACTACTTGGTCCGATTCCCTTGCTGCTCTTGCGTCTGCTTTTGCTTGCAACTTTGCTTTCTTCTCTTCCCGCATTTTCCGTGCATCTGATGCATATAACTGCCCTCCTTTCTGTAGTGATTTCCGTGCCCTTGCCTTTGCTGCCTTCTGCTCTACTGCACGTAGAGTCATAATATCTAGCTCGGTCTTATAGAGCTCTGCCCGGTGTAGAACAACTGTAGTTCCACGTGCAAATGATTGAAACCCTTCTCTTGAAGGCGATGAGAAAGCTTCCTCTGCTCTCTTCTGCCAATGTTCAACCGCTTGCACACTTTGCATAGTTGTTTTCGGTGTTGAGATAATATTATATGAAGCAAATGGCTCATAATCAGGTGTTTGATTCCGAGTCTCTTGTATCTTGTCAATTACAAGTGGAGGATTATATGGATATAGTCCTGTATTTCTCCAACCAGATTGAATTGTACGGACAGTTAGAGATTGCCGTCGGATTTGCGGGAGGTCTGAAAGGAACGTACGTAGCTTATACTCATAGTCGTAGCTACGTACTGCTTGATCAAGTGCCTTTTGATGAAAGTGTTTGCACTGCTTAAAAACCGCTACATCAAGAGGTTGTAATAGATGTGTTGTATGAGCAGGAAGGCAGCAAATAACAATGTTATGCTCTTCTGCTAATGTAAGAAAGCGCTCTGTTTTATGAGAGTCATGGCCGTCAAGTAATAAGAGGCGAGTATCATCTGGTGCCATATGCTCTGCAGATAGTTGGATAAAATGCATAAGGTATTGGATTGCAATGTCGTCGTTTGAATACCCGCTCTCATTTACAATAATGAGAGCATTTGGCTCAAGGTCATCATTGTACCATGAATCCATATGAAGTTTGCCAGGGATAATGATAGCTTCTGCAAGTGCAGCACCACTTGCATTTACTGCCTCAATTACAGTAACAGAGAGCCGATTCTCAGGATTATCAACAGTCCACTGCTTTACACCGATTGGTACAATAACAGCCGTAGACTTATAACACCCAATCATATAGCCTGTCTCATCAACATTCCATAAATTATATGGCTTAATGTTATGTTTTGTAATAAGGGCGTTATATGTGAGAAAGAATTCCTCAAACACCTCTTTCTTTTGTGCTTGCTTCCGATGTGTATTTAACGTCTTCGTGTGAATTGTATGAAATTCGGGGTGTGCTTTTAGAAAGCGTTGTAGCCACCGTTGTGATGGTATCGTACGATTAGGTCGTAAGTCTGCAACTGCCCGTAGTATCATAGATCGGTTGGCAGGGACCCCGCGCTCAAGTTGGTCGTATATGAATTGACAGACCGCGGTCTCTTGCGATTGAGATAAGACTCGATTGCTACCTCCGTGGGGTAATTGAGGAGACGTAGTACTCGTAATACGACGTCGGAGTGTCTCACGGTTGACATTGAATTTATTTGCAACCCAAGCAATTGTATATGTACTTGGTTGTTTTAAGAAGAACTGTTGGGCCTCATTAAGGCGAGCAATCATAGTAGGATCGTTATTTTGAGGCATTGTAGATACTACGTTATGAAGAATACTATTATTTTTTCTATATATCAAAATAGCGGTGTACGCACATCTTGCTGTCGCACGCACAACTTGCTGTCGCCACCTACGAGCGAAGCGAGTGGGTGGAACACCGAGTACTATCTACCGATTCGAGAGATCGTTTCCGTCCCGCAGCCAATGCTGCCGCCTCGCCCTGCTCCATCGCCTGCAGCTTCTGATGCTTCTCCAGAGCCTCCGGAACATCCCCAATCAAGGCGGCACCAGGAGTAACCTCGAATTCGTCATCATCGTCTCCCAATTCATCATCGCTAGCCCCACGGCTGTCTGCAACGCTAGACTTCAAGGTCCCCCCACCGCCTGGGGTGGATGGCCTGCTGTCAAAAAAGCTTTCTTGCGAGGCTGTCGTGCTATGGGTTTGCGTCTGTGTCTGCGTCTGTGTCTGCGTCTGTGTCTGCGTCTGTGTCTGCGTCTGTGTCTGCTGCGCATGCGCATGCAACCTCTTATTGACATCCAGCAACCGGATTGTGGGATCAAATCTCGCCGGAAGGCCAAGCGCAGCCGCGACCTCGTGTGCTTCATCATCCCGCGTTCTGGTTGGAAGAATTTCGACCGGAATCTCTGACCTGCTGGGGAGCAGATTCGCCTCGTGTGTTCCTAAACTGCTCCCCTCCAACATGTGCGCGTAGTTGTGTCGTGTGGGGTCGTTCACTCGTTTCTTCTTCTTCTTGTCTCGTTTATCATTCGGTCGTACGACTACGACAGGTACGGGAGAGTATTGTAGGCACCACTTGGAGAAGGAGTTGCGATTGTTGATCAGGCCTTGGACGCCCCCTAGACTGCGCCCTCTCGTACCGACAATGAGCATAGCTGGTTCGTAAAGCTGGATCTGTAAAATAGGCCGATCAGTAGATATTCAGGACCAATGCGACAATCAGGCTGTAACAATACTGACCATTTTCTGAAATGTTTGCTGTAGCTTCCCAACCGCAAACTCAAGCACGATGCTTATAGACCTCTGTTCCGCATTCTTGTCTTGTATTTCCTTCATGAGCCTCTTGGCCTCCTTCTGGTAACTCTTCTGTGTAACGCTCTTGTCGTTCCTAATCTTCGAGTCTTTCTCGACAACATGCAGACAGATAATCTCATCGCCATCGTCCACCATTTCATCTAGCATCCATTGCAGCGCATAATTAGAGTAGGCATTCTCATCGACACCTACCATAAGCGTACGCGATCGCCTGTTGTGCTGATAACCTCGATGTTTCTCGTTCAACGTGAGCGATATCGTATTGCTCTCCGTCGGCTCCCCGCCAGCGAAGTTGTCGAATGAAACGTGAGGCACAAACTTGCTGCGCGGTTCTGTTAGATCCGACATAAGAAGGTATATTAGGTTATATTGGTAGAGAATGGGGCAGGGTAGAACATGAGCAACGGCCGCGGTACTATGAGCTAACAATCGAAGTAGGTTGAGATAAGGTGCGAAGGTGGGGTTGACGCCGGGCCGCCAGTCGCCACAAAGCGAAGCTCCTCGTAACTATCAGCCCCCGCCAAAACGCAGATATTGATAAACGGCGGTCCTGCCGAGCAGAAGCTCAGTATAATATCCAGCTGCATGCTGACGTATATAGGACAACTTGTAGATAGAATATTGAAGAAATAAACTGCACTAACCTTGGTGCTGGGGGTGATAATGTCCTGCGCCTTCCCAACTTTCGCGGCTTTGACTCTGCCCAGGAGACACCAGACATTTCACTTGGTGGTAGAAATGAAATGCTGGAGACAGATCCGTGCCTCCCAATTTGCGTAGTCGCCATATGCTCCGTGATGGTATCCAGTCTTGGGCTACTTGGCAGGCTGAATCGGCCCGCGACCGAGGCATCTCTTTGTGGCCTGGAGGACGAGGGGGAAGAGGGGGTTTCTGGAGAGGCAGAATCTGGGGTCCTTGGACCTGATGTAGTTGACATGTTTTGCTTAGTGGTGGACAGCCTTTGCTGCTACTGTCTAGTGTGCTCTATGCCCAGCAGGAGGGGTTCTAGAAGCTGAAATCCAGAGTGCTACCTACCAAAAGGAAGGTAGCAAGTGGACGCCCTTCACGCAGCTTCCGCTGAATAGCTCTCTGGCACGGCAGGTCGTCGGTTATGACCACTGCCGTGAGTTGACTCTAGATTTTGTGATTCTAAGGAGTGAACGAAGTAAACAAAAAAAACGGGTAGCAGGTGCCACCGAAACGCGAATCTTCGGGTGTTTCAATTAACCCTCCAAAATGTACAGCATTATATCGCAGGAGCAGAAGGCTCAAGGTAGCAATAACTGTGAATTTGGACGTTCGGATATTATATGTTTTGCTGACAGCAGTTGTGAAACAGGTCGCCGCTCCGCCCAGACAATGCAGCAAGCGAAGGGTTGCGGGGCATCGTCCCCCCTGCGGCTTGGCTTCAGCTTGCTCCATACGGCATTCCAACATTCCAACATGCCCACATTCCCACATTCCCACATTCCCACATTCCAACATTCCAAGACCGGCCAGCAGCCCACTGCATTAACTAAGACTGCAGATGCATATCACCAGTCACACCCATTTGCAATCTCCAATCTCTAAAACTCTTTGTTTCTTGCTTACTGCCTAATAAACTAACTAACAGGGAATCACGGTTGTTGACATCTATTTCAAAGTCGACCGTCAGCACCCCAGTTTTATACCATTTACGCCCCAACCATGCAAATCCATATCGGCGTTCAGTTCATCAGAGTAAACCATCACACCGCGTTTTCTAATATGTGCGGGCCAAGTTGCGCAAGTACCAGTCCACCAACTTGCGACCAACCTTTGCCTCAGAGATGTGGATAAGATCCTGCGTCGTATGTTAGCAAACTGACATCCTAAAATAAAGCACATTGGAAAACATACCCCTTGCATAGCGTAATCAAGATCATTAGCGTTGACAACCTCTCCATCCAAAAGCCCGTTCTCGGCCCATCTTGTCTGTCTGCTCCTTTGCTTGTTGACCAAGAGGAAGCTGCGGAGCTCCTCAGGCTCAACCTCGAGGAAGCCAGCCAGCTTCTTCAAGTCCATTGTGGTGTAAAGTCTCAGGTAAGACTTCACGGTTGGGCTCCACATATTAGTCTTGACCTCGTCCATGAAGATCGTAAGGTGGTGCTCAATGGGGTCCACGTTGAGCTCTGGGGTATCGAAGTCGGGAGGCGTTGGGGAGATGAACTTGGGGCACGCAGAGCGGAAAAGCTCCTCGTAAACTGGGAGGGACTCCTCGCCACCGCGCTGGAGCTTGAGGAGCTGGTCGCCGTACTTCTCGCGCAGGGCGGTGTGGATGGTGTCATCCAGTCTGGTTGGGTGGAGAGCAACGCAGATGGCGATAAGCGCGTACATCTGGCCGTTCTTCTTCGAGATGGAATCGTACTGTGTTCCCTTCTGGAAGTTCTTGGTCCTCGAGACGTAGATGAGGATGTGGCTGAACATGCGGATGGCATCGGCGTATCTGCGCATCATCATGTAGGAGAAACCAACGTAGTAGTAGGTTGTGAAGTGCGCAGCCATGACGCGGGCGAACATGGCCTTCTTGTTGAGCTCGATGTCGTCGAGGGTCTTGAGCGCGAGGCTGAAGTCGCCCAACAGGCAGTGGACGCGCAGGAGACCAATGATCGAGAAGTATCCCAACATGCGGTAGATGGACTTGGAACCGTAGTCACCAGCGACCGCCATCGGCTCTTCGTTGCGCTTCATGGCGGCTAATTGTTCATTGATCTGGGATCGCTGGATGAGGGAGTACAGCACGTTCAGAACGCTGTAGCAGCCCCAGGTGTTGGGGTTGTCGCGGAGGAGTTGGACTTCCTCGTCGTTGTTGGCTTGTCGCGCAATCTTGTTCCTGTAGGAGCAGAAGCTGTTGAACTGGTAGATAAATTCGTCGATGACATCCCATGCCCAGTAGTACTACAGCCGGCAACATTAGTTTCGGTCTTGCTGCTTGGATTAGGACAATCTTACGGAAGGTGGCTCCAAGTCAACCGGCCCGTCCGAGTTCAAGATGAAGTGGAACAAGCTGCAGTAGCTGTCGTAGCTCTGGAACTTGACCTCAAGGGAGGCGGAAAAGTCCAATGGTTGCGCAGCAGCGGCAAGCCGCGACTGGATGTCGTCGGTCTGCTGGGCCATGCTTAACTCCCCGCCGAAGTCGTCATCCTGATAGTTGACCTGCTCACGGTAGTCGGCGGCCAGGACCTCCTCCGCGACATCAGACGCATCATCCAAGTCCCTAGGCGGGATGCCGCTGTTCTGGAATCCGCTCATTTTGAGATGCTTGAGGTAGACGTCGCTGTCGTTGGCTTTGACGTTGTCAGAGGGAGAATTTGCGGGCGCGCTGTCGGCTAGCCCTAAAATTTCGCGTAAGACAATTTGGTGATGCCAGATGATATTTCAGTGGCGGGTGGGATTAAAGTCTTTTGGTACCATCTACAATTTTAAATATGCTATTGCTACAGGTGGGACATAATGTATTTAACTATCAGTATATATTACAGAATTTTGCTGGTTCTTATACTCCCTGTTGCTCTTTCAGTATGGCATTCTCCCAGCCAGCCCCGCTCCCTCACCATCTCCCCTCTAGTCACGTGAGTATCACAATCTTCTGCACGTGATATAATATACAGGAGGCAAGAGCGACCCACACCCCGCACCAACAGAGGCGATTAATTTAGCGCCAACCCTAATTCACGCGCTAAGCTCTATCAAGCACGCCTTATCCCTCTGAATATTGCGTCGTTTGTCCAACATCCCATCCTTCTTGAAGGTAAACAAATACCAGATATACAGGAGTGCACGACGTGGATAGTCGTCCTCGAAGTTATCTGGAAAGACCAAATGGCTACTTTGTCTAGTTCTGTGACTCTGGACAGAGCTTATTTTGAAACCCTGCTGCGAAAGTGAGTTACACCCGCTGATAGGGGCCCCTTGGCGCCGTAGGCAGATGTAACATCCAGGCTAATATGAATATTTACAACAGAGCCCAGTTTGTATGTTTACAACGCAGATTTTGAAGCTATTCTAATGCAATTTCCAATGTAGCATTCTTCTGGCGTAGACCACAGTACTCCTACGGACCTGCCCATGGTGACAATTACCAAATCTGACTACGATGGGCTGGTACGTTATTATACACTTCCCCCATTTTATGCAACTGTCATATTTACAACATATAGCTTGTTTCTTCTCGAGAATACGGTATGACAGCCCCTCAGGCCTCCACGCCAGATTCCAGGCTCTATCAGTGCGGCGCAGCTCAGGACTTACTGTGTGTGCATTAGCAAATCTACGCCGGAACCTATACAAAGGGGGGGTCTCAAAAGACATTCTTGATGCAAGCTTTCACTTCAAACTCTACATATCAGAAACTAACCCAGAGGCGATATAGATCCTTGTTAACGACACTCCAATCAGCGCTCAGGATAGCACCAACTTGGCACCAGGCGGCACATCAGATGCCAACCCCCCACAATTGACTCGGGCCCCAGAGCCTCCCACAGCATATGGAATTGCTCCCAGTTATCACAACGAAAACGCCAATAAATACACAAACTATGGCAGCCACATGGTGGGCCATACATCGAAGGCCGTAGAATACAGTGGTCAGTTCGATGACATCTATTCTCAAAATGAAGGGCAGGATGGGTACTTCAACAATGGCAACAACCGCACTGAAGTTGGCCGTGATGGCCAGTTTTTGAGAAACGCCAAGCGTACGATACAATTGAGCAACCTCCCAGAAGCGACCACGCATGCAGATGTGACAGATGCGGTCAAAGGTGGAATGCTACTTGATGTTTTCCTTCGCAGCCAAGATCGAGCTGCATCTATCTCTTTTCTAGACGGGAATGCTGCGAACGATTTTTTCCGCTATGCTAAGCGCAACGATCTTTATATTTGCGGGAAAAGGGTTAGTATTGTAGAGCTATACTATTTTGCCAATACAGGTTCTAAATTGACTCTAGGTCGCGATTTCGTGGTCAGACCGACACTTCACCCTCGCGAACCATGTCGCCCATAAGATTGGAATGGGTGCAACGAGAAATATCGTTATTCGATCCGCAAGTACAAGGCACACGGATGAGTCTATCCGGGAAGATCTGGATCACATCCACAACCTAGTCGTCATCAGCATTAAATTCGTCGACAGAGATGCTCATATATCAACCAATTCCGTCCACAATGCCATGTTTGCGAGAACCTGCATGATGTGAGTGTAGTGGATAAGTGAATTTTGTGATTCTAACATGAAACAGGTCACGAAGCAAATACAAGGGCTGCAAAATCGAATGGGATATCGATGAGTGTGCTGCTCCCATCCCAGTCCTCAAACCACGCCCAGTTCAAAAGGAGAATAATGCACCGAAGCCAAGAGCTCCAATCAACCGATTTGCTCTGCTCAACATGGATGGCGCTACAGATAGCTCGGCTGACGAAGATTCTATGCTGGGCATGGACAGCTTTCAGGCAGACCTCGTCTCTGGTTTGAACGGGGTTGCTGTGTGAACACTATTGTGATTCTCGAGTGCTGATTCACTGAGAACCGTATTCAGTTTATGTGTCTTATATTATTTTCTTATTTCTTTAGCAAATTACCTCTGATATCGGGCTGGGCGTCACACATGGTACTTTCTTTTATGGCCGCCTGCGATTGGCACTTCTCATGTTTACCACCACAGATACCCAAAAATTTGCTTTGCCTTTGCTTTTACCAACCTTCTCGGTATCTGCGGATGATTCGTTTTAGCTACTAGAGTATGTAGCATGTCCGAGTAGTAGCGCTAGAGATGCCACGTTAAGAAAAGGAATGATTTATATGCCTCCGTTTATTTTTGATTGCCAAATGTCCAGAGGAAAGGGAGTGTATAACAGCGAACGAAAGGGTTTGGACTACCTGCAAATCCTGTTGCCGCTCCTACTCGAAAAAGATCGCGATTGTTTGATCCAACTTAAAGTTATCAGATGATTTATTATAAACCAGCCTATCCATACTTTCTATAAATTACCGCCCTGCGGTGACATCACATTTACCCGATAACCCCCACCAAACTTTACTTCCCAACCCACCTCACGATCTCGACAGATCGCTGAACCCCGCCTCAAACCCGTTCTTATTATTGTTTTCTTGCCTTCGCTTTGCCATTATCTGTAGCACGTACCGCTCTATCTTTGCTCAACAGCGCTCTTTCCCCAATACCAATCACAGACACCTAGCGTCCAAAACCCACACCCGCCACTATGTCCTGGTTTCAAAAGACAATAACTCTGCCTCCCAAGTCGCGGGGCAGCTATCTCATCACCGACCACATCGTCGACAGTCTTCCAGAGCTCAAGGGCTACAAAGTAGGCCTTGTCAACCTGTTTGTCCAGCACACGTCCTGCGCGCTCTCCCTCAACGAGAACTGGGATTCGGATGTGAGGGAGGACATGAGCGATGCGCTTGACCGCATTGCGCCAGAGGATAAAAAGGGAGACCTATACAGACACTCGGCGGAGGGTTTGGATGATATGCCTGTATGCTCTCAGCAAAGGTTTGGGTAGGTAGTGGCTAACAAGCTGTAGGCACATATTAAGAGCGCATTGATTGGAGCGAGCGTGACGATACCCATAAAGGATGGAAAGCTGGCGACTGGGACGTGGCAGGGAGTGTGGTATCTAGAGTTCAGGGCGGCTAGGCACCAGAGGAAGGTGGTGGCTACGATACAGGGAGAGAAGGCATGAGTAGCATCGGTTCTAGAGCGTCACAATTCTGCTGGCTGCAACATGCCAACCCACCCAAATGTTCTTGACGATCATTACATATTGTACACCTGGTCCTATGGTATCTATGCATATAGCCATGCTTTCCCTAACGCCAACTCCGTTTGTGTGCTGCAAGTTCAAACCTTCTCCTCATTCGTAGGGAAATCCTCGATTTCTATATCGCCACCGGCCAGAACCTTCGTCTGTGGCACGTAGCCGTTGGCATCTGGCGCCTGGCCGGGTGTCGCAGCAACAACCTGTCCCTTCTCATCCACGAATTCAAAGTTATAACGCGAGAGCAGATGCGGAATCGCGGATAGCTGGGGGCCGTAGCGCGCAGTGTTATCGTAGAGTTCGAAGAGCGGGACGGCGAGGAGCTTCATGTTCTTTGGCACGCTAAGAACCTCTGTATCGTGTTAGTTCTGATCAAGATAGAGACGCGGGGAACGTACTCTGTCGCGGAAGCTGGATGAAGTAGAGTTTTTTGCATTCCTTCGGCCTTGTTACGTGGGCGGGGATGAATGGGTACATGAACGTCTCAAAGTTTGGGCGCCACCATTGCGCCAACGTGTCGCCAATTTCCCAGTCCTCATTGACTCCCTCTCCCGAGAACTGCGATCCGACCGGTGCGAGCCGTTCATTCAGTCGCGCCTTGAACCCCTCGATCTCGTCGTCCTCGGGCTTGAGGTAGTCGCCCGGGAGCTTGAAGAACGCGTTTGCAATCTGTAGCATCAGGATGTGAGGGTGATTGTGCTCGTGACAGACGAGGATGCCTTCACAGGTACGGCGCATTCCATGAAGCTCATAGTGCTCTTCGAGGCGCTTTAGGCGGGCAAGTACTGACGGGTCTTCTTCGGGCTGGTTCTCCTTGGTGCCAAAGGTGTAGTTGGAGAGTGGGTAGAGGCGGATTGTCTCCGACTGGTTCCCATTGAAGCTGAGAGGGAGAATTGGGGCGTATGAGGTTTGGAGGGCGGTGGCGGTGATTGTTGACATGATTGCTCTTGGAGGTGAGAAGGTGGAGAGAGGGAGCTGTTCCTACGTAGCACGGTTGAGCTTGTCAGGAACGGATTAACGTTGTTGTGCTGGTGGGCTGGAGTCGCTGACAAACCTTGGCACGATGGCTCCATTTCATTTCTATGAGGATCGGGTTGCTTATAACATATGTAAAGAAAAATAACCCCTTTAATGACCTAGATATTATTGGAGCTCTTCAACAAGCTCGTTACTCAAAAATTAAGATAAAAGCATCAAGTTTGCTGTCTTTAATTGCATCATCAATTCCCAGCTTTGCACACAAGTACTATGGCTAGAACATCGAATTCCTCAATGTGGTCTTACATATCGAACAAGCACAGTAGCAAAATTAACTATTTCGCACGCATCGGTATATCGCTCGTCACAGCATAGAACTCCGTTGCTTCCTCCTCGCTCACCGTGCTAACCTCCGTTTTCCGCTTGTCCACCAACCCAAGCCTCGCCTTCTTAATCTCCCACCACAGCTCTCTCCGATCACCCCCTAACTTCTCTTTCAGTAGATCCTCCTTCAGTCGCCGTATAAACGAATTATACACCTCCGGCATTTCCAGACTCGCCAGCTCGTCCCGCATCACACCCAAATTCGCAATAGCCTGCCCATAACCGCTGTCGCCGAGGCTATGCTCGACCAAGGAGCGTATGATCCCATCCATCTCCTTGCTGGCTGATTCGATCGTTGTGATATCCTCTGCCGTGCCAAGACGCTGCTTATATTCCGGAATAGCATTATCAGAGTTGATTTCGGACCTCTCCTCGCGGCTGAGCAGGGCGTCGACATTGAGACCTGACAGGGGCTTGATGGCCTCCTTTGCGCGGCGGCCCTTGGCCTTCGGTGGCACTTTCTTGACGTCGGCGGCTTTGATGAGGGCTTCAAGCTCAGTTGCGCTGGCCTTGACGAGATCGGCTGGGGGTTTCGAGTATTTCATGAGAACTTCGGGAGGAGGTTGGACCGGCTCGTCGGGTTGCACGGCGCGGCGACGGATGGCTTGGTTGATGCGGTGGAGGACGGGAGAGTATGTGTCTTCGATGGCCATGTATTCTACGGGGTTGCCCTCGTCATCCTTGCCAAATGTTGAGATGTCCATGGCGTCAACATAGGCTGACATGGCCCTGGTGAGATCATCTGTAGGGAGGTTGCGGTGTTTGGTCATGGTCTGGCCAGATAGTGTGATGACGCGGTCAAGTGGAGGGAATCGGTACAGGCGAACATCCTCGGCGAAGGGAAGAGGCACGTCAATCAGAGACTCGAGGTCTGGCTCGATGGATGGCGACAGGAGGACAAGCTGGGGGTCTTTACCGTCTTTCAAGACGATGCGAGCGACGGCATATGACTCCAGTTCTGCAAGTGAATGAACGAGAGATGAGAGCGCAAGTCGAGCCTTTTCATTCGACCTCGCAGCAACAGTAACACAGCTTTCGCCCATGTTGAAATATCGCTCGTACTACGGAGGTATGTCAGAATATGCGCCAAGATAAAGTGATAGCCGTTTGGCAAAATGCTACTGACCCTTTCGGCTGGTATGAATCCTACGATCGAGAAGCTTGCCACTGTCTCCAGCTTCGTTATGTTCTGGTCTGACTCGGCGATAGCAACTGCGGTCCGGCCATACTCGAACCCTTGAGCAAGATCATCTCTGTCGACATCTCTCTTCCCGCCAGGCGCAGACTCATCCACTATCTTGTATGTCCTTGCATTCTTCACCGAGGTAAGTGCATCACCTTGGGCTGAAATGTCTTCCATCTTAACATCGCCCTCGTTGTCACCAGCCATTTCCGCCACAACGTAACTGCTGGCAGAAGGCGGTTTGGCGACCTTGGTGCGGAAATAGCGCTCGATATCAATACACATAGCGGTATCGTACTTCTCAGGGTCCCCTAACGTGAGCTGGCCCTTGAAAGTCGCATACGGTCTGTAATCCTTGACGCGCGGTATGGATAAGTCCTGGACCGCCTCTGCCGCAGTGCCAAATATTGACTTTTCACATTTGTCCGCAAGACTTCTCAAAACCTTCTCATTGCCAGCCTAAATTGTGTCAGCAAGAATTGTAAACAATGGACCAAGATAAAATAACCTTCAGCGAATCCTTGTCTTCCTCCTTAAAGCCAAACTCGAGGTCATCAAAGTCAACGCCCCTAGTATTATGTTAGCCACCAGATGAGACATTGGGGCCCATCGAAGCTCACAAGACTACCAATTCTATGCCATCTTCATTCAGCTTTGAAGACGTCTCATCCAGATCATCAGAGTCCATCAAGCCCGTCCCATTGGTGACCAGAACAATCTTCCTCGCATACTTCAACTTCTTCGTGAATCGCTCCATCATATCAATAGCAATTATGATCGCCGAAACCGCATCTCCCACATCCGACTTGCTTGGTTTGACACTCTTCTGCAGTTTTTTCAGATCCGGCACTTTTATGGGTCCTAGAGGCTGCATAATGGAGATGTTGTTGTACCCTTCCTCCCCCTCCAAGGCGTTGTTCGTCTCATCGGTCCTAAACCCAACAATTCCAACTGTGAGAGTAGTCCGTCCAGTGATCATAATCGTAGCAAGAGAATCCCAGACATATCTCATCGCAAAGTCCAGGTCGCTTTCGTTTCTTCCATTGCTCTTCCTGCCCATGGAAGCGCCATGGTCAACGACGAAGATGGTTGCCTCCTTGCCCGACATCTTGCCGAGGCAGAGTTATGCTACTGTGTTCTTCTATCACATAAAAAAACTGAGCTGTTAAAAAGCAGATTAAAACCCAGAGTCCCTGGAAGCGAAATGGAAACCTGTCGATGATTGAAGGATTTCGATAGATGGCTGGGCTAGGCAAACGCGTTATCTCACGCGTCCAATTAACCATTGTGTCACGGTCTCACGTGCAGATAAGACAGTTTGGTTGCCTCGGATAACGGCTGATGACGGCTCCCACTTTATAGTGGATCTTCTTGGGCATCGGCTCCAACTTCTTGCTCCTTAATCCAGTCCCCTCCCCGCAACGAAGCATCAATTGAACATACATACAGCTTCACTCAAACTCCAAAATGGCCGACGTTTCAATCTTTAACACTTTGGCTCCGTATCATATCATTGCGTAAGTCATTCGTCAGGCCGGTGTTTGGGCTCCTACTGACAGATTCAGATATGGCACCCACCTCGGCGCGCAGGTCTGGCAGGTAAGTAACATAACATAGATCCCGTCTCTCGAAAACATTTCACCATCACACCATCAGCTATCAATCCCTCCCAACACCTCCCCCATCACCATCCCCAACCCCCCCATCACTCCCCCCAACTAACACCCCCGCACAGACCTTCGTCAGCGGCATAACCGCCTACCAAACCCTCGAGCGCTCCCAATTCTCCGCCCTCCAACAACGCGTCTTCCCCCGCTACTTCACCCTCCAAACCGCCCTCCCCCTCCTCATGGCCCTAACCTACCCCGGCGCCAACCTAGGCCCCTCCTCCTACCACGGCGCCCTCGCCCCCGCAAACCACTGGAGCGTGCTGTACCCCCTGACCACGGCGTTCGTGTGCGGCTTCCTCAATCTCGTGTTCGTGGGCCCGAAGACGTCGGAGCTGATAAGGCTGAGGAAGGCGCAGGAGATCAAGGATGGGAAGAAGAGTATTGATCCGGCGCCGCATAGTAAGGAGATGCTTGGGCTCAATAAGACGTTTGCGCGTGTGCATGGTGCGAGCGCGCTGTTGAACTTGGTTAGCTTGGGCGCGAGTGTTTGGTATGGGGTTTGGCTTTCGGCGCGCTTGTAGGTGGATTATGCGCGCCGGAATGCCTGGGGTCTCGGGGAAGCTGGGAGTGTATGGTTGGGATTGGTGGCTCGGACGGTACTTGGGGGTGGAAAGGGGCTGGAGATTAAATCCATCTCATAGATACATGTGGAATCAACGCTTCGAAGACTTCGTGCAGTAGAACGACAGTGCAGCGTCGCCTAGAAGGTGTTCGAACAGCCCGACTGTGCTGTTGCACGAGAAAAATGACCCCCTTCCCCCAGTAATAGAGTGATGGTTCTGCGTTTGGTATGTAGTTCTTGTGGACATGCTTGGGAGGGTCGTTTTTGAGTTTAAGAAATATATATTTGTTTATTACAGCTTCACAGCGGCTATTTTATATGGTGGTCGTGATTAAATTTTATATTATTGATTATTATTAGAATAAAATATATAAAAAAATACCATCCCAGAAGTTTAATAAGACATACAAATATTTGTAATTTAATAGTAGCTCAGTATTAATCCGAACCAGATTGATGTCATCACTATGAGTAATCATAAAATCACTAGAATCCAATACATTTATTCCCTCATAAATGCCTCGACAGCAATCTATATATGCCGCAAGTATCCGGCCCAACCCAACAGCACCCCAATCCTTCCGAGACAGTCAAGTTGGCAAACAGGCAGTCACACGGCCATTCAAAATCATAGCAAATAAAGTAGCCGGGTAGTAGTTTCTTCTCATTGACACACACACACCTCGACTTGCGAGACGCATTAAAAACTATATACCCTACTCCGACGTAAACCCAGTGAAGCCCAAACGAGCACGTATCAGCTAGGAAAAAAACGTCAACCCCCCATCTCTCAACCACCACCATTATTACTATTCAGAATACTGCCACGAGAGAGCCTCAAAATTATGGGTAAATTATGTAGGGACTGTGTGGTCTCCAGTATCCGCTCCTCCTCCCCCGATCTCCATCCCATAAAAGCCTCATATCCATGTAAAAAAAAATGAATGTTCTGTGTTCCAATCATAAATCATGTAATAAGGAATGGATTTTTCCCAGTCCCTGTCCATCCGTCCGTGCCGTTCCCATTTTAAAGCGCCCAGCCACCGTCGAAGGGGGCCCGCTTCAGTTCCGTGTTCCCTAACCTGCTCCCAATTCGCAACAAAAGTCTTGAAGAAGTGTCGGATCCCTCCATGCGGGGGACCATAAAAAGTGGTATAAATAAAATTCGCACAAAGGCGACGTCGCCCCGAAGCTGCCAGTTAAGGCGTCAGGACGGCGGAAAGAAATTGAATTCGCAGGTGACAGTGAGGCTCCAGGCCATGTGTTTTAAGCCCTGTACGAAGTCCCCACTAGTCGTGTTTCGGACCAGAGACGAAGAGAGATATCGATGTTATTTGTCGAAAAAAAGAAATGTTGTGTATTTGCGCATCGAACCGTCTCATATATTATGAGAGGCGATGCTGAAAACAAGTCGCGCTTGTTTCCTTAAAAAAATCCATTACCAAAAAAAAAACAGCCATTCCGTAAAAACCATGGGAATCGATCGATCGTCGCCGCGAGATCGTAGTATAGGAGGTATTCCCATCTGCCGTAACCACCAGAACGCCGTTAAGATATTATACAGAACCAAGACGCAAGAGCGCCTCGATGGCCTCACGCTCCTGGGAGTCGGAGGCCATCCCAAGGGAGCTGAAATCGACCTTGGGGTTAGATGCTTGTTGAGAGGAAATATGATCATGGCGAAGTGGCGCTGATTTTGCCAGAGCCGAGAGAGATGCTCCGCCGTAGTTGTTTGATACAGCTCCTCCAGTATATACATGAGTATTGAGGAAGCTGAGTCCGCTAAGAGGTACGGATCCGTTGTAAGAGGCTTGACGAAGGGCGACTGCGCCGACTGCGGCCCAGTCTTCGTCGTCGGTCATGTCTTCCGGGTCGTCTCCCATCATTTCATCGTCTGGAGGCGCTTCGGAAGAAGAGCAGGAGCCATCAAGTGACATCTTGTCTACTTCTTCCATCTCCATATCGATGTCATCTTCGTGGGAGAAGACCACAGAGTCGCCAGCCCAGCTGGAGGATGGCGCGTTGGGTCGTGCCCTGCCACCAGAGTTGTTATTGTTGATGGGCATTCCCATCGAGTAGGTTGGCATGCTGGGGGGTGGCGACTGTTGTCCGCGAGATTCTCGGCTTGGTTGGCCGTTCATTCTCGCATCCCATCTTCCCCATCCCACCTTCTCGAACTTGACGTCTCCGCCCCGTCCGCCGCCGTCGCCACCTCCACGACCTTCCAGCGCTCCGACTACCAGTCGTCGAGCCTTGGCTGGTGGGATGCTGGAGAATCCAGGAACGGAGGTGGTGAGGTATCCCATGATGTGGCGAATGGCGAGAGGGCCGTTGTTCAGAAGGATGTCGGGAAGGTGGTGCTTCGCGAGAAGGGTTGGGGTGATGGACCCGGTCGTCTCAAACCCATTCTGAGAATCCATGCTGCCGCCACTACCATCGCGGAGGTCAAAGTCGGACTCGACGGCATCCAGGTGACCTAGGGCAGTGGAGCCGTAGTTTTGCGACTTGAGGCCGTGTGGCGGCAGATTCGGAGAGATGGAGTTGGGAGGAGTAGGGAGGGTGTGGGTAGCTTTCGTAGCAGGAAAACTCTTGGCCAGACCACTAGTGAAAGCGTCTGGACTCAAGGGCTTCTTTATGTCGCGAGCATTTGCCATGGAGCCATTTAAGGCGATGGAAATGCTAGATCTCGTCGTAGCCATATTGACAGAAGGGTTGCTTGGGATCGTTTCTCTATTGCGCGCGCGAAATATTAGCCACCAGTACGATATGCGCGCAAGAAGAATATCACGAGTCGAGCGTTGGAAGCACTCGGATATGGAATTTCTTGTTGGGTTGACTCACTCGGCTTGCCAAAGAAACGAGGCGATCGATTGCCGGACGCGATGACCGGGTTGGTGCGAAGCGACTGGAATCAAGTCTTCTGGTGACAGGCTATCTTCGTACGAATTTACTTGATGATAAGGCCAAGTAAAGCGACCTTTGAAGCTCAGGCAGCGCTGATATATGCGAAGCAGATTGATTGTTTGCTGTGCGATTCTTATTGTTTGGTGATGTTGATGGAAGGACGAGATGGAAGGGGTGGAAGGGGGGGGGGAAGGGGAAGGGTATAACCATCCAGGCGGACACAGGTAAGTTAGTCAATGTGGGAGTACGTACTCCGTACTGAGAGTGGGACATGTGCCGTAGCGTAACTTACTCGTACAGTGTTGGGTTGGAGACAAAGCGGACAGGCGGATATTAGCGGACCAAGGAAGAACTCTTATCTCTCCAGCTAATAAATACGGGAACAGTACTCCGTACTTGTATTACATTTATGAATCAACCTTTGCCGGCGGTAAGAGAGAAAGGGCCCCTAAGTCACGAACCGGGAGTCGCCATACCTTGGTACCTCACATTCTACCGTGTGAAAGTGTGGTAAGAAGTACTGTTCGATGGCATGGTGGTGGTGGCATGGTGGTGGTGGCATGGTGGTGGTGGCATGGTGGTGGTGGCATGGTGGTGGTGGCATGGTGGTGGTGGCATGGTGGTGGTGGTGGTGGTGGTTGGCGTGCTGTGTGCCGGAATAACGCGTCGTTATTCGTCCTTTAGTTGAGACCAGCTGATAGATGGACTCAGTCTACGAGTAAGTTAGTAGCGACAGTAGAGTAGTACATACAGTAAAGCAAAAGCAAGGAATGCAGATAATGATGCCTTAGAACCCGCGAGACAACAAGACAACGACGTTCAGTAACGGTGCATGTTTCCTTGCTTTTTACAGCGAGGACTCCACTCCCCACTTCGGCTGGCGCACAAAGGGAATTCCCGTAATTCATCTTGAGGTTTTGATTGCTTTATCTATCCGAGCCCTCTCCACTTGCCCTCATTTCGTGCCCTTGGTGCGCCTGGATTCCCACGGATCGCAAACTTCCCTCACGGAAATTGATAATTGAAACCAAGCCATGACGTGCGTACGAAGTTCGCCCACGGCGTCGGACTTTCTCAAAAACCTTAGCTAGCTCCAACAATAACACTGCAAATCCCACGTTCCTAGCTTGTCAAGACCTGATTGCTCGGTTATTATTGAGGGGAAATCGACAACCAGCATCATGCATGGTTTGGCGGGGTCAAGTTGATCAGGCACGTTTCGATAGAACTGGACCGGATAAAATGGCACGCTTTGCTCGCCACCATCGATCAACGCCGATGAGACGTGTTTTATACAACCACCACCCCCCCCGCATGTCTGGCGAAACGTGGGTCGTAAACCTCCTACTGTACTCCGCCATTGAAGATGTATCTTCGACACGCCTAGATTCATAGTCAATACTTGGCCCTAAGTAACATAGCTTCCTGAATTGCCGATCACGTAATCGCACAGAAATGAGAAACTCACAGCTATCAAATGTCCCACTTCCTCCTCAGTCTGGTCATAGACTCGTTTATACAGTCCTATTTCGGCACGCAGAACCTCGTTCTTTGTCTTGGTACCGTCGCAGATGGCCTTAAGCTGGAGCTCCAGTTCCTTCCGTAAAAACGGCTTGCTCAGCTTCTCCTCGAAGCCGATATTGTCGTATCCTTCTATTAGCGCGACTCCAAGAGTCGTTGGTATGAATTCCTCCACGCCTCCGCTTGACCTTCCACTTTCAGCGGCAGCAGCCCCTCCCCGCCCCCTCCCTCTGCCTCGACCACGGCCAGCACCTCGGCCTCTTGCTGATGCACCGTCCTCCCTAACAGTCACATTACCATCTCCCCTTGACTGTGTCATGACGTATCCACGGTCCTTAATTTTTGCTATATGTTCGGCCATTGTAGCATCTGTTCCAATACCATTGGCGTCCATTAAGGCAATAAGATCGGGTTCGGTAAGATATCCTGGAGACACGGTCTTGCCATCAGTAAGAGTGGCTTCTTTCGGCTCGAACTGTTCCCCAAGAGTGAACTTCGGGAGCATATTTCCCGTCCAATTCTCATAAGGGTAAACGTCCAGGAAATTGCGCTCCAGTACTATAACTCCATGGGCATGAAAAGCTTCGGGGCCATATTGTAGCTCGATATCTGTTGCGGTTCCAATGGCATCTTCAGAGCAACATGCCAGGAATCTCCTGACAACAAACTCGTAAAGGCGGCCCTCGTCACTATTCCGGTCTGCATTGTAGGCAGCAATGGGATGAATCGGCGGATGTGCTTTGTCGTCATTTCGCCCTGCACGAGGCCAGTGGAAGCCCCCGTTGACTAAATTCTGGGCAAATGGTCCCCATCTGTTGTCTTGTGTGTGCTTCTCAACAAGTGATTTGAGGTTCATGCCCTTGTCAAATATATCCGTTTCTGTTCGGGGGTAACTGATCATTCCTTTGTTGTAGAGGTCCTCTGCCACTTTCATTGCGGTCTGACTGTTCATACGCAGGAATCGACTGGCCATTTTTTGCAGCTCAACTGTAGTGAGCGGTAGTGGCTTCCATCGATTGGTCGGCTTTTGCTGGACCTTGGTGACTTTTACTACTTTCGCGTCGAGACATCGCTCGAACAGTATTGTGACGGCAGCACGGTCAAAAAGCCGGTTCCGATTCCAGTGAAATGTTGCGTCAATATTGTCACGAGTATGAGTGACCTTTATACTCCAGAACGGTTCTGGCACGAAGTTTTGAACCTTCAAATATCGATCGACGACAAAGCCAAGAGTGGGAAACTGGCATGAGCCTGTTATAACCGTGAGAAGAGGGCTCTCCGCAATTAAATTGGAGGAAAGGCCTACCGTAAGAAATTTTGGCACCTCCTAATGGGCCTCCAAGGGACTGGAGTGAGAGAGTTTGAAAGCGAGTAAATGCAAAACCGATTCTTAGATCAAGCTCAATGCGAGTTGCAACTGCATCCACTTGACGGCTATCAAGGTCTATAGGATGTTTAGCTGCATTTATGACGTGTCTAAGAAATGTTAGAATACACTACAGAATGGTATCGGTATCTTACACTCGTTCTATGTTGCTGAACTTTGCTCTCTTGACTTCGATGGACGAATTGCCTTTGACTGCCTGTTCTCTAACTTCATTACCGATATGTTCCCCTTCGCGGTCACAATCAGTCCATATGAAGAGGATTCTGGCATTCCTGGCTTGGGTCTCGATATTCCTTGCAATAGCCGCTTTGTCCTTGGGATGTGTTAGTGGTTGCCTTCGGGTCTCGCTGGGCAGCTTACATTGTGGACTTTGACATGAACACGACCGTCAAACAACTTGCGGGGGGGAGGATATCTCCAATCTTTAAACTCGGGACCGAAATCTACTTCGGTCAAATGCCCAAGTACGCTTGTCATGGTAACATTACACGCTCCCCATGGTGGGCCGAAATTGAAAGTGAAGTCATAGTTCTTGGTATACTGGGCGCCAGTCACATTTCTCTGCCAGATATCATCAGTATTGGGCGCAGAGAGTGTGCTATACGCATCTTTTAGGTTCAGTCTTACTGTCGCAAAAGATCCTCCGCCAAGATGTCCTGCAACAGCCTTCGCGATGCTAGGCTTCTCCGCCACGCAAAGGATCGTGGGACCCATGATTTCCTGTCATACCATGCTCCCACGCGTCTTAAGAGGCTATAACTTTAAGAAATCTCCGGAACAAATATCATATTGACGTTTCCCGTGTCGATTCCACGTCGATATAAAGCAGCGTGTATGACCATTCAACGCGTGTCTGCCAAATTTTATTTCGACAGGCAGGGTAAATAAATATGCTTAAAGGGTTTATATGGGGGCCCTGTCAGCAGGAACAGGATCCAGAGGAACAAGCAGGCACAACCAAGCAGACCCCTGTATACCTGTATGTAGTATGGAGCGCTGCAGTTGTACAAAAATGACAGTGGCGCTTGCTTGCACTGTGATTAATACACGCGCAGTTTATAAAGTGGTCCAGCTACAGCCAGGTACAGCAGGGTTGTTGTGGATAAGCTTTCAATAAGCGGTGCTCCGTATAAATGTCGCGTATGACGACACGTCTCCAACTGCACACGAGCCCATTTGCCTGTACACGACCTCAACGACATCTCTCGTGTTACACGCAGCCGCAGAGTAAACATATACGATAGATGCAGCTCGTCGCCACGACCATGGCATTACCGGCTGTGGCCACGTTCGAGGAGTGCGCCGATTTCTCGCAGACCGTCGCTCCCTTCATACCTCAGCTGTACGAATTGCCCCAAAAGCTCCTCAACTCATATTGGAACCGCGATGAGCTCCTTCAGCTTTATATTGCGACAAACCCCTTGGTATCTGCGTTAGCATTGGGGCTGGCCCTATTCCCGATAGTGTGGATCGTGTCGGAAGTCAACAGGAACTATTCGCAGGTCGACCGTCTTTGGAGCATCTTGCCGGCGATATTCATTGGGCATTTTGTAGCATATGGACATGTGGTTGGGCTGGATACTGAGAGACTGGATACCCTTTTAGTTGCTGTTGTTATTTGGAGCGTAAGTTATCCAGAATAAGAGTCTCGCTCAGCGGCTAATAAAGAAATAGGTGCGGTTAACTCATAACTACTGGAGACGAGGAGGCTACAGCATTGGCTCTGAAGATTACAGATGGTGAGAGCATATTCTGGCTTGAGTAACAGTTACACAATGTTGACAACATGCCCAGGATGATTATTAAAAAGAAGGTCAATTCATGGAGCACGGCGATATGGCCCGTCTTCAACATCATCTTCATTGCTGGCATGCAACTTGGTCTCCTCCTTTTGATCTCGACGCCTGCCTATATCCAGCTGCTAGTATCGAATATGGAAATGCCGATATCGAAGGTCGATACGTTATTCCCCAGAGCCCTTGTTGGTCTTGTCCTGATTGAGGCCCTGGCTGACCACCAACAATGGAGTTTGTACTCAATTCATATTGGCTGATGTGGACACTGACATTTATCTGTGAAGGTTTCCAAAGTGCAAAGGCGAAATACAGGGCCACCGCCAAAGTCCCCCAAGGTTACGAACAAGGAGACTTAGAGCGAGGCTTCGTCGTCAGCGGCCTCTTCTCTTTGTGTCGCCACCCAAATTTTGCGTGCGAGCAAGCCTTCTGGGTTGTCTTATATCAATGGTCGTGCTTCAACACTGACCAGCTATATAACTGGACTGGAATCGGCGCGTTAAGTCTGGTTTGCTTATTCCAGGGATCCACTTGGTTGACGGAGAAGGTCACAGCACAAAAATACCCAGAGTACAAGGAATACCAGAAACGAGTCAGCAAGTTCATCCCGAGGATGTCTCATGCGCTGCCCGGAGACCCGGTTGAGCAGCCTAGTGTTGAGCCTGCGACAAGATCGAAGGCAGCTGGCGGCAAGAAAGGGGATAAGGGGCAGAAGGGGTCCAAGAGAAACTAGAGTATGGGGTCGGACGATCGGACACTTTGGACGTCATGATTGACAGGGTTCTGTAGATCCCAATATACACATCTTCGATTGCGAAAAAGAGATTGGAGATAATGAGCGGAAGTCGCTTTGTACCCGCCTTTAGCCTCTAATTTTTGGGAGACGCCGTCGTTTCCATACCCGCTAGCTAGTGGATAAGAAAGTCGGATGCCACATCGCGCGACGCATTGCCGAGTAGGGCAATTTCTATAAAACTGGCGCGACGGTCAGTTTAAATCACAATCAGGCCATTGAGGTCAAGCGTATTTCGGAATCTCTTAATTCTACCTCCCTTCACAAAACAACAACCAAGTTTTCCTCAAGAAAACCTCTCTACAGATTCTTCATCCTGTGACAAAAACTTCATAGACCTCCTAAAAATCAATATTCCCTTATCGGATTCACATTTCTCTTTCGGACCACTTCCCCCGAAAGGTACGCACCGCTCTCTGGCGTGACATTACAACCTCTAATTCACCTCTAGCCAACCCGTCATGTCCCGCAACTCCGCCTTGAAGCGCCTCTATAGCTCCTCCTCCTCCAGCGCCTCCGCCAACGACTCCCCCGCGACCACCACAGCCACCACCCCCGACCCCTCGCAGTCCCGCCGCGAATCCGAGCACGACGACAACGACTCTGCCTCAAGCACAGCCTTCAACCCCGCCAAGGTCTCCTCCAAGCTCACAACCCTCGCTGCCAGCGCCGCCACCGTCGTCCCGGGCTCCGATGAAGGTCACCCCAATGATCCGCTGTTGCGTGTTTATGACCCCTCCAAGGACGACAATCTGAGCATGGAGGAGCTACTCGCCCGTCCGCGCCTGCCGCGCACGCCACACGAACGTGCCGCTATGAACAAGCTGAAAGCCGGGCTGGAGACTGTTGCAAATGGTGGCGCATCGGCGGAGCTTGGTCCGAAAGAGCAACTTGCTGCCAAGAAGCTCCTGGAGCAGGCTGGAGAGGCGCTGAAGAAGGCCGATCGCGAGGAGCATATGAAGCTTATCATGGGCATGGCTAAAGACGTCGACGCCAGCTATGCGAGGAGTAATGAGCAGTGATTGGGGTGTACTGCTTATGGCCTGGGCTGTGTTTTGTCATGGGGCGTTTTCAAATCTTTTCCCTTCACGATACCCTGGGATGTGCAACAATGGAGTTTGTTAATTGGTGGCGATGGGATAGATCTGGCTTATTGGGTTCTGGAGTATGGCTTAGATAGTACGATTAGAATCTGGACGGCGTATTAATGTGATACTGGGGGGGTTATACTCAAGGTCTCTGTAGCTTATATGGCTTGTGAGCCTCCTATAAAGACAGTGAACCAGTTCCTGGTTAATAATATATACATTTCATGATCACAACTGTATCAAAACGCGATGAGTGATATAAATACGATCGATTTAACTTTATAATGTGAGGGCTGTGACGTGCAGCTGGCCTAGGTATCTCAATAAATTCTCCAATCCAATCCAAACCACCGAACAGACGCAGGCAGCCATATGTACGTACGCACGCAGTCCAACTCTATAACCACCAATAACGAATGTAAAGCACCAAAAATGTATCGCCCAGTTGAGGGGCATAATTGTTGCTCTGAAGCAGTAAAATATTTCGATGAACCACCAATGCTCTCTAATGACCAAACGACCGACCAATGCTAGGAGTAATAAATAAAACGTAGATGCGTAAGTTTTTTTTTGGGAGGATTTTCTGAGCATTTAGACCCTGTTACTCGCGAAATCAATCACAGTACAATCATCTTCAAAGAAACCCTCTTCATCATCTGGCAGATCAGAAGTGGTTCGTGAGGACTTCCGCCGGCGGGTGGTGCTGACGATGGGCTCCGATAAATCATCTGGGATCCTTGTGGTGACTCGCTCCATGGAGTCAGCTGGTAAAGCGCGGTGATACTCGGATGACATGAGAGCGTCTTCATCAGAGTGTTCTTTCCCAATGTGAAGGTTGGCAGCATGTATAGGGCCACCAAACACCCATGGTTGACCAGAGGCGCGGTTAGCCTTCTCCGTAGAAAGCTGGGGAGAAAACAGTGCCGAAGTTGTCGGAGATAGAAGTTGGTGTGAAACCTCGGAGTATGCAAATAGCGTAACTCGAGGATCCGTGTGGAATGGCTGATAAGGTGCATTCGATTCGATTTCAGCGTGAGGGATGGAGGACTCGGTTCCCAAAATGAGGCCTCCTGCAGATAGAGATGTAGGACGTGAGAGAAGTGTGCGGTTCTCCCCTGCATCAAGGTCCTCTTCGTCCGCAAGATCGAGCTTTCGCTTTATCAATGGAGCAATCTTATTATCCGGGATCGACGGGATCCTGATATCGACCGGAGCAGTTCCGATGTGGATACGGTTCACACCAGGTTTGCTCTTGGACCTAATGTGCTTAATCGTATACATCTTGACATGGCCATCCACAAGTGCAGCAAATGTCTGTTTGCCGCGACCGCCTAGCCACTTCACACAGCCGACTGAGCAAATTGTTGCTGTCTGTGGAAGATGCAATTTATTGTCGCCAGCTCTTCTGAATTGTTGAATGGTGCCGGTCGCTGCACCAAACGATTTGCTTATTCCCGAAGCGATTGCCTTCCCACCTTGGCCAGCAATTGCAGTCAGGCTTGCAGTAATGGCACCTGTTCGGTTTGGAATAGGGCCAAAGCTGCCACTTGCACCCCGTGGCCGTGCTAAGAATGGCTGGGTGAGGTTCCAAGCTGCATTAGCCACGTTACTTGCCATTGCAGCTGCCGAAGGAGAAGCCTCTCTAATATTGGATGGGTACACCGACGACGATATTTTCGGGCGATGACGAAGAGGTGGCCAAATGAAGGCGTTGTGTGGCACGTCGAGAAAATGTACCGTGTTCCGCTCTGTGACCATGGCAATCGTTTCACCAAGTGGCATGGTCCATATCACATCGACAATTCTCGCAACAGTAAGGCGAGTAAACAAAGCAATCTGCCGAACATGTATACCCTGCGAAGGCCCAGGAGCCTGCGGTTGCAAAGCTGAAGACTTCGTATGCTGTATCCGCATCAGGTCCCAGATAAATTGAACGTCCCCCTTGTTGCTTGCGGTGAACAAGGCTAGACCTGTCGGAGAGAATGACATATAACTGCAGCCAAGAGGCACTTTGAACGTGGCCATAGTCGCAGATGTCGTATTCCGAAGCGTTGCAAGCTTGCCAAGGTCCACAATTGTTATAAGAACGGGGTCCGACTGTGACGTATCGTACTGCAAGGCGGCTCCATGCGTGGGTGGAAAGTCCGGAAGAGGTTCCTTCTGGTTCGAAGACTGCCAGCTTCCGTTTACATTATTGGTAGGGTTATGCCAATAATTCGCCCATACCCTTGATCCTTGGTCCCCAACCCATTTCGCACCCTTGATAGCCTCTTGAGCTGCCTGGCGTCGCAAACGGCCCCAGAACTCTTCTCCCTGGGGCGTGTCAACAGCACAGTTAGCCGTAGGCATTTGTGGCGGTGCGAAAGTATTCAGTCCAGGTATTCTAGTGTTCGACTTCGAGATGTCAACACGCGCTCTTAGCGACACTTGGTTCATTGCACTAGAAGGGCTGTAAGCCAGCCATTGGCCTCGTAGTGAAAGTAACGTCGACTTTGGACGTAATTTATTCAGCCTGGCTTCATTGAACTGGCCATCACCATCCCCGAAATCAGGCTGGGTTGATGACTCATAAGGGGCTGGTTGTTGAATTGTAGTCCAGAACTTGCCTAGGCATCGAAAGCTCATTGACGAATCGTTGTCGATCTTTATTTGACGGAAAACCCATAGCTCGCCAGTGATTCCTGATGAAACCACAATATTTCCTGCGTCTGCAGTTACCGTCAAAGCACCTGCTGGTGCTGGAGGGACGAAATGCGGGCTTGTGATCGGTATTGGGAGAATCGTCTCTGGAAGAGAGAGAAGTGTTCCCACGTATCTCTTCGTGCTTAACGACCAAACTTCCACTGTTGTTTGATAGTGTTTAGTCGAGCCCCCTTGCATACGATGACCTCTTGATGAATTGCAGATACTGCCAAATGTCTGTTCGGCGGGTTCTGTGGCTCCAAGATTTGGTGAACCCTGTTCGCCATCATTTTCATATAATGCAGGTCCATGTACCACAGCAGCAATCAAAGGAAAGCCGCTGGAGAGCTCGCCTTTCACTGTCCATGGCAAAATCTTCGCGCTATAGACACCACCGCGTAGGCCATCGAGAGTCGATATCTCGGTGTGTCCCGACTTCGAAATTGCATTAACAGTCAAGCCTCCTTCAAACCCAGATATAACCACACTCTCAGTGTGTTTCGAGCCAGTTCTGGATGTATTAATGCTGTCCAAACCAAAGAAGTAACCCTGTGAGCCTGGTTTTAAGCCCATGCGGCGAATCGGTAGCCCTAAATTGATATCGGGCGCACCATAGAAATGCGGCTGCGCCTGGTGGGGAAGGGGAGGATGGGAGGCAAAGCGCTGTGACTGTTGAGAATAAGTCGAATTTCTGCGATGCATGCTGGATCCTCTTTGTGACATATTGTCCTCAAATGGATTGTGCCCATCGATCTGTACGCTTAGTGGCCTTCGACGATAACTAGGTGGGGACGCGGATGGGTTATGTCCATTTACGCCTTTCCGCTCTCGTTGATTCCATTCAGCAAGTGTATTTTTGTCATCATAAGATGATGGAACCGTCGGCGGAGTGTCGCTGGGGTTGACGAGATTACCTGGAGAGCTCGAGAACGGTGGGATGTTTCTGGCCCATTCCGTGGTGCTCCGCCCCGGAGACTGGCCAAAGTCAGGGGATGGTAGAGCGTCCAGCAACGGCGATGTTATTCCTGGCCTATTTGTACTTGTCGCAGTTGTTATCGGCTTGACGTCAGAAACCGGTGGTGTAAAAGGCGGCGGCGAAGGAGTTGCTGGCTTATTGTCGTCTCTGTTATACGATCAGTATGGCGCCTTGTTTCACGGGGCGCTGCCTTCAACGGCGGTCTGGCATATGTCTTTACTTACAGTACTTTAGATGCAATATTTATTGCCGTAGCGCCTCGACCATTGTTATCCTTCGCCGCCGCATTTCTCCTTTCCTTCTTGGACGGAATGGTGGCTGAGGGAGATGATGACTGGGGTGACTGTTTCCGAGCCAGCGATGCGATAATAGATGCAGGTTTGTTGTCTTTCTCAGTCGAACGGGTCATTCAAAGACTTGATAGAAGCTGTATACAGGTAAGACCTGGCTACAGCCGCGCCAGCAAGAGTTGAAACGCGATGAAGTTGGGCGTACGATGCTGTCAAAGCTGATGCGGCGGCTGGGTCTGCCAAGGTGGCACTTGATCCCGGCTTACCAGCGTCGTCGACTTTAGAGCGTTGGGGATGTTCAAATGACTGTGATGTATTCCAAGTAGTAGTATTTCACCTGGATGCGACCGGCGACTTTATATTCTTCTAGATGTAGTTTGTAAGTGTTGTGGTTTGAAGAGCAGAGAGCCCTTTGTGGCTTGCGTGACTGTGGATGATAAGCTGCGACCAGAAGGAGGGGCGGGGCATTTGGCGACAGCGGCGCCCGCCTGGCTGGACCCCGTACAGTCGTCCGGTCTGCCGTAAGTCACCGATTAGCGGCATTTATCCATTTCTGACACTGTCGGGCACAACTGCTCATGCGAGTAACTTGGTGGCCAGATCTCATTTTACAAGTCTGTAAACACGTCCAAACACGTTTGGACATGTTTACAAATACATCCTCTACTGTGATATTAGAGTATAGGGCAGAGGCAAAATGAGCTGAAAATCAAACATATTCATTAGATATTGTAATTTTATCCCTGAACCAGCGTTGTCCATCACGAGCAACCTGGTGAGCCTTTTGAGAGCATGATTTGCGCAACCCTTTCCCCGTTGCGCCTCAACCACTATCAGTGTTTGAGGGATCCTGCGCCCTTGCTTGTCTCCTCTGCCGCTTTACATCCTCCGGAAGATATCTGGTAACAGTGCAGTTGTTGTAGTACAATACTCTGTCGATAGGTAACCTCAGGCGCGACGATTTACGCCTTCTTCTTCGATGGCAGCTTCGCCTTCGCTGCCTTCTTTCTGTTGCTTCGGATCATGACAATGCTCAGGAATGACCCTACAAGGGCTGATCCAAGTAAAATGATGATAACAGGTATGCGAATCGCCCATACTCGTGGTGGGAATAGTTGTTGGATTGGTTGATCAGGGTCGACGAATGGCTGCCACAGTTAGCTGATGTGCCTCAAGCCCGACCTTGCCATCGGCTTACCATAAGAAGCGTCCAGATAGAATAGTAGAGGAACACAGCAGAGGCTACCAAGAGCATTGCGAGACCGACGAGTTTGTCAAGCTGAGGGAGTAGACGTCAGTAGGAACCTGATGGGAGCCGTGGTGTACCAACCATTGTCGCAATAGAATAGGATATTAGTGCCAACAGAATGAAGTCAAACCGAAGCGCTTCAATGTCTTATGGCAAAGGGCGATGTTGCGACTCGTGGTTGAATTACTTTTGGCTGCTTGAGTGCAGTTCAATAATGTCCAGATCCCTCGGTTTTCGAAGCTCCCTACTCGATTTACATGGGTTCTGGTCGTGACGCGCTACACTGCCCGTCATTAAGCTTGTCTCTATTGGGGTCTAGCCCAAAAGGTAAGGTTGCCGCTGCATCTTGCATCGCTCGAAATAATAATTTGGACGCAAGCAAAGAACACAACTGCAAATGAACGCCAACAATTAAACTGGAGTGCCTGTAATAGTGTCACCATTGACGAGGAACCTCGTACGAACACGTGCGACGAATTATAACTCCTGGTCAAGCGATACTTCGCAGGAGGCCGTCGCGCCGCGCGACAGTCTTGCCATTCGCCTACTCACCTTATCGCCGATCGACCATCGATTTAGTTGCGCCTTGAGAAAACTTCAAGAGCAGCTTCGAGGCCAAGTTCACGATGGAGGATCCAGCGCCTACCTCGCCCAAACGACACTCGGACGAAAGGTCTCCAAACAGGGTACCTACGTCGCCGCGTCGCAGCGATCATCACAACAGATCACACGACAAACCATTGGCTTCTCGAGGCCGTCCAGCCACAACCATAAGGACGGAAGAGGAAAAGCAAGCAGCTGCGAAGGCAGAATATGAGAAGCTATTAAATGTGAGGTCTGGAGGCACATACATTCCTCCTGCGCGTTTAAGGGCTCTGCAGTCGCAAATCACCGACAAGTCGAGCAAGGAATACCAGCGCATGGCTTGGGAAGCCCTCAAAAAATCCATTAATGGTCTCATCAACAAGGTCAACGTCTCGAATATCAAGTTCATTGTGCCGGAGCTCTTCGGCGAGAACCTCGTAAGAGGGCGCGGATTGTTCTGCCGGAGCATTATGAAGGCGCAGGCTGCCAGTTTGCCATTCACTCCTATATACGCAGCCATGGCAGCTATCGTCAATACGAAGCTACCACAAGTAGGCGAGCTACTCCTTACAAGGCTTATTATACAATTCAGGAAAGCCTTCAAACGAAACGATAAGGCTGTCTGCCTCTCTTCTTCCACCTTCATCGCACATCTTTGCAACCAACAGGTGGCGCACGAAATGATCGCCGCCCAGATACTTCTCTTATTACTACACAAACCTACGGATGACAGCGTTGAAATTGCTGTTGGCCTAACTCGCGAGGTAGGCCAGCACCTGGAAGAGATGAGCGGCCCCATTGCTTCGGCTGTTTTCGACCAGTTCCGAAGCATTCTCCACGAGGCAGATATCGACAAGCGAGTTCAGTATATGATTGAGGTGTTGTTTCAAGTCCGGAAAGACAAATATAAGGATAATCAGGCTATAAAGGAGGAACTGGATTTGGTGGAGGAGGAAGATCAAATTACACACCGTACGAGCTTGGATGATGAGCTCGACGTCCAGGATGGCTTGAATATTTTCAAGTTTGATCCAGAGTGGGAAGAGCATGAGGAAGCATACCAGCGTCTTAAGGCGGAAATTCTTGGGGAAGGCAGTGACGAGGAGGATGAGGAGGAGGACGAGAGTGATGGAAGCGAGGATGACGAAGAAAAGCAAGAAGAGAAGGCCTTGGAAATCAAGGATGCGAGCAATGCTGATCTCGTGAATCTAAGAAGGACAATATACCTGACGATCATGTCTAGTATCGACCCAGAGGAGTGCTGCCACAAACTGATGAAAGTTTCGTTGCCTCCTGGACAGGAACCCGAGCTTCCCGGTATGATCGTCGAGTGTTGTTCGCAAGAGCGCACATATCAAAAGTTCTACGGCCTGATTGGAGAGAGATTTGCTAAGATCAATCGCCTCTGGACCGACCTCTTCGAGCAGTCTTTTGCTAAGTATTACGATACGATTCATCGCTATGAGACGAACAGGCTGAGGAATATTGCACGCTTCTTCGGCCACCTTCTCAGCTCAGACGCGCTTGGCTGGCACGTCCTTACCGTTATCCACTTGAACGAGGAAGAGACTACGTCAAGTAGCCGTATCTTCATCAAGATCCTGTTCCAAGACCTCGCGGAGGCAATGGGCATGAAGAAACTTCAGGCACGTCTGAAGGACGATGCATACCAAGCCAACTTCACAGGCTTATTCCCCCGCGACAATCCGCGAAACACGAGGTTCTCAATCAACTACTTCACCAGCATCGGCATGGGAGCAGTTACGGAGGACATGCGCAAGTACCTACAGAACATGCCCAAGCCAGCGCTACCTGCCCTCCCCGCCGCGGCGGAGTCGGAGTCGGGCAGCTCCGTATCAAGCTACTCATCTTATACGGGCTCCTCGTATTCACGCTCTCGATCCAGATCCCGATCGGGCTCTCGGTCTCGGCCACTCGTACGAGCGCGCTCGCGCTCGCGCTCGCGCTCACGTTCCCGATCCCACTCAAGCTCTCGCTCCAGATCCCGTTCCCGCTCCCGGGGTCGCCCACAATCGCGCTCCCGGTCGCGTCGCCGCTCCTACTCGCGCTCGCCCTCCCGGTCGCTCTCTCATTCACCAGTCCGAGGAGCAACTCGCCAAGTTTCGCGCGGTCGTTCGCACTCTGCTAGCCCTCGCAGGCGTTCTGGAGGCGCAAAGAGGGGGAGGAGCATTAGCCGCTCGCGCTCAGACTCGCGGTCTTTGTCTCCCTCAGCAGAGCGTTCACTGAGCCCAGCGCGTCGACGAGGACCGAGGTCTGCGTCGCCTCCACCAAAGAGACGACGCGAATACAGGGATTCGAGGTCGCCGTCACCACCGCCGTCGAAGAGGGGTCGGAGGTATAGCTAGATAAAGATTTTGTGTTATATGTACAAGGTGCAAGTGGAGATTGTTTCGAGTAGACGGGAGATGGGTGGACACAGGGAAGGAAAGCATATGAAACAGAAGGCTGGATGGCTCAATCAATTCTATTATACCCCAACCCAACTATTATTGTATTGCAGGCCAAGCAAGCAACGATGGCACATCGCATCGTGAACAATTTCGCTTCCCATGAGACGGCAGTTAGCCTCTCACCTCCCTCCCTCTCTCTCTCTCTCTCTCTCTCTACCTAGGAAATTCATTGAGCCCAACTTGGGTTCGGGTCGTCGTGTCAGACGCCCAAACGCCTTACACGAAGTACAGAGCATGTCACCTCCGTCCGCATAACCCCCCGAGAGCTCGAGCATCCACAGCTAGCTCGCAGTTTGGATTAATCATCACGCAGCACTACTCACTGTACTCTAGGGCTGTAGTGCGGTGTACAAGCGGGACTGTGGACTGGATTTGGATATGGAAGCACACATTCAGGGAAGAGAAAGAAGTGGTAAGGCCGTACTTCGGGATTGATGGACGGCTTATGATCATCGGATATTGTTTCCGCCAGATATCCAATATCCACAACCAACAACCAACGTGGAGTGGCGCCACAATTTTGTCATCTATTTTCATTAACCAAGAGTGGCTTGAGACGACATTTACATAACTTACAAAGCGTTACGCTCACGCCTGGTTGCTGTTGACACCCCTACCGATATGCGGATCGTTGGACCTCTCGGGGGGGTGTGCGCATAGACTGCCACATGAGTTATCCTTCCTTCCATGCACCCCCCCCCGCTACTACGCGTTCCATGCATACATCAGAGTCTTGGCGTTTATAGGATCGAACCAAAGGGTCCTCCGCTCGTCAGCAGTTTCGGGTTGAGCTGTATCCCCGAAAATCTCACTTCTCCACTGTTGTATGTACTGTTACTGTTGCTGTGGGCGAGAGAGCTCTCCCTCTCGTTATCAGCAAACCCATCTCGTGTGTAAGTGGCGCAACCTCCTCATATCATCAAAGTAGAGAGAAGAGTGTCTTCCTACATACAGCCTCGTTCTTCTCTTATCCTCGCTCCTCCTCCCCTGCTTTTAATGCTTAATTCATATTTACTTCGGTCCCCAGCAGTTACTACGCTGGCTGCATAGCATTCCCACTAATCACTCCCGATGATGGAGGTGTGATAGACACCTCCAACAACCCCAATGAGGCGGCCATCGGTCATTGAATCATCTAGCCTCAAACCCTACCCCGAATGGGATATACCTCGGACAAGTATGAACGCCGAAAACCCCCAATGTCGCCCACGGGCATGTTGCTAACGTGTCACCGCCAGTCCGCCCCAAGAGCTCTCGGGGCTCTCTCTCAAGCCAATGCTCCGCCGCAGAGCTGAGCTTACTCGACGACCTACTACAGACCCATCCGGGTAGCTTGGGGGGGGGAGGCTTGGTCATGGACGCGCCTAGATGGGACTCTCTGAGATCAACTCCGAACACACCTGCCAAACGATCATGGGAGGGAGGGGACGCCTCTCCGAGCTCCCACAGCGCTGGCCCAAGATCTGGGGAAGGCCAACCGCCTTCGCACTTCCGCCATCTCAGTGGACCGACACATACCGTGCGGAGGTCGTCTGATACAGCTGCCCAACAGGTTGGATGGGAGACAAGCGCACAGACACAGGGTTGGACTGCGAAGCCAGAACTAGCCCGGTATGGGACTGGCTTGGAGGATAGCTATGGGGCTGACCGACGGCAGCCTGTAGACTCTCGCGATGCGCCTCTGGGCAGATCCGATCATAATGCGGCTCCATTTCCGTCACAGCCTCCGTGGACAAAATATCGCCGCGAGAGCAGCGGCTCCAGCTTCCAAACAAATTTCGATCCTCCGTCTTCTAATGGTAAGTTGCAAAATTACGGCGTTAGGTTGCGAATGCTGATCGGTTGGAATAGAAACGATGTACCAGGGAAGTCAAGATACAAGGAGGTCATCATATACGCTTGCTGCGGATGAGTTGGGGGCCGCAGATCCCCGCCGTGGGTCTTCGTCGGCAAAGGTCTCACTTTTTGAACAAAACTGCGAGAGATGCAATTTGTTCAGACCTCAAATAAAGCAATTTATTTCTATGGCACAGAAATTTGAAACGTCACTTGGGCCGTTCGGACCATACCAGGAAATTCATGAACATGTGAGTAGTTTCCACGGAGCGGGCGTGGTGGACATAGCGTTAGTAGAAGTTCTAACATTTCTTAGTGTCTCAGACAAGGGACGGTGCACGATGAGGTTCCGAATTTCCCTGAAATACATCGCATCCTTGGCCTACTAAATGAGGTAAACGACCTTGCCAAAAATGTAGTCCAGCTTGGACCGGTATACTTGGTAAAGGTCAAGGAAGATCATCAGCACAAACTGTTAGAAAACATCAAACTCGAATACAACCCTCCGACATTGGAACGATATTTCTCGTCGGAATCTGACGATGCCTCGAAAAGGCGTCGGCTGGGATCTATGAATACGCGAGGGATGGAACGCCAGTCTACGCATCAGGGTCGGGCAGGGGATGCACGTCGACACTTGTCGGCAAGTCCATCCACCGATAGGTTACCGCCGATATACTTCAGTTCGACATCCCACATGGCACCGGAATCCTCGGGATTCAAGCTCCCCCCAATGAATCCGCCGCCGGCTCGTGGGAGGCACATTACATCGCCACAGAGACCACATAACTCACCGCCCTCATATAATATGTCATCACCTGACCCATCCTCCTTTCCACCATCTTCTTCGGCAAATAAGCCCCCCCAACTATCTCATCAGTCATTATCACCTCCGCAGTCATCGTCATTTAGCTCAGGGGCGATAGGCGGCGCAGTTCCGCCTGCTGTGGCCACTCATACAGCGACTCTTCAGCACGAAGTTTCCGTGAAATCCAACACCCTCCAAACACTCCAGCAAGGGCACGACAAGTTACTCGCCGCATTATCACGATCGCAAACTCGTTCCCGCGCACTGGAAGAGAAGCAGGTCGTTTCCGACAACGAAGTCAACGTCCTTTCCGAAGACAGGAATCGACTAATGGATCGAATCGCAGAGCTCGAAAAGGAGGTCTCGGAGGTCAGCGAGGCGAGAGATGAATACCGTAATGCGGGCGTCAAGGAGGGGAAGCAATATGTCGAGATTGTGACAATGGCGAGTCGCTTGGAACTCATGGCGGCCGAGGAGCGGAAAATTATGGCGGCGGGTCTGGCGGAGAAAGAGAGGCAATTAATGCAGAGAGCAGAGCTGGGTATGATAGCTGGCGGGTCCGTGGCACAGCATCCTGCTTCAAGACACTCGGATGAGGTTATTGTCCAGCTCAATGGTAAGTGCGCCAAGTACGAAGCGGCGCTGAAGGATATTAGGCGGAAGAGGCGGCGGATTGATGATATTGTCGCCGAGCTGGGGTCGGCTGGTTCTGATATCTCCCAGTCTTTGAACGGCGTCCTGGGTGACGAATTGGGGGAAAGTACATAGTGGGTGTGGTGACACAAAACGTTAAATCAACAAGTGGGGTATGCAGTACGCCTGCATCTTGGGCGTACTAGGCAGGGTGGAATTATCAGATTTGATACCATCGCACAGGTTATCTGTGTTTGTTGATAGCATAACTGCAAGGAAAGGGCAGCTTGACCTAAAATAAATGTAAATAACCATCACATGGAGGCTCAAACACGTTCTGAATGCGCCCATAATCAAACCCAAAACCAAGGCAGTCTAGGTGCCCTACTGAATACCTAACCCGCTGCCATCGTTTACCCACCTCATGTCCCACAGTAGAAACCTCCAATATCTGCTCCCTCATCCTCTCCACAATCCTAACCCGCCCCCCCGAATCCTCCAGCCTCCTCCTCCCTCGATTCCGTAGCACTGCTCGGCGTGGGTGTTTCCTGATGGCCCATCTGTGTAGCCGGTTGATAATATGGTCTTTGAGTCGGCGTCGAGGAAGAGGGCGCCGACGCGGAAGTTTGTCGATTTGGGGAAGGGGGCGGGCTACTTGGAGGGCGTGGGACATGGTGAGATGGCGGGGTAGGGTGGGGTGGACGCATTGGGAGGCTGACGGGGGTGGTTCAGCTTCGAAATAATGGCGACGATCTAATTTACAGTATAAAGATTCAATTGGCAATTAATATTTTCAATGCCATGGTTGGGCGAGTCGTTGTGTGAGACTAAAAGTAATCATGTTTCCAGCGGCCCGGGGTGCCAATGCTTCCAATAAATGTATTTGCTCCCGTACTTCGCCGACGAAGCCGCCAAATAAATTACTAAACGTCACAACCCGCCGACGTCTTCTGCTTCCTACCACTCATACCCTTCGTCTTTGAACCCCTACAAGCCCATCATGGCTACTCACGCGCTTCCCAAGTACCTGACTGGCGACAAGGCGGCGATCAATGAGTTTATCGATAAGTTTGACGTGGGTCTCTGGCGCATGGCGGGATATGGGGGGTAATTTATGCTGATACTGGCAACAGGTGTTTCTCTTCGATTGCGACGGTATTTGAGCCAGCGCGAATCCTGGGCCTTACAATTATTGACGGATTCCAGGGGTTTTATGGTCGGGAGACCATCTCTTTGAGGGGGTCGTGGATACGCTGGAGTTGTTGAGGTCGCGGGGTATGTGGCAGTCCGTCCACTACGACTTCAAGCATAACTACTATCAGGGCTGACAAAAGCATCAGGCAAGCAGACAATCTTCGTCACGAACAATTCTACAAAGTCTCGCAGTGACTACCTCAAAAAGCTCACCGCAATGGGCATCCCCAGCAACGTCGACGAGATCTTCGCCTCCGCATACTCCTCCGCCATCTACATCTCCAAAATCATGAACCTCCCCAGCCCCAAGAACAAAGTCTTCGTCCTCGGCGAAGCCGGCATCGAGACCGAGCTCCGCGAGTGCGGCGTCCCCTTCATCGGCGGCACAGACCCCGCCTACCGCCGCGACATCACCCCCGCCGACTACACCGCCATGGCAGACGGCTCCCTCCTCGACGACGACGTGGCCATCGTCCTCGCCGGCCTCGACTTCCACATAAATTACCTCAAGCTCTCCGTCGCATACCAGTACCTCCGTCGCGGCGCCAAGTTCCTGGCGACCAACACCGACAGCACACTGCCTAGTAACCACACCTTCTTCCCCGGTGCGGGCTCCATCAGCATCCCCCTCGTCAACATGACCGGGCAGCAACCCATTGCACTGGGCAAGCCGAGTCAGGCCATGATGGATAGCATAGAAGGGAAGTTCCAGTTGGACCGCTCGAAGGCCTGCATGGTCGGCGACCGACTCAACACCGACATTAAGTTCGGGATCCAGGGACGGCTGGGCGGGACGCTGGCGGTGCTTACTGGCGTGAGCAAGAAGGAGGAGTGGGAGGTTGAAGGCGCAGAGACGGTGCCAGCGTACTATGTGGATAAACTGAGTGATATCAAGGTCTAGAGCGGGTTTCGGGGGGGGCGAGCCTCGTCATGAAAAATTGCTATATAGATCTTTTAGAGTATATAAACTGGGTTAACTGTGTTAATTGGACGGTTTTACTAGGGAAACTGCACGCGATTCTCCCTTGGTGAGCTGGGTGAACCTGACTTGTGGCTTTACCGTCTCGATTTAATACTATTATGGCTCGTGGCAGCTGAGAAAGAGGGGCATTTGACGTCATGGCGACGGGTTGGTCTTGCAACTTTTTTATGAAGAACGCCACAGTTAAAAGATGGCGGTCCATTTGTACTTTCCTCAGATCTTTTCTTCTGAATTAACGGCAGATTTAGAGTTTATACTCCATCATCTGTTTAGGGGCTATTCACAGGCGCTTTTAGACGTTCCAAACCCTCCCAAGACAACCCAAGAGAACCCAAGAACACCCAAGAACTTAATTCAAACTCGCTCTCAAGCATCCCCCAAGACGCACTGTCTCGCCTTATCTCTTATCGCTACAACCACCTCCGCCCATCAACCCCCACCAAAACCCCCCACCCGCAGCTACCTAACCCCAATTTGCCGAGAAATTTCTCCGAGGGTGGGAGTCCCGGGCGCGCGCCACCTGCCCGCCATGTCGAGCATGGATACGGAGTCAGACGAGGAGGCCCAGCGCGCTCACATGGCGACGACGGCACTCCTGGCTCGACGCACGCGCCTGACGCGCAGCCTGCGCGACAGCCCCTACGACCTCGTGCTGTACATCGAGCGCGGCGTCGCGCACTCGGAGCTCGGCTACCCCGATCTCGCGGCGGGGGATGCGTACCGCGCGCTGCTGCTGACGGACGAGGTGAGGGATGAGGGCTTTGAGTATCACGAGGTTGCGGCGGAGGCGCTGAGGCGGCATGAGGAGCGGGGCATACTGGGGGAAGGGGGGGGGGGAGGCGTTACGGCCTTGTTGCATGTTGCGAGTACAAGGTGTTATCGCATTTTGGCCATTAGTCTGTTGCTTTGTGGGTGTTTGAAGAGCGCGCATGAGTTCTGTGAGAGGGGACTGGAGAAGGCCCCGGGGGATGAAGAGTTGACACAGACGCAGGAGTATATCATCAATCTGGCGCGGCGGAGACTGAAGACCGCGACGGTCAACCCGGAGGACTTTCCCGATCAAGGCCTCGTGAGGCGCGAGGCCTATCCGTGGAACGACTACGAGCCCGACCGCTATTCCAAGGAGACACTCGACTTTCTGAACGCCGAGCTAGCCAAGGTGGCGCCGAAATGCGTCGCTTTGGTTACGGAACTGCCTACCTTGGGAGACGCCTTGGTTACAGGCACAGATGCCGACTTCACTATACCGACGAATAAGCAACTCGGACTCTTTGCAAAGGAGGATATTGCCCCGATGGAGACAGTGCTCCACGAGATCTCGGCCCTGACAGTCAACAACTCCCAGGTATACCCGCTCTGTGATGCGTGCAGCACTGAACTCCCAGATGTCGGATCCGAGGAGGAGTGCGTGCCGTGTGAGGAGTGCGTTGAGACGGTATACTGCTCTCAGGATTGTCACGACTTCGCGATGGAGGCTTACCATCCGGCCGTGTGTGACCGGGAAGTTGATGGGATTGCGAAGAACACCCATCAAAGGGAGACCGCCAACATGCTCCACCTGCTGCTCCTCGGGCGCGCGCTCGCTATGTCCGCCACACAGGATATACACCCACTCGAGCTCAAGGAGGTGAAATACATCTGGGGCGACTTCCTACCCACCAGCTCGAACGCTGTCCCATTCTCCCCGCAAGCCGGCCCACCCCCGGTCTGGACGCTGCCCTTCTCTTTCCGCGCCAACATCACTGGGCCGCTGGACATGCTGGAGAAGATGGAAATCGACGTCTTCGCGGAGCTTGACAAGTACGACCTATGGATCTTCAATACTCTGTACTCCAAGTTCCGTGGCACAGCGAGTGCGCGCGTTAACAAGCTCGACGGGCGTCCAGAGGTCGCTGCAGTGCACCCCCTGTGGTGCCTCGCGAACCACGACTGCGACCCGAACGTGCAGTGGGAGTGGGGCATGCGGATGAAGCTGTGGGCGAGAGGCGAGCGGATCGACGGGCGGAGCCCGGGTGTCGCTAAAGGAGAAGAGATCATGAACCATTACTGCGACATTGAGCTTACTGTTCAGGAGCGCAGGGAGTGGGCGAAGGGTAGTCTGGGGGGATACTGCATGTGTGATCGCTGCCGGAGAGAGGCGAAGAAGGAAGATGAGGTGGCGGCGAATGGAGTGGATATGGCGGCGATGGTGAGCATGGTCAATGGCATGAGCATGATAAGCAGGGCGCATGAGATAGCTGCGAATGAACAACCTAATGGGGTTCCGGAGATCAACGGCATTAGACAGATCACTTAGATGGGGGGTTAAAGGGGGGGGGGGGGGGTATCATGCACTTACTGGCGTCTAGTTCATGGGGATGAAGCTGTTGATTCCTGTTGATATATAGAGCAGTATTCGGTAAAACCTCGCTATTAGTCACGTGAAACCGGGGGTGATGACGCACAATCTTTGGCTTGGCATTTCGTTATCTCGTATCTTCGTGTAGTCGTCATGATGATTGGGACCTTTTTATTTAATTATTTTTGTACCTTTTCGCTATTTTCCTACGTAGTCCCCTCTATTTTGCTGACGAGCGTATATATTGATATGTGAATAGATATTGTATTTCTGTTTAGTATCTATATATATATTTTGTATTATTTTATTTAAATCCTACAGCCCCCAGAATCAAAAAGACAACGCAGAAGAGGGGTACTCATCTCCTTGTGCCTAGCCTAGTTTACGTCTACTACTACTACTATTGTGCTGCAACACTCTAAACTTACCCCACGCTAGGGCGAAAGGACCGACGACTCAATGTGCAACGACGCCACTCTGCAACTCCAAGGAACAACCCTTCTTCTTCTTCTCTCCATAATCTCTTGTCTCACCCTTCTATAAACTTGATTCTGCACTGCTTCACCAAACCCCATACTCTCCGGACTCGACGTGAGGAACAATCTCCAGCGAAGCGGAAAAATATCAGGCCAAGCAAGGCTACGGAAGCTCTCAAAAGCGGGTTCCCTCGATTGCATAATCTCTCCGTTTGCAGCCTACCCCTCCACCAAAACCCAACCAACCTGAAAAGGCTGTCTTAAACACCCCCGGGCCCTCCCATCAGCTCTATCGGATACATTTCCCTCAGGTTCTTCCCTGCCTCGTCCTTCTACTTGAGACACAACCCACAACACACCGAAGACCCTCAACCCAAACTCCAAGATGGGCAAACAACCAAACCTCTACTCCTTCCCCACCGTCAACGACCTCGCCCCCGGCCTGCGCCACTACGTCGTCCAAGCCCAAAACTCCGGCATCAACAGGCACGGCACCTTCAAAGTTGCCGTCTCCGGCGGCTCCCTCCCCAAGACCCTGGCCGCCGCTCTCCTCCGCCCCTCCACCGCCCCCGAAGACACCCTCAACTTCTCGAAGTGGGAGATCTTCTTCGCCGATGAGCGCGCCGTGCCCCTCGACCACGCAGACTCCAACTACGCGCTCCTAAAATCGGAATTGCTCGACAAGATCCCCGCCGAGCTCGGCGCCCCCTCCGTCCACCCCATCGATGTCGCGCCCCTCGACGACGTCCAGGAGATGGCCGACCAGTACGAGAAGCTGCTCGTGCGCAACTTCGCGCAGCGCGATTCCGTCAAGCTGCCTATCTTCGACCTGATCCTGCTTGGCTGCGGTCCGGATGGGCATACGTGCTCGCTGTTCCCGGACCATGAACTGCTGCGCGAGTCGGACGCGTGGGTCGCGTCCATTGAGGATAGTCCGAAGCCGCCGGCGAAGCGGATTACGCTTACGCTGCCGGTGGTGACTCATGCGGTGAAGATTGCGTTTGTGGCGACGGGGGGGGGGAAGAAGGAGGTGCTGAAGCAGATCTTTGAGGATGGCACGGGACTGCCGTGTGCGCTTGTTAATGAGGGGGGCGGGGATAGAGTGAGTTGGTTTGTGGATGATGCGGCGGTGGAGGGGGTGAGTTACCCGAGAAGGGGGAGCCTGTGAGGCTCTCCTCTGGGAATGATGGTGGGCAAGGCCATTTTGCAGGTGCGTTGGCCGGATAAGACAGGACGGCTGTGGACGGGGAAGGTGAAGGAATGCTATCGTCTCTCCCATCACAAGCTCTCTGTGGGTTTTTGATTGCTTGTTGGCTTGAAATAGACGGGATAAAGGGCTCAGTACCGCAACGAAGCGTGGGTAATAGGAGGAGAGAAGTGATAATTTGTGAAGGGAGTTATTTAGCATTGCTATTCGCCACTCATGTTTTACACTGGCTTTTGAAGAAGATAGGCTGTTGGCCAATACAAATGTAGCTTCACCAATTTATTGTTGTTGACCACCATTCGAGCCTGTTGCATGTTGTAATGTGATGGCAGATAATCCTCTCACCTTCACCAACCCAGATACAAGTTCATAGACACAGATTATGAGGTGCCTCAAAAGTCATCGATATGTACATCTATATATATAGCTCGTATATCATACAAATCGTTGGCTCCGCGCCAGCTCGAGGGCATTCCGTATATACAACAAAGCCATCCCCATTTGTTCAACCTGCCCGCCTTTTCCATTTCCCGCCTGATCCCCCCAACCTTTCTTTTTCCAAAAAATAACACAAATCGCCATTCCATCCCCCTTCTATATTTTCGTTGCCAACACATTTCTCATCTCAAACACTCACCACCGCCCTCCCAACACTACCCCCCCCCCGCATAACTTTCTCACCAGCCAACCCTTGCCCCTTAACCTTCTCCAAACACCCCTCACAACACCTCACCGCACACCACGCACAACACCACCGTCCCTCGCGATCCTTAATCCCACACACCCCACACGCAAGCGCATACACATCATTCCTACTCCGGTGCATCACCCGATGCCCCTGATAACAACTAACCTGCATCTCCCCCAGCGGGAGCGCCTCATACACCACCTCGTCATCAGGGTCGCTTGACGCGATCTGGAGGAAGGGCGAGGACTCCAGGATGGTAGTCATGCGCTTGCTAATCTCGCCGGGGACTTGCAGTTTGTAGCTGCTTTCTGAGGCGGGGCTGAGGGTTGAGGGGCTGGGTGGTTGGCAGGTGGTGATGGGGCTGAGGGATTTAGAGCCTGGGGCGCTGTTTTTGGCAGTGCCCATGACGATGGGGGCGAGTGGCTTGGGGCTTGCCGCGCGACCACGGGGTGGTTCGCGTGTAGCTGGGGGAGAGAAGCGGGGGCTTGAGATGGCGATGGTGGGGGGCTGTGGGGGTGGAGGTGCCGCGGAGGTTGTGGGTAGAGATAGGTCGGTGGCGGAGGGGCTGGTCTTGGTGCGGAGGAGAGGGTGGATGTGTGCTTGCGCTGGGTCGACTGGGGAAGTTTTCCCGTCGAGGATAGATACACTTGCGATTGTCTGGATGCTTGATGTCGATGCATCGGCCGGTGGAAGTTTCGGGCGTTGCGAGAAGGAGAATTGTCTGCCGCGGCTGGGTGGGCGACTGCCGTGGCCGGAACCGGGGCGGGAAGATGGGTCGTTGGGGGAGATTTGGGGGGAGTAGGGGAAGTGGATGAGTGGTGTTAGGGGGGCGGGTGCTGGGTCCTGTTTTTGGTAGTCGGGAGTAGGGAGCCGTGTGATTATTGGCTGGGTGCGTGTTGGTGTGGATGGTGCGGCCTCATCTGTGTTTCCGGAGTTGCGAAGCTTGCTCTTCAGCTTTGACAGGTTCCAGCCTGATCCTTCTGGCGACGGGAGGTCTGGTGATGAGTTATCTTCTCTGTCGGATGCGCGAAGTTTGTGCTTTATCTTTGAGAATGCGGAGCCACCCCCTTTGGTCTCTGAGGGAGCTGGCACGCTCTCATCCTCTGTGCCACGAAATTTACCCATTAAGCCAGTAGGCTTGGGGCGAACAGTGTCAAGAGATCCTTGTGAAGTGTGGCCTGGAGTCTGGATATCCCTATGTTGGTTAAGTTGCTCTGTAGAGCGAAACTTGTTCTTAAAGTTCAAGAGCCGCCCACCCATGGTTTCCGGCTGTGGCGGAGCTGGACGGGGAGCGACTGGCTCCCTCACACGCTGTTTTGTTGTGAAAGGCTGTGTTTGTTCCAGGTTGTCCTGACTTTGCATAGCCGGCAGGTAGTATGGAGCTGGTCCTGTCGCAAGCTGTGAATACTGCGTCGTGTGATGACTGTATTGTCGTGCGCCTTGTTCAGGCTGTGCATTTGACTGCATGTTCTTCTCATTGATAAATTGTGTCGGACGTGAGTGGAGCCCTACTGCGGGTCGATGGGATGCTTTCCTTGGAACCGCTGGGAGAGGAATTTGAGGAGCATCAGACGCCGCCGCTGCCTGCCTCAAAGGCTGGCTCGCTGTGAAACCATTACTATTTGCCAACTTCAAATCGGTAATTTTGACGCTCCGGTCACTTCTTTGGGACCTACGACGCCACAGCTCTGGTCGCCCTGATGACGTTGTACTTGAAATGGAATTGGAGTGCATTATCTGTGTCGATTTGAGAATCTCCTCCAACTCAAAGTGGTCCTCCTGCTTACTTCCCAGCACTGGTGAGTCAGGCTCGGGTGTGTTAGCGGCCTCTTCCTCTTCCCATACGAGAGAGCTTGCGGACTCCATTCGTTCCGGAGAGTTTGTCCAGCTACGACGGGTCCCAATTGTCCCGACTGTATGTGAAGAAGAGTATATTGAAGAACCACCAGCAGATGGTTTCCTCAGATGCTCGAGCAGCACAGATTTCCGTGGTGGAGCACGGTCAGGCACCAGTGCAAGGAGAGAATCGGGCCTTGGAAGGGACCTCTCATCGCCGTCCGGAGCTTCTGGTGTTTGCGACTGAAACGACGATGTTTGGTCACGGACGATGCTGGACGGAGGCTGTGGCAGAGCTTTAAAGCTTGATTGATCTCCGCTTGGAGTTAGAGAATCGACAGTCGCCATCTTTTTCAGAGCTGAGAATACAGGGCAGAAACAGTCCAGCTCAATGTTTCTGCATCTGTAAATGTCAACACAACAAACAGTCAAGCCACAAAAGTCCAGAGGAAGTTTATGGATGGAAGGCCCAGTGGAAGGCCTGTGGAGTTCCAGGGCAGCCCCATCCAGGTCAGACCTAAGATCACTATCATGCTAACTATGACGATCTCTCCCTGGGATCAGCCGTAGCATCAGCCCTGCTGGGGTCTAGTCAAGATATGAAACTTGATATATCGCGTTGCTTTCGGGCATTAAAGCAGTGCAGATGCAATAAAAGCAAGGATGAAATCCCTACTTAGACCCCACATACGCGTAGTATAGAGCAAATCATAGCCGAGTTAGCAATTGATTGACTGAATTCCGTGGCTGTGGGCGGAAAATGGAGGAATAAGTGGAATTTCGCGTTACATATTTACCAAATCATCCCATCCATGTTTGATTGTGGTGGATGTAAATTTCGGCTTAACTGTGTTCGGGGAGGGAGTGTGGAGATGTTAGAGAAATAATGTTGGAGAGACGGCAAAATGTTCCAGACTACAGCTTCATTATGCGTCGTCTACTTAGCACGGCCTGGCCGACCACATTCGTCGTTAGTCGTCACCCGAGAGACCAACCCTCTCCACTTTCTCAGCTCTCTCACAACAGCAACAAATAAACAAATGCCTGTATGAAGCAGAACAATGGCAACTGCACCACTTCCGAGCCGGACGCGTTCCATACGAAAGCCCAATGCTGGGATTGATCTGAAGTCGAGATTAAATGGGTTAAATAGCGAACAAGCTCCAGATGCGCCCAGGGGGAGGAGCCGCGGTGGAGACGCAATTGACTCGGCCAGGACGGGAAGCCAATCCCCAAGCAAGCTGCCCATGAGACCTCCCAGCTCAACCACTTCAACGTCACGACTCACGCGAACGGGAAGTCCATCGCACCGGGCGGCGTCAGCTAGCACTCGACCTGGATCCAACGATGGCTCTATGCGCCCCCCACGGTCTGTAACGACCAGACCACCACTGAGCTCCGACAACAGACCATCCGTCAGTAGGCCACCACTGTCTTGCGACAACCAGAGAGGCGCGCCCCTCCACAGCAGCTCCAAGACGCCCACTGAGCAATCGTCTTCCACGGGCCTGCAGCGACGACCTAGCACCACTTCCCGACACGCCCGCACCACCTCGATAGGCAGTGCGCCCTCCATCCGACCGCCAGCTTCTAAACACACTCGAAATACTTCAGTCACCCAACTCAGCTCCACGACGACTCTCAGGCCGCCCTCAGAAACAAAGCAAGCTCCCAACCCAGCTCTACACCGCCCCAATTTCTCCACTCTACAGCAACATTATTCGCCAGCTAAATCAATAGCGCCGAAACCGACAACAGCGAGCTTGCTGGCAGCTCCATCGCCGAGTAAACTGCCCTCGAACGTTGCGATATCGGCTGAGACAGCCCGGCTGCAAGCAGAGTTATTACAATTACACCTTCTTCACCGTGACGCGGCATCGGTGCAGGATCAATGGCTGGATAGCGCGAGAAACAAACTAGGTCATAAGTTTGAGACATTAGTGAGGAAGCATGGGGGGTTGGTGGCACAAGAGGAGGCACAGCATGGCCAGACCAACGCCCTAGCTTTGAAGGTATGGGCGGACAGCGGCATGCCGGGATGTGGGTTGGAGGAGAAGATACAGGTTCTAGATGAGGTGGTTACTGGCGTGTGGAGAATGGGTGAATCGGGGGGGAAGTATGCCAGGATTGTGAGGAGGTTTGAAAGGTGGATGCATACGGTGGTGGATATCCACCAAAGGCGTGAAAGAGGACATCTCCTGGATGGCGACGAAGTAATGTTCATCGAGGATATTGATGGGAGCTGGAGCGATGATTGCAGAGTTCAAGCCAGGAAGCTTGAGGAGTGGAGGGATAAGCTCGCTGACTTAGGGAAAGTGGAGGTCAAGAGCAGCCTCGCAACAGCTGTCGAGGGGTACACGACGCTGGTTAGAGGGATGCTGGAAGAGTTGGATACTATGCGGAGGATCGAGAAGGAGGTTATGATGAGCGAGCAAGTTTGGATCAAGGAGATGATCTCCGATGCGGGAGACGAAGAGGACGTTCCTGTCCGTTCTGGTGCCGCTTGGCACAGATGATGAGGGCCATGACACTGTTTAGATACCCATGTGAGCGAACAAGTTGCGGGCGAGCAGCAGCGTATGAGGATTATAACTATATATGAAATAATGCATCTAATTTTTATGGTATCGAGCTCGGGAGGCCCTATTAACCACGTGATACCGCGTCTTGTCAGCACGGTCTAATTTCGTCGTTGAGCAATCGAGGCGGGGTGACCCCATCGAGACTTCCGAACCGCGTCGGTCAGGGAATTATCGCAAAAGGGCGCGAGTGCGTCTCGATAGTTGGAAGTTCGATCGCAGGAACGCAGTGGAGCCTGGTTGGGGATTTAGCATCGCATTACTACCCACCCTGCTGCGAAGTATTCTCCGTCCTAGACACCAGTCAGCATTTAAAGCTCCCGCCGTCCAGTAGGGGAGGCAGAATGGCTCTCGGCAGTAGAGACAATGCAGGCGATGCATCTCCCTCGGAAACATCGCCGCTACTCGCCAACGCCTATGGGAAGACGAGAGATGGAAAGTTGACGATAGTTCCCAATGAGCCCATTGAGGAACCCGTCGGCGACGATGGAAGGATCGAAGATGAGGAGGCCCCTGAGATGGGGCAGGCGCCGAATCCGTTGATGGAGGGCTTGCCGGAGGTTGCTGCGAAAATGTATATCCTGCTTCCCGCTGTTGGGATCGGAGTAAGTATCCGAATGCTCCTTTCTATGTGCTATAAATCTAACGAGGCATACAGGTTTTCCTCGCTGCGCTGGACCAGACCATCATCGTCTCTACGTACGCCAAAATTGGCAGCGAGATGAATGCCCTTAATAGCACTAGCTGGATAGCCACAGCGTACTTATCCCCCTCTGATCTCTTTAAGGCCGTCCCCAACTAACAGTTGCCCAGATACTTCCTCACTCTCACCACCTTCCAGCCTCTGTATGGCAAGCTCAGTGACATCTTTAGCCGCAAGATGGCTCTCCTGAGCGCATACACCATTTTCGGCATCGGGTGCCTCTTCTGCGGTCTAGCGCGGAACATGGGAGAGCTGATTGCTGCGCGGGCTTTTGCTGGTATTGGTGGAGGTGGCATGTCGACGGTGGTGAGCGTTCTGCTGAGCGACATCATCCCCCTGAGGGAAAGGGGGAAGTGGCAGGGGTATCTCAATATTATCTACGCACTTGGTGCATCTAGTGGTGCGCCACTGGGTGGTTTGCTGGCAGATTCGGTAGGATGGCGATGGTAAGTCGAAGTTTCTCACGATCCCCACTCATTATTGTGTCTGAAGACTAACGGAACACACAGGGCCTTCCTTCTTCAAGTTCCAATGTGTGCCCTGGCCTTCACCGCAGTTTCCTTGAGGCTCGACCTCCCCGCTGCACCCCGTGCACACTGGGTCACTCGTCTCGGCCACATCGACTTCCTAGGCGCATCGCTTCTCATCCTCGCAACATGCTCGCTCCTAGTTGGTCTCGACCTTGGCTCAAATACTTCCTGGACCAGCACCTTGACAATCTCTCTCCTCGCTGCCTCTATACCTATCTACATCCTATTCATGGTGGTCGAGCACTACGTCTCGCACCCCTTTGCCCCAAGTGGCATTATCTTCAACAGGCTGCTTTCGCCACCACTCATATGCAACTTCTTCGCCTTTGCAGGCTACATGGCAATTATCTTCTACGTCCCCCTATTCTTCCAGGCCGTCTCTGGCTACACCTCTACGGAAGCAGGTCTCCTCTTGATTCCGGGCATCGTCGGCTCCGTAACCGGCTCCGTTGGCAGCGGCATCATCATGCAGAAGACGGGCAAGTACTATTGGCTCACGATTTCAGGGTACACTATGATGGTCACGGGTGTAACTACCATCTTCCTATGCTCTGGCGTACTTGTGACGAGCACTTTGGCGACGCTGGGCGCATTCTCCGTGACGGGTCTCGGAGGCGGCATCTCAGTGACGACGACGCTCATTGCCTTGGTTGCGTGTGCCGACCCGTCGGATATGGCTATCGTCACAGCATGCAGCTATCTCTTCCGATCTCTCGGGTCCGCGGTGGGCGTCTCTCTCAGTGCAGCGCTGGTTCAGCAGCGACTCAGAGATCAGCTGGCGAAGATGTTGGGGGATGGGGAGGAGACGGAGAAGATTGTCCGGGGAGTGCGGGAGAGCTTGGAGTATCTTGAGAAACTGACACCGGAGGTTAGGGAGGTGGTGCGGCAGTGTTATCAGAAGGCGGTCTCGGCTTCCTTTGGGCTTGCCGCTGTTGTCTTGTTGGCATCGGTGCTAAGCTCCATTTTTCTCGTGGAGAGGAAACTGAGCCGGTGAACTGGGGCGGTTAAAGGGAGAAGTGCATTTAGATTGTGATATTGTGTTGGATAGTAAGAAATTTTTAGATTTGGTGATTTTTAGAATACCTACCTGCTCTTGGATATGGATATTGATATAATATCCTGGCAAGACCTAGCCACTATAGAATCAATGCTATTTGGATTTTAAAATGCATGTCTCACCGTTGGACCCTGAGAATTCAATCTCTGGTACCATACGATCCAGACGTGGGGCACCCCGCGGCGGGTAGCTCCGGGACGGATTACCAATGGGCAGCGCAATCGTCATTTCGTCCAGTGATTGAATTATTCAGCATCTAAACTTCTAGCAGCTGCTGTACGCACCTCCATAAAATCCCCAAAACTATACATTTTATGGCTGCGAGATTTGATTTTAACATACGTTCGATTCCGGCCACTCCGATATTAATATAGCTATGGCGATAACTACCCCGTTCCAGGTACTGTGTCTTCGTTTTCCGGAGCCCCGCTGAGACTAATCATAACTGACCTCGAATACTAGACGCTATTCGCCGTCCCTATGACCTGTGAGAGCTGTGTCCAGGACGTGTCTGGCTCGCTGCACAAGCTTGAGGGAATTACGAAAGTTAATGCAAATTTAAAAGACCAATTAATATCTATCGAGGGAACTGGTTCGTCATTCCCAGCCAGCCGGACATGGTTGCCCTTGGAAGAACAGTTTTTGGACTGACAGTACTATAGCTGCACCATCTGCAATTGTTTCAGCGATCCAGGGGACAGGGAGAGATGCCATTCTACGGGGCACTGGGACTACAGACAGTAAGCCCTATTGCCTTTCGACTGATGCGGTCACGTGTGGAGATAGTTTACTAAAGAATATAGGTTCTGCTGTGTGTATCCTCGAGACTCACTCGCAACAACTATCCGACAAGGTGAAGGGGCTCATAAGAATGGTACAAGTCTCGAGTTTGTTGACTCTGTTTGACCTCACGATACGTGGACTGGCGCCCGGAAAATACGATGCAACAATCCGCGAGACCGGCGACATTTCACAAGGCGTCGTATCGACGGGGGCCATGTGGAAAGACCCAGTTAAGGAAGGGCCACAGGGATTCAAGGGCCGCCTAGGGACTGTTCATGTGGATGGGAATGGCTTGGGGAGTGTATTTATCGACAAGCCGATCCAGATCTGGGAAATGATTGGACGGAGCATCGTGGTTTCGAGGCAGCACGATGGAGAGGGTAAGTTTGAGAAGAACGACGACAACACTCTCGTTGGGGTGATTGCTCGCAGCCCGGGAGTTTGGGATAACGATAAGACTGTCTGCTCTTGTTCTGGGAAGACGCTGTGGGAGGAGAGGAAGGATGAGGTCGGCAAGGGGATGATTTAGTGAAAGTTTGATTCGCAATATATCCCAGACTTGAAGCAAAGCTACCTTAAGCCTCTATCGCCGTGATCTCCTTGGCCCCTTCCGTCGTCACGCTCTCCCTGTACCCCTTAACCCCGTCATCCAACGCCGTACTCTCCTTATCCCTCTTAATTTCTTTCAAGAATTTCAGAACTTCGAGTTGGCAGTCCCCTTTGGCATTGTTCTTGCCAAAGACGTTCCTGAACTCTCCAACTTGGCCGTCAACAAGGTGATTAGACGGGAAATGAGCATACCCGCTCCAAAGCGGTGACCCAGCCGGTTCATTCTTCATAACATACGCCGGAAGGCCCATGCGCAGCTCGAAACAGATTTGTGCGATTTCAGCACCGGCAGTCATCTGTACAGCGCTGGCGCCTGGCCCCGCCTTGGCCAGAGGAGCCACCTGGTGGTGTTTCGGGAAGGAAACAGAGTCTATGGACGGCATGTGCCCGTTCTCAACAAGCCATTCAATGGCGAGTTTGCAGCAGTGCTGCTTTGCTTGTTTCTTGTTGCCGAAACTGTTCGTGGAGCTGAATGGCTCGGGGCGCTCACCGATTGTCACAGAGCAAACGAAACGACGCGGGAAGCCTGCCGTGGAGGACTCCGTGAATACATGTTTTCCTGCGCGGGGATGGATTTGGTGGTATTCTATTATGAAGTTAATATGTATTTAAGGTTATTGAGAAGTGACATAAAGGCTTCAAGTACCTTGGAGCTTGCCAATCCAGTTAATGGAGCCCAAATCTGGAGTCGATGTGGTGGAGCCCCCGCTCTCACTGGCTGCCTTGTCGTTCACCGCCACGCTCGAGTTCGCTGTGGATAACTGAACTAGCGGAGGGACATTTTGCACATATAGTTGGCCGATTTCTGGAGCTGGAAAATTGGCATCAAAATCCTCGATGCTTATGAATGTGACACCTGACGGTGGTGGTGTTGCCTGCGGTGCTGTGGACTCCATCGCTAGTTGAGAGGCAACAGTTGTGAGTGATCCACGGTTTTAAGGGCTAAAGAGAGGTGTAATTAGAATTTAATATAACAAAGCAATGTTATATGTAAGTGAGCGTGAGGGACTTGGTTAGTGAAGAAGGTAGCAAGTTGACTTCGGAGGCCTGGCGATGTTTGTTTTCGGTGTGGCGAAGCAAATATTCCTAGGACGGTGAAGGAGAGGGAGTACGGGAACATGCATTAAAGCAGACCTTGCAACTCAGAAAACCATGTTTAGCACCTTCCATATTCTTTGAAGATACTCGAGAAGACTCTATTAAGTTTGATAGATTTCAATGTAAGAACTAGGTAGTTTAAGCAGTTTGCCATGTAATAGATGCTTTAGTTTCTGCTTCCTTCGTCCCTTTTGCTACATCTTGAATTAATTCCTTATTAGCCTGTAATCGTCAGGACTGCCTGTTCGCTTCGCTCACAGTCAGAGGAAGCGAGTGTCCCCCCGTAAGCAAGTGTCCCCTCTCAAAACCCACTACATACCAACCACCAACCACCAACCACCAACCACCAACCACCTACCACCTACCACCTACCACCTACCACCTACCACCTACCACCCACCACTCTACTACGAATATAAGTTTAATATATTTAATAAAATAAAGGATATAATATTTAATACTCTACTGAGACTACTATATTTTACTACGGTCAACACAATAATATAGCTTATTTAAATGGTATAACCGTCTCTTTAATCATAATGTACAACCACATCTAAATAGGATTTAAATACATAGCTATCAAGGTTATTCCACCATGCTACGGTGTTATTGAGTCTTCGCCATGCATATGCGATTTGGTCAATCTTTACCATTGGAACCACCTTAGAGCCACGATCATTTGAGAAGTGTTCTACAAATGTATCGCCTGGAGCGAAGGCCCGCGCTGCTGCTTCGTCTGTAGCGTTCCGAACCCTCTTCTCTTCACCAATCCTCTTATTAAGGTAGGTAACATTTGGGATACTCCAACCCCCTTGGGTAAGCTGCCCATACTTCTCTGCGACTACATCCCAGCTATACTGGTTTCCTTCGTATAGTACGACTAATTCCTATATCCATTCGTTAGCACCATGCCTTATACTACATTATATGGTATCATACCCGCCAGCTCCGCCAACGACCTTTCCACTGTTCCCAAACCTGTGGCCGGTGCTTCTTATACACCTTATCCCAACCGCATAATGGGATCTTTGTTTCGTTTATGATGATTGTCCCAGGCCCAACATCGCTTGTCCAGTCCTGAGATAAGTCCTGATAGTTCTTACAATAAACAATGTTTGGAGGATCAGGAATGTCCCTTACCCGAACATTTACATCAAATCCTTCAATAGTAACGAGGGTGAATGGCCGTGCTACGCTATAGCGCTTTGTCTTTTCACTTTGTTTAGGTGCTACGTACCTTCATGAGGAAGGATACCCTCAAGCGCTGCATTCTGGAAGAGGGGGAAGCTTGGAGTTTCGGTGCCAACTAGCTGTCCAGGCCGTTTCTGATGGATTGCTATTTCTGCATCGGCAAGCTCCTGTCGTAACGTAGAGGGCGATGCTGAGCTCGCTGCAAACGAATGTTTATGAAGATAAGTTACATCTAACTGCATCTTTATTGGCGATGGGACCTGGGCGAAGGAAGGCTCTAATGGTACTGTTATGGCGTGTTGACGACGTTCTATACTACACTGTTAATATCAATGCTATATAACAGGGAAACCGAACCATACGCTCTAGCTTCGTCATAAGCGACTTGTTCTAGTGAACGCCCTTGTAAGGCAAAAAACTGGTCTGCCAGCCGAAGTAAAGCTGTCTTCTCATGTTCCTGCCGAAGATCTTTATCTCTTGCTGTTGCAGAGACATCTTCACTCGTTGATGCTATAGCTCCAGTATCTTTCTTTACTTGTAGCCTATCATTTGCCTTTAGCTTCTTTCGTGGGGAGTACTCTTTTGGTGGCATTATTAATGTAGAGATTTTGACATTAATAATGTAAAGGTACGGTGTGACTGAAGCACTTGTGGTTATATACGGCAGTGTTCGGCGGATACATATCCGGGTAGTATCCGTGAAGCTCACGGGTAGGGTATATACCCGGCGACGATCTGACGGGTAGGGTAGGGTATATATCCGGATACATGAGGCTGAATATTGTATATAAAAATAGAATAGCGTATATAAAAAAGAATGAAGCTTTTGATAATAGTAGTAAACCCCTTTCCGCGAGCCCCCTTTCCGTGAGACCCCCCCTTTCTGCGAGTCCCTATTCAGGTGCTTCATCGTCAGCATCATCGCCGTCGCTATCAGCCTCCCGTATTTTACCCCAATTCCGTAAGCAAAGTAAATATCTAATAGTTGGCGGTGATAACCTATTCCGCTTCTTTGTAATAATATCACTACCATTACTAAATACTCGTTCCGATGCTGCAGATGTTGCTGGAATAGCTAGATGATCACGAGCAATACGGGCAATAACTGGATATTGGTATTGCTTTGCGCACCAATATTTGAGAATATCAGTATGCTCACCGGGCCGTGGTTCAAGCATCCAGCGCCTCCATTCTGGCTCTTGAAAAGCCAAGCCTTCTGACGCAAATAGATCTTCGTCAGAATCAGGTTCTTGATCTATTGTAGCAGTAGCACCTATTGCTTCTGCAAGAGCTGTTTCGTGAGTAATTCGCTCCGTATCAAGGTGATACTCTCGCTTTTGGTACGTTCTACAAACGTCTTCGAACTGCGCTCTTGCTCGTAATCTTCGTGTATCGTCTATAGCATTTGGATATATCTTCTTAAATACTGTATGATTCATTCGTGGGTCGCAAATTGTAGCAACAGCTGAGTGCTTACATTGCCGATTCGTTGTAAGAGTATAATACTCATTAAGCTTTTGAAGCGCAGCTCCACAAGCTACTCCGATCGTAGAGCTTCTACCAAGCTCTTCTTGTAGTAATGTGACCTTATTTATCATCTTTAAGTAAAGAGGAATTGTAAAGTTGAGCGTTGGATATGAATCACTTTGTAGCCGTCTTGACGGCTTTAAGAATACTAAGAATAATCGTTCAAGAGCTTCGATAATAGCCCAATCGTTGCTTGTTAACGCAATATCCTTCATACTGATATCAAGCTTCTGCGTAGAGCATACTGCAGTAATTGGTATTCGAAGCTTTATAGCTGTTTCAAGCATATAGTACGTTGAATTCCAGCGTATAGGCATATCAAGTGATAGCTGGCGTGGCTTCTGGCCTGCAGCTTGTATCTGCTTCTGTAAAGCATCCTTCCATGCTCTTCGGTTTCGAAAGACATAAATATGCCTTCGGAGCTTCTCAAGCGTAGCTGATACTTCAGTAGAAGAGTTATCAATACGCTGCGGAATCCGGGCAAGCCCTTGCTGACACCAGTACGCTTCTGTTTCTGTATCCGGGCTAGCTTTCAAGCTCTTTAGAGTAGCTTGAACTGCAAGATTGATAATATGAGCAATACACCGAACGTCCCCTTCCTTTACAGTAAACGTCCATGGCTGTTGAATAGTCGTCTGCTGCTTACTGGCTATTTTCTCATATTCTGAAAGCATCACAGTATTCGCTGAGGCATTATCCCGCGTACAAGTAAATATAGCACCTGTAATTTCGAAGCTATCTGTTACTGCAGCTAACTCTTGAGCGAGATATTCGCCGCTATGAATTGGCTCTTGAAGGTGGATTACATCAAGTAATATGCACCGGTGCTGCCACTTCTCATTAATCCAATGGCCTGTGACAGCAGCGTACTCTGTATAGTTCCGTGCAGTCCATGCATCTGTTGTAATAGATATCCGGCCGCCATAGGTAATATGAGCCTGGAGTTCTAATTGTAGCAATCCTCGGTGATATGAGAATTGCCGCTGTAGCTCTCGGTGTAGTGTTCGCGACGATATCGATAGAGTACTTGGGCTTAAGAACTGTACTAATTGATGGAACGAATAGCTCTCAATAAGTCGTAAGGAGAGGTTATTTGATACAACGAATGAGAGTAATAACTCTCGGTATTTCGCTCTACTATTTGATGCTTGAGCTTGAGCGGGCTGGACTTGCGGGTTCCGCGGCCGTGGCTCAAAAAATAACGATGCACTACTTGATGGGCTTGACGGCGTAATTGTATGACCTTTCATTGTATATGCTACTGTTGGATGCTTCTGCGTATAGTGCTTCCAAAGATTACCGGTTGAAGTCTGACTTAATAGCTGCGGAGTAGGTGAATATCCGCAGCCTGGTTGTAAGCAAGTTACTTTGACTGTAGGTGGGTTACTATCAAGTATCAATCGCGAATATAATAGCTTCGTAAATAGTACCGACGACGTTGGTGGCAGCATTCGTCCTGGAGGCTGAAGCCGGAGCGGTGTAGGATTAATATCCTGTTGAATATAAATAGGGGGTGGCAGCGTTGGCAGACTTGGCTCATTATGAGTATCATAGCTATTATAGCCCTCAGGCTCCGTTGGTATATCTGATAACGACGAGTCGCTCATTCTGAGGATAATTATCACTTTATACAGCATCAATATAGATCTCACGGCGTTGGAAAAAAGAGGTCTTGGCTGCGCTTGGCTATTCTTGGCATGTATCCGGATATATACTCGAGAGTATCCGGATACGCCGGATACTCCTAAAATATCGCCGGGTAGGTATATACTCGAGGATATACCCGGATACCACGGGTATATTGGTATCCGTGCCGAACACTGATATACGGTCAGCCCTAACTTTTACGCTATTTCTACACACACACGTGTTTAGTAGAGAGGGGTAGGCATTATATGCGTCACCGCTTCAAAAAATAATTGAAATGCTTTGCTATTATCGAGGGTAGATTGCCTTTTTTTGTTACTACCATATATATACAGCCTACTATCACTATGTCTTTACCACCTCTTTTCGGTAGTAGCCCACCATCACAAGATAATAACTATTATGGTGTAGAACAGCTTGCTTCACTCGATCTTGACGAAGATATTACACCAGAAGAAGTAGATGAGGATACTGAAGATCAAAAAGCAAGAATTGACCAAGCTTTTCACTATATGAAGGAGGAAGTCCAAAAAGAAATAGAAGGAGCGTTAGCACCAAAGTGTAATAGTGGGTGCACCAGATGTGAGAATCTAGCCACCCAAGGAAGGGATGATTTTACTAAGACAACACACTGTCTTAGGAAACAGAGCCAAAGGCTTGTAGCTTAGACTATTCCACAATGCAGCAATCAGGTGTATGATATAGTGGAGTGGTTTAGACAAGTTGTAACAAATGTTGAGTCTGAGAACTCAGGGATAAGTCAGAGGTTAGCACCTCACTGACTTTTCAGAAACAAGGAGTAACAAGATCAATGCTTGGAAGCTTGGAAAAGACGTGGAAGTATGTGATAGTCGATTTACTATATTGTCTGCTTGCCCTTTCTTAAGGAATAAAGGGCAATCCTATTTATGCTAAAGGAGTGTAGTTCTCTCATTTTCCAAAACTTTCCATGACTAACCAGGCTTGGTAACTGTAGTCGACATAAGAGAATCCCATAGAACCATCTCCTAGGTTCCTAGCCTATAGGAAGTGAAAGGAGGTCCAAGGTCAGAGTACCCCTATAGACAGATTATGTCATAACTTAACCAATCTTGTGGGTAACTAAGGAGCGATGACGAATCATAAAGGGTTGTAGAAGCTTTTGGAGCTATCGTTCATGTTCCTAGGCCTCTAGTTGATAGAGATATGTTATGTGTAGTATTAGCCCAGTAACTAAGGAGTGATGTCATGTAATGAATCATAGAGGGTTGTAGAGATATGCTATGTGGTCATATCGGCCCAGTAACTAAGGAGCAATGACGTGTAATGAATCATAGAGTGTTGTAGCAATCGTTGAGTAGTATTGTTCTTGTTGTTGGTGTGACAAGCCAAAATATGTATAGTGACTTGTAGGTTTGAGGAGGAGATTTCTAAGTTTGCTCTTGAGTTTGGTAGCAAACTGAGTGCAACGAATGTCAGTATAACATCCATGCCGGGACGTCACGGACTAAAGGGGGGGGTAATTGTAACAGGTGCTGCTGTTACATGTGGTATATAAAGCGTGTTACGCGTATTCCGGGCAAGCTGGAATACTGTAGTCTTTTTGGCTCAGTGGGATGTAGCACGAGCGTAACCATACATCATTACAGCGTCCCTCTGTAGATGGCGTCCTTTGCATGCTGATGCATATTGTCATACTGACATTCGTTGCACTCAGTTTGCTATCAAACTCAAGAGCAAACTTAGAAATCTCCTCCTCAAACCTACAAGTCACCATACATATTTTGGCTTATCGCACCAACAACATGAGCAATACTACTCAACGATTGCTGCAAACTCTTCTACTACATCTGTTTATGCTACATACATCACGGCATATCATTTGGACACTCATTGAACAAGTTATTAAGAAAATCTCCTCCTTAAGGGGGTGGGCCAATACTACCACATGGCATATCTCTATCAACTAGAGGCCTAGGAACATGAACGATAGCTCCAAAAGCTTCTACAACCCTTTATGATTCGTCATCGCTCCTTAGTTACCCACAAGATTGGTTAAGTTATGACATAATCTGTCTATAGGGGTACTCTGACCTTGGACCTCCTTTCACTTCCTATAGGCTAGGAACCTAGGAGATGGTTCTATGGGATTCTCTTATGTCGACTACAGTTACCAAGCCTGGTTAGTCATGGAAAGTCTTGGAAAATGAGAGAACTACACTCCTTTAGCATAAATAGGATTGCCCTTTCCTTAAGAAAGGGCAAGCAGACAATATAGTAAATCAACTATCACATACTTCCACGTCTTTTCCAAGCTTCCAAGCATTGATCTTGTTACTCCTTGTTTCTGAAAAGTCAGTGAGGTGCTAACCTCTGACTTATCCCTGAGTTCTCAGACTCAACATTTGTTACAACTTGTCTAAACCACTCCACTACATCATACACCTGATTGCTGTGTTGTGGAATAGTCTAAGCTACAAGCCTTTGGCTCTGTTTCCTAAGACAGTGTGTTGTCTTAGTAAATATCATCCCCTTCCTTGGGTGGCTAGATTCTCACAGCTGGTGCACCCACCATTACACATATGAGTCTCATGTGCAGTCCTCATGCACCAGTTCATGTCCCTAATGAGTACCTAGCTGCACTTCCCCCCAATCCTGTTATAACTGCACTCGAGCAGGAGCAAGAGCAATTGAAAGCTGGGGTGTATAGAATTTAGGGGACAAACATCGAGACAGAAGTTTGGCGACTTACTGCTGCGATTGGTAGTGCTAGGACTAAGCGACGAAACATTATCTCTTAAGAATACCAGGATGAATATTTCCGCTGCCGCCTAACAGAAGACATTAAGAGGCATAACAATGGACACCACAAGGAAGAGTACGTCGAGCTAGTGGTTGAGCATCAGATCCCACAGAGGATGCAGTTAGTCGATCTTATCTGCCCTCGCTGTTACGATGGTCACGGAGGTCAAGAAGCCAGTCCGGAGAATAATAAGCTAGATTAAATCTAAAGAGAGAAGAAGAAGAAGAAGGAAGGAAGGTGAGGCTATTCCTCGTAATATACAGTTGTCCACTTAGCGGTTGTAGCCTTGGTGGCTAAGGCTGCACCCGTAACAACCGTAACAACTGTAACAACCATAACAACCATAACAACCGTAACAACTGTAACAACCATAATAACCATAACAACCATAACAACTATAACAACCGTAACAACCGTAACAACAGTAACAACCGTAACAAGCTGTAAGCTATAATCGTAACACTTGCGTCACAGATATCACACCGCAGAATGCTGTTAAGCATCGCATTTAGGTCGCCGAACTCATGCGGGCTATCTGTAAATGCCATGAGGTTCCCTTATGATACTGTCTTCACGAGGCGGACAAGTATCTTCAAAGAAGAGTCCCCTAAGCTCAGACCCCTCAATCCCATTTTCCCCCTTGAATTCAGCAAGAAGCAGTGCCCATTCTACATTGGGGATGAATCGAAGAGCTACTAACAGAGGATGGGCGAATTTTGCCGCCTAGCGACGATGATGAATCACGTTGAAAACATTCACCTTAAAGGACGAGATCCGGAGGCTAAGATAGAGTGTTTTCACCTAACGTGCAAGTCCTAAGGGCTTGTTCTCGAAAAGTTGGAGTATTTCAAAAGCCACGTACAGTTGGTTCATAAGATCATACTTCGAGAATAATGAAAGCTGCTCTTGAGCTGCCTAGGTTATGCATGGTAGGGTCATGGTTTAGCCATAGCATTCTACGGCTGTCAAAGTCAAATATGAGGCTCGCAAAGTTTTGTTTTCCTCTTATGTTACATGATATGGAGTTGGAAGTGAAAGGGGCATTGTGCTTTTGTTTTGATCTGTTTTAGATATGGCATTTAGTTCTCGAATGCGGATAGACCTAGATACTAGCGACAAAGACAGAGCATACATATTACAGAGTAATGAAAGTATATTTAACTATAATAGCCATGAACCGGTGCTTGTATACACCCTACTCTAACGTTCAGGTCAGTTTTACAATCATGCCTACAAGCGAAACAAGGTGTGGACACGGCAAATCTGCCATGCCACTAAGGAGGAGGAAAAAGAAATTTAAATTTAAATTTAAATAAATCTATAAAAAAGCCAAAAACATACAACAGTGGGTATTCGCTGGTGGTCACCCACCCAACTACTAATCCACCGATCTCAAGTTTATGTATGGCAGAGCGGACGGGATGCCCAGTTCTCTCGAGTCTATGGTCGTATGTGATAATTATTTGCGTATCCGTCTTTAGGACCCATGAACCGCCTCTGCTTTTAATCTCTCGACTTACGCATTAACGTCAACCGCCTCGCCCATCTCGCCTGCCTTAAATGAGGTCCATAGCCTTTCTATATGCCTAGGCGTTCCGTGAGTGACTCATCCTAGGTCGTCTTTGTGGTATATAGCTGTTCAATTCCGCCATACCAAACACGTGATCAAATCCGTATGCTTACTAGATGGTCCACCGGATGGTCTCGAATGATCCCCAGAGTAAGGTGCGCTGGAACGTTGATAGACTTGCAATCTATCAACGTTCCAGCGCACCTTACTCTCACTCTTGCGCTGTGGTTGGAACATGAGAATAGTTTGTATTTCCAGACCTGTCTACAAAGCCCTCTGTTCCGAGTAGTAGCCTCTACAGTAGTCCGTAGTTCAATAATCCAGTCCGTACCACCGCAGTCCGTAAGTCTTGGCAGTCCGTAGTGAGGTTCCTTAATTACTAAGTCAGTCTCCAGTGCTATAGTCACATCGCGTTTCCCACTAACCATGTACCCGCCGGTAATGGAGTCCGCACGCCAAGGCCAACCCGATGATCTATGTGGAGGCAGGCTGCCCATGTCCTACCAAAGCGGCGGCAGTCCACTGACTTTTCAGTGAGGCACCATTCCACCACCCAAATGAGACTTCATTGCGAGTGTGCTGGCTATCCTTTCTGGAATCATTATCCTTGTCGCCAGGGGATGTCAAACAGCCACACCTGACTAGGGATGTGGCGCGGTTGCAGCCTCCAAGTAACATCGTGCCCTCCTCCGTCTTTGTGGTCTGTGCAAACCGCTAAGACGACTTAGACGGAGGAGATCTCGATCGTTGGTGCCTCTTCCAAATAAAAGAACAATCCTGAAACCGCTGGTCTGTCTTTTGAGTCTTCCAGAATCTTTTGGTCCCCTTCCATGGGAAATGTGCCACGAATCACGACCCACTAGGGTTCGGCACAGAATACCGATATGTGCGCGGATTCTTCGCGGATGATATAGGTCCGCTTAAAAGCGTGTGTCGAGCCGATCAGTATTGACAGAAGGGCCTCAATACAGGGTTTATTATACAAGTGGAGTAGCACAACAAGGCGGTTCAAATTCTCTGTGACCTGGTGATCCTGAATGATGATAAGCCCCTCACTGCCGGGCGGCACCATGCCCCGCAAGTGCAACCAACATTATCTATGTCTGTCTTGGCGACAGTTCCTCAACTATGTTCCTGGGATCCTTCCAAGCGAGAGCCACATACCTGTGTCTTGTTAGTATTGATTGGCATTTCCGGCTCGCAGAACCAGGCTATCGATGGACACCGTACTTCGTATGGCTACCCCGTGCCGCCACTTGTCCCTTGCTATTCGTAAATTGAACTGACGTAAATGCCAGCGTTTTGCCAACTATTGAAGCGGAAACCGCCAGTGTCAGGATTCAAGGCAATAGTGTCATGGCTTCTCAGAGGAATGCCTACATTTGTCACAGGTCACGACTGCCCGGAGCGTGTCTCCCACCTCTCCGCCCGAGTTTAGGTATGTCACTAAATAAGCTTCAGTTGGGGTCTCCATTTTCCAGGACCGCCCCGCCCCCGCTGTTAAGGAGGGTAAGCACCATTAAGATCTGTCGAAACGCCCGTAGCGTATAATCCTCTAGAAGCAACCGCCAACGAGCCTCCGAGATCGACTGCCACGTTCCTGAGTCAATAACAATCTATTTTGTGAGAATATAGGGGAACTTACCCATGCTTGCGATGGTTCCCCCATGGATAATATTCAGGCGATTCTGTGAAGATCTCAGCAACTTGCAAGGAAACCGTTGGAAGGAGCCGGCCTAACGGTGTGTTCTTTCCGGATGTCAAGTTCCATTTCAACGCGCCCTGGTTCCGCCGTCGTCACTCGGAGCTGCGAACGAGTAAATAAGCAACAAATTAGCCTTGTAGTTCAGGGCATTCCCGGCATATGCTTCATTGACATTGACCGGTACCGGGTAAACTAACATGTTCTCCGAAGAGTCTATGGCAAAATTCACCAGTTAGCATATGGTCGATATGATATCTACTCCCTTCTATCCGATTATTGACAGACTGTATTCCCAATCGAGCAATATTTCCTACCTAGATATTGATCCTACTGTCCCCAGATCTGAATATTAATTGAAACAGATTACGCGTCTCGCTTGAAACAATGAGGCTGAAAAGTATAACAAGAATAAAAGAAAGCTCGAAAGTTCGAGGCGCAGCGCGCCGTTTCAACCAATATAACGGAGACTAAAACCATGGACCCAGCACGCGGAGAGATGCAGACAATAGGAGAAGTGCCCAGTTTGTGGTGCATTTGATGGCTTACCTTGGTTCCAGCCCCGACTGTGCCTGATATTCTCCACGTCAGTATTAGAAGCGGAGATAAATTCCTTGGACGTATCTGTAGGGGCATGTTTTAGAAGATTACCATGAAAGATTTCAGGACCTGTGGGACGTCAGCATTCTAATATACGCGTTCCTGCGGCGTTGGTAAAACAGCTTACGGATCTGACAAATTTTAGGGCAGCCATTGTTGCAGAGTTCAGATTGATTGTCTATCAGATGGGTAGGTAAAGAAACAAAACAAGGAGAATAAAATTGAAGCAAGTATAGAGTAAATTAACTTATTCTGTCCAACGTCCAGACCAGTGTTGGTGGTGCCGATGTCCTACCAATAGCCGTTGCAACCATGTCGCGAACAAGTTAATCCGCTCCGGTCAAAAAGTGACAGAAGTGTCAGCCTTGGAGGCCACGGACTTAGTCAGCCTCTTGATTGAGGATGATCCAAGGGCAGTCTATCTCTGTGGCAAGATATCCATATCCTTCAATATGCCGGAGTCATCGCTTGCCTCCTTTGAGTACCTGGAGAAGCTCCCGGGCGTGACTTTCAGACGGCTCTATGAGCAACCGTCTACAGCTCTGGCCGTGTTTCGCCGAATGCTCCCACATCTGGGTAAGTTGCAAGCTGAAGAACTGTACTTTGATGTCCCGGAATCTGATATGCGCTGACCAGCTAAATGTTTCGTGATGGGAATGCTATATATGCCCAAACCTTTACTACTATCTGAGCTGGACAACTGGGTACGACCAGGCGGCAAGAGGTCCGTTTCCCTTGTCCATTCTTGACTTGTCCAGGATCTCATTCGTAGCAGTGAAAAGGGCAAAGCTTTGGCAATCCTATCCCGCCTCCATATCGTGACATCTACCGCCGCAAGCAGGGATGGGCCTCCTGCGCTCAACCTAACCCACAACTTCGCGACCTCTCTCCGACTGGCTTTAACTGGTGGCGGGGACCATGGTTCCTTCGGCATCCCATCAGACAGCACCCAAGACTCCAACATAACTATCTCTTTCCTCGATGAGTATGCCACGGCCCAGTGGGAAGGCATTCTCCACTACGTCGTGAACAGCACTGGTGACCCGTCACTCCTCGGTGCCCAATACCCCTCCGCCAACGTTCGGCAACTCCTCCAGATGGGAACCCTCGTCGATTCCAAAGGCAAATACAGCGGTGTCGGTATTACCCAGGCTGGCTTTAGTTTCCTCCTCCAGGAAGCCAACGCGCAGGTCTGGACCGTGCTTCTCCTCTGGCTGGAGCATGCCGAGGAGCTGGCTATGGACCACGTCGATCTACTCTCTTTCTTCTTCCTGCTCGGTTCTCTCGAGTTAGGTCTCGCATATTCCACGACTACCCTTTCAACCACCCAAAAATCCATGCTTCCCATCCTCGCAGACTTTGGACTTGTCTATTCCCCCCCATCATCATCATCTTTCTTCCCCACACGGCTTGCCACAACCCTCACATCCTCCGCCTCGGCTCTCCGCTCCATCGCCTCCGGATTCTCCGCAGCCGCAGCCTCCCCCGCTTCCTCTGGCGGCACAACCGGATTCATAGTCATCGAAACCAACTACCGTCTCTACGCCTACACCTCCTCCCCCCTCCAGATTGCCGTTCTTGCCCTCTTCGCCAAACTCTCTACCCGGTATCCCAACATGGTATCGGGTCGCGTGACGCGTGACTCGGTCCGCGGCGCCATCGAACACGGTATCACGGCCGACCAGATTATCTCGTACCTGACGACGCACGCCCACCCACAGTTACGGCGCAAGTCGCCCGTGCTCCCTCCGACAGTCGTCGACCAGATCCGCCTCTGGCAGATTGAGAACGAGCGCATGAAGGCGACGGCGGGCTTCCTGTTCAAGGACTTTGCGTCGTTGGCTGAGTATGAGGGCTGCGTCAGATATGCGGATGAGATTGGCGTGCTGGTGTGGAGGAGCGATGCAAAGAGGAATTTCTTTGTCACGAAGCATGAGCAGTTGAGGGACTATATTAAGAGTCGAAAGATTAAATAATGGGTTTGAGAAGGTGGCGTGTACTGCCGTGCATATTTGGTTTCGCATAGCGTGGCGTTTGGGTTTGGGATAAGGTATGAGGTCGGTAGCTTCATAGCAAAATAATCTACATCGGTCACGTAAGTATCAAATAAGGTATTCAAAGGAACTTAGTCCAGGTATTTGCAAATTTCTTGGTGTGTTTATTGTTTGGCATATTATCTCTATCAACTATGCCGCCCTTCGTGCCTATCTGTACATGATCCTGTCTCTTCACCGGCGGCGCCTCATTTCTCAATGGCAAAATCTATTCTTACACAACTCCTCCAGCTTCCCACAACTCTTCATTCTTAAGTGCCTCCATAACCTCGTCATACTGATTAGACAGTTTTTTCTGATTAAGGAGCGACCTCTCCATTGCTTTCTTCCGATACATCTTCGCTTCGGCCTTCTTGTTCTTCATAAATCGCTTGTCGCTCAGAACACTCACAGATCTGCTCCTGCTGAAGAACTTCCCAGCCCGAGAGAAGATATTCTCCTTTTCTTGAATCGATCCTCCTACCGGCAGGAGATGCTCGGATTTAAGATTCCTCGCATATGCCTGCTGGAAGCTCCAGAGGCTCTTCTTAGCATCGGGTGTCTTACAGTGGGTTTCCAACACGGCAAAGACTCGACGGTATCGGAGTTGATCCGCGTTAGACATGTCGTCATCCTCGAATGATCCCCCCTGTTTCTCTATCTCTCTGAGTGCCTCAAGAATAGCTGGTGACTCGAGGTAGTCAATGTCAAAATCCTCGCTGTGAAATTTGTCGTCGAGCGTCCTGTACCGACCAGCCCAGTAAGCTTGGGGCATACCCGTTCGGACATCTCGAAGGTTAATAGCTGGATCATGGCTCGGATGGGTCGGCGTACTTGGGCGGGTGACTCTAGAAAAAAAGGCCGCTGGGCCTGAGCTGGATCTGGCTGTATTCCCTGTGTGGCCCCTGAGTGACAAATTGGACGTGGCTTTGTGAAGATTGGTGAGTGAAAATGAGCTTGTTATCGATGTAAGCACCTGGAGTGTGCGCGCTCTGGTGAGTGGTGGTCCTTGCTGTACTGATGGTCCTGGAGTTGGAGCTCGATATTTAGGCTTCGTTTGATGGTTGACTTTAGGGGTCTTCTCTCTATCCTTCTTCTGAGACGGCGGCAAGGCCCGTGTGAGTTTCTCACCCTCGACCGCATATTGATTCCGGACAGGAGCCTTTCCCTTTGAGGTTTGCTTCCTACGGCTATCAAAATCGCTATGACCACTATCCACCGTAGGATGGTTGATACATTGTCTTTGACCCCCAGCCATTGAAGCCCGTGTCGGGCTTGGGATTTTGGTTGGCGTTAGGACTCTATTAGGATGCATGAACACTTGAGAAGCAGATGCTGTGAGGCTAGAGGTGGCCACAGTAGGTGTACCATGGAGATCGATTTCGTTTCTCTCAAAAGGTACCAAGCTTCTGTTGCGCTTCCGTCGAACAGCTGTTTTCGTCGATGGAGGAAAGGGGGCTCCAAAATTCACCGACGACTCCGACTTTGGAATGACTGTTTGTATGGGTGGAAGAAATGGAGCTCCAAAGTTCACCGACGATTCCGACTTTGGAATGGTTGTTTGTATGGGTGGAAGAAAAGGAGCTCCAAAGTTCACCGACGATCTTGACTTTGGAAGAGAGTTGTAGGTTGGTCTGTATTGACGCTCTCGCTCAGAAGCTGTCGTATTAGAGGCCGACATGGTCGTATTCGTAATCTGAACTGGCTACTGTGATTAGCAGTGGGAACATAGACTTAATTGGGAAGAATCGGATATACCAACCAAGAAATTCAATGGAGGGTATTCTGCAAAGTTGTTGTATTGAAGTTGTTGATGTGGTTGCTAGATGAGCGAGCAACTCACTCGAACATGGGATGAAATTGGTGGTTGAAGAAGACTCTAACAGTACTTTGACGGTAGAAATCGTGTTGGGGTTGGATTGGTCACTGCCAGGACATGAAATAAGTGAAGTTAGGTTGAGGTGCTGAAGCCGTGTTATGAAATGTCAGGAGCTGGAAGGCACCTCTTGCCCAATTAGGCTGTCTTATGAGGGTATTGTAAAAGAGCGATTCGCACGTTCAGGCATATAATCCTCACAACAATCTGACGAAACTCGTCTGCAGTTTTGTAGACTCAAGAGAGAAAGGGTGTAAACGTAAAGAAGAGTGGCACAAAGTAGATCTATGATGGGTAGCGGAACTAATAGCTTTGGATGCGTTCTACTGCTCGGCGCTGGGTATACATTTGAGAATAGTCAACAACACAAAACGACACAAGAGAATCTCGCCTTCCATGTAAAACGTTCGCCAAATATACAGTGCAAGATTAGACGCCTACAGGCCAAACGAATATTTCTAGAGTTGCTGTGTAGGTGTTGTTCACCTGCATGATGCTCCTCTGTTTGCAGATGCCGTGGACGCCGCCTTCAAAATCAGCAAACAATCATAACCAGCCAATATACAGACGTTGTAGAGCGTGGACTTGGGGCATTTCGTTGCGGCCATATTGCGTCTCATGGCGTTACATGGTGTTTTACCTGTGCTCTTAATTAACATTTACCATTCAATTATTTGCTCCTTATAGACGCGATGTTCTAAGGGCTACATACTCATTGTTCAATGCATCCCATCCCTCAATCTGGAACTCAAACTTCATGTCTCCCTCGCCACGTGGTATAGGATTACCATACTCATCCCATAGAGACCTCTCGATAAAGCTTACTTTCCCCTCCCAATCTACGAGCATAATGGTCTGACGTTGCGTACCATAGATGCCACTCATTATTGGTGGTGTAGCCATATTCGGTGTCTCTGCTTCCTCCAATTTCTCCACTGTATCACTCAACTTAGTGTCTGCCTGGTTTCTTGTGTCGGTTTTTGGTATTCCAACTGGAGGAACCGCATCTCCTATTGAAGGGATGAATATTGACTTTCTCAGTTGGAATATGAGCTTGTCGAAAGATTGTCCATTGGCTGGAGGTAAAGTATCCGTGTCCAAGAGGTCGAATAGTTTCCGCACAAGGTCGTCTTCCCCTAGGGATTCCTTGACGCACTCATCAATAGTCTGCGACAACTTCTCTTTTCCAAGCTCAACCTTGGGCCAAGCGACTGGATCCGTATATGATGTATTGCTCAATCCATACACCTCTCCTCTCCTTTCCGCAATCCATGGCACCTCCTCAGCGGCTCCGCAGCGATTGCTCACAATAGCCAACGGTGTGACCTCATCCCTCCCGCCTTCCTTTCGCCTCCTCAGCTTCCCACATAGCAGCGAGAAGCCTCCAACATCCTTGACGCCCTCGCCCTCGAGCAACCTTTCAACAAACGCCCCCGCGTCCTGGTTCTCATTACTTGTCAGCCATGCTGTCACCATCCCACCTCTGCTCCGCGACCCCTGCACCGGGTGCTCGATATCATTCGCGTCTGTCTCGCGGTAATTCGTCAGGGCAGCAAAATTGCCGTGTTTCGTAATGCCGAGCCAGGTCCCTTGCTCCTCGCGCTGCAGGTCCCGCGCCGAGAGGATCTCCTGCTTGTTCGCGCGCCACCAGTGTGGCCGCGACGTCGGGCGTAGGATGAACTCGTCCCGGTTGTCAATGATGACGAGGGCGTACGCGGGGTGCGCCGTCGACATTAGGAGTATACACATCGTGGATATACGGCCTCTGTGCGACGCGTTCTTGGGTGGATATTTTGGTAGAGAGGAGACGGTGGCGTCGCGTGCATCATATATATGCGGTAGTGGCGACGAGAACCGATATACGGAAGGGGGGCGAGGTTACGAGGAGACCATACCATGCAGCACGACGCAGCTCGGGGCCAGACGGGATATTGCAGCTAACTCGGGCTGGAATCGTCAACTAAATTCCTGGGAACTATTTCCCCTTTGAGGTTCTAGGGAGGACAGAAAGTATGGTGTCGGGAACGGATGCAGCATTGCCTGATGTGTTGTCGACTTTTGACACGTCCTGCGGGGTAAGCTTGGGTGGACCCTCACACCGTTCATGGCCTCAACGTCACAAGCCATGGCTCGGCCCGTGACTGCGATTTCGCAGACAAACAATGTAGTGCAAGGTAGTACAAACTATAAAATTAGAATTCTGTAGATATATTGACGATAATAGCATGCCGTTTCTCTTGGGGATTTGTAGCGTGTTAGATCTCATATATATCCCTACTTCAATCTAGCTTCGGCAATATAGGACCATGCTGGTCTGAGGAACTACCGCAATGCATAAATCTCAGTCCCACACGTGCTTTAATTAGCAGTTATTTGGTAGGGCTCCGTGTGAGTTAGTACCTGAGCGAGCGGCGGGTTCTTATAGGCCACGAGAATTGTAGCAGCGGCTCCCCGAATGCGACGTCATGACTTGAGAAACTGAAGATGGCAATTGTGCAAGCTGACAGGCTGGCAACTGTTCACCGACTTGCCTTTCCTGCCTTTCTGGCCAGCGATAGCCGTGTTAGTCCAAACTCTGCTCTACGATATCTCGCCACATATCTCCGCGACTGTCATTGTGTGTTTGAAATTTGGTTTTTGGGTTTATTTCTGCAATCATAACTTGCCATGAAATCCTGAACTCACTGCCGCCCCTTTACATTAAACTCCACTGCTGTTTCCCTACCTTAATCTTCTTCTTCTTTGCTCCCATCCTCTTCCTTCGCCTTATCGCTCTTCCTATCCTCCTCCCCCTCCCTGGACCCCATCCCACCCACATCCGCATTACACGCACAGTGGCACTCTGGAATCGGGCACTCATTATGCACCTTAAACCAACTTCTCGCATGGTCTGCATGGAACGCGTGATCACACTTCATGCAGAAGCTCATGAAGTTCGCAAGTCGCTGATACGGCTCCACAGCCACACGATCCTTATCACTTCGCGGCATGCCCAGTGTCAACAGACAGATGCCGCAGCGTGGTAGATGCCGTCCACACTTCGGACAGTTAATTCCTGCGTGAACCCCAGAGCTATACAGCGGGTTACGGTCCCCAGACGCAGAAGCCACCGAGGCTTTCGGCGTCGAAGCGTTGGAGCCGGTATTGTCGAGATCGTTGGTGAAGGCGGTGTCGCAGTGCATACAACGCAGTGTGACTTGTCGTGGCCGTGTCTTAATAACAGCAAAGCCATCTCTATCCCTACTCTTTTTTGTGCTCTGAACATCAAATCGGCAGCGATCAACGAAGAGGCGATTTTTGTTGTGTAGGTCTTGGTAATCGGCTCGCCACTGCCACACTCTGAAATCGTCGATGTACAAAGGGGCTGCAAAATGGATAATCAAAGTAGCCGTCTGATAGTCGCCGAACTTCTCAATATAGGCGCTGAGTAGGGACACAGCACTGTCCGTGATTCCTGTGAGTACCAGGCCTTCGATATCACCAGTGCGCACAACTTCTGCGGTTTGTCGGTTGAGCCAGTTGGGGAACTCAGTGTCGTCAAGGTTATGGAGCGCAACTCCAACTCGGTCCCGCAGTGGTAAAGATGCCTCGTTGGCAATTGCTCGCCAGTCGCCAGTACTGATGAGTGTATATATAGCTCGGAGATAGGGATCATTAGCCATGTCCGAAAGATCGGATATATTGTAGTCCCACTCTTCCTTTTTAAGCGGTGGATTTCCCTTGACTTGGAGGCTCAGAGCGAGACCGATGAAAAGAAGGTTCTTCCCTCCGCGTTTTAGGGATTCAACTGCTCGCTTGGGATTCTTCTCGAAAAGAGCCCATGCGGCTGCTACTGTATATTGGCCCTTTGCTTCCAAGTCCAATAGGTCTTGCTCAAGCTCCGCTGGGGATTTTCCCCAGCCACATATCGCGAGGCACATTTGCCGGTGATGGGGTCGCTTTGTCGGAACGCTTTTGAATAACCCACGGCCCGCCTTCTTATTAATGTCCGCAAGAGCTGCGCCCCACTCGTCTTCACTTGGTATGGTAGAAGTGGTCGGGTCAACTAACCTTGATGTATACTTAGAGCCAAGATCATTGTTCCAAATGCTCTGCACGCCCATGTACGCAAGATTTAACTGACCGGAAACCATGCCGTCACCAGCAGCAGCGCCTTCTGCACCATCAATCCATATCCAAACGTCTTTTAGCCAAGGATCATCCACAAGGATATTAGCGTTTCTTTGACAGTTAAACAAGTAACCTTGTTTTATGCGGGCTATCATTAGAGAATTAATTCGATCCGGCAATGCATCTTTAGATCCAAGGTCATTCGATTTCTGGGAAAATAACTGTCCGTGGCGTTCCCTACTTGAGAGAATGCGACTTGTGAGCAATCCATCCAACCCTTTGCCAGCAAGTTCACTTGAACTAGCCATGGAGCTTTCGTCGGCAGCAACAAGTACAGTGTCGAATTTTGAAGTAGTACCTGGGCTTGTCAGAGAAAGCGGGGGTTCGGATTTTTTGATCTTTCCGTCAGGGCCGAATTCAATATCCTTCCGTTTCTGCGACTCAACCAGCGGTTTTAAAACGGCTTCCCTTTCTTTCTCGTCTGAAAACTTTGGGACTGTTCCTCGGCTTGTATCTGACATAGTGTTAGCACGGCTAGCTTGGACTAGGTTGGAATATTTCACATACGCTTTGCTCTCGATGAGAAGTCCATCAAGTCCAGAACAAGGTTTCGAGACAAAGATGGTTTCAAAATGACGCCCATCTTGTGATTGCTTCGTCGTGTGATAACTCTAGGCTGGTAGTACGAAGAGCCTAGTGTCACCCAGTCGAATGATACTATACGGTCATCATGAGAATACCCAAAGTCCTCATTAAAGTAGGGGTATTGCAAATCATGTGACCTCTTAACTTCCAGCAACTCGGGTGATCCTTCAGTGTCATTCTCAGACATTGGTTCTATGTGCTCTTTTTCGGTACAAATGAGTTGCAATTCTCCAGCGCTGGAAAGGACTGCCAAGAGACTGCGCTGGTCCCGACAATACCTTAAACTTCGAATATTCGTGTCGTACTTCGGGTCAATTGCTCGGTTGAGTTTCAAAGCGCATCCCCAAGGCACATCGCCCGAGTCTACTGTGTCATTGTACATCTTCGAAGCCACTTGGCGAGACGTAGCTCGGCGATCCCATATCATGATGGCTGGTGAATCAAGGGACGACGAGGCGAAGTAGTTCGGGTCTCTATGATCAATTGCCAGATTATTGTTACACCTTGTTTGAAAGCTTATAACGGCGCCATTGGGATCTAAACGTCATCAGCCAAGTTCAAATAGTTTGCTGGGGAAACAAACCGCGAAGGTCATGAATTTTGACGCTTTGATTCTTCACCCCCACTACCAACGTTTGGGGCTGGTCCTCAAACCATCGAGTACTCGTTATTGCGACACTTGCTTCTAATTTATGAAGCGGATCAGCGGGAAATGGCGGGGTTTGCCAACCCTTCTTCGCAGGATCCCAATTTGATAGGCGCTGGTTTATGTCCCAGATGTGCAGGCACTGGTCGTTTCGCACTCGATCGAGGCCAACTGCCAATAGCCCAGTGGTATTGAAAGCAACTGCTTGGCAAGTTCTCTGGAGCTTCAATGGCAATATCATAGAGTCGTTAGATCCATCATCTACGCGTAGGAGATTAACCTCTCCGCTCTTGGTCCCAAGAGCAACAAGACCAGGATTGCTTGGGGACCAATCATATGTCTCAAATCCTTGGAAATCGGTGTATTTTGCTACATCCTCATAATCAAATTGTTCCGGAACAACCTGCCCTGTGGGTTTGTGCAGTTGTAAAATCCGGTAGTTGGCGTTGATGGATAAGAACTCATCTCTTGTCCGGTTGGGCGACCACCTGATAATGCCATCGCCGCGGTCCATGATGAGAATACTACTCTTTTGAGTTCTTTGATTTTAGATCCCTATCCATTGAACATGCCAGTTTCCTAATCCTCAAAGCATGGTGGACGATAAAAAGTGATGCAGTGATGCCGTCAGGTGGTGTCAGGTGATGGTGGTTTGTCACTACTCTCTTAAAGCCGCATATCGTTGAGCAGAAACTTAAATAATGCAAAGAATATCTCAAAATATCATCCTAATAGCCAATACATATAAAGAAGAGACAGCACAACTTGTAACTGCGGTACATTGGATTGAAACGAAGCTCTACACAGAGTGGGCCACGATAAGGAGGTTAATCCGGTTCACCGGCAAAACTTTAATCCGTTTTCAGAAAGTTACATTGCAAATCAACGAGAATTCAATCCAGACGCAGGAATACCTTTACAGTAAACCCATTTACTCTCCAGAGGCAAAATGCCCGCCAAACGGTCACACGAGGATTTAGATGGCATCCATGAATCAAGACAGCCACAGGTCCACCAAGACGATCCCAAACCTGCAAAGAAACCCCGCCGAGAGGGACCACCAAAGATCAGGAAGCAAGTGCACGCATCCAGCGTGAATGCTGTCAAGAAGCGGATACGTGATGTGACTCGTCTTCTTTCACGATCCGAGGATTTGCCAGCAGATGTCCGTCTTGAAAACGAGCGAGCACTCGCTGCTTACCAGCAAGAGCTTAATGCTGCCGACGAGGAGAAGGCAAGACAGCGAATGGTAAAAAAGTACCACATGGTACGGTTCTTTGGCAAGTCTGAGTCCTCGCAGAGTCTTTTGACTTTCATTAACAGAAGTCACAGAGAGACAAAAGGCAACGAGAACGCTCAAAAAATGGAAGAAGCGCCTGCTAGAAGCGACGACCGGGGAAGAAGTCGAGGATATCACAGCTCAGATGCATATTGCCGAAGTTGACCTAAACTACGCTCATTCATACCCGCTGAACGAACGATACATCAGCTTATATCCACCGAAAGGCGCTGAGGAGAGTGAAGACCAGCAAAAAGATGCTGTAAAGCCACCGATATGGGCAGAGATTGAAAGGCGGATGGAGGAAGGCACACTGAAGGAACTACGGTACGGTGTGAGAGAGGGGCATGTTGAGAAGCCAAAGACGGTCCGGCAGAAACCAGCAACAACAAAACCACGACTTGCGTCGGAGACTCAGAATTTTAAGAAGAGGGCCGAACCAGGAGAACGTGTGGGACAGATGGAACGTGTTCCGGAGCCGCAGGACTACACCTTGAACCGCAGGGAGAGGAGGAAGGCCATGATTAAGACTGGCGCTTTAATAACGTCGAAGGCGGCCAAGAAGCCCGCAATCCACGAACCAATGGGCAATGAAGTGGACAACGATGATCACGGCAGCGATGGAGGATTCTTTGAATGATTTGTATAGAACATATATGATTCTGTGGAGTTTGGATAACTTCCGGTATACCCAATACGGATACACACTTTTTACATGCCCTCATGAACTGTTCACCCCTCTTGAAATCAATTGAAGCATTCTGTATCTACCAGATATACTCGTGCCGCCCAAAAGTCCGAGGACCGTGTGAGGCAGAGAAAGTTAACACTGGTATTTAAGTTGACAGAAATTACTATGTTTGCTATATTTTTGAGTAACGCACTTGGATACTACAACCCTGAGTGATTCGGAGCATTTATTTTACTTACAGTTTCTGTAATCACTACGGTAATGCATAGTCTCTCTTCAGACTTTTGGCGGCACTGCCTTCTAACTCAATCCTCTCTAAGCCTATCCTCTCTAAGCCTATCCTCTCTAAGCCTATCCTCTCTAATTCTTATATTTCTAAGTCCTCTACACCATTAACTTTAGCTTCTTAACTAAGAAGAAAGTGGAAACAGCACACTAAAGACCCCCCTCTACCCTCTTATAAAGATGCAATCCTTAAAATAGCTTAGAGTATCGTAAATGTCATACTGACATTCGTTGCACTCAGTTTGCTATCAAACTCAAGAGCAAACTTAGAAATCTCCTCCTCAAACCTACAAGTCACCATACATATCTGGGCTTATCACACCAACAACAGAAGCAATACTACTCAACGATTGCTGAAAACTCTTCTACTACATCTGTTTATGCTACATACATCACGGCATATCATTTGGACACTCATTGAACAAGTTATTAAGAAAATCTCCTCCTTAAGGGGGTGGGCCAATACTACCACATGGCATATCTCTACCAACTAGAGGCCTAGGAACATGAACGATAGCTCTAGAAGCTTCTACAACCCTCTATGATTCATTACACGTCATCGCTCCTTAGTTACCCACAAGATTGGTTAAGTTATGACATAATTTATCTATAGGTACTCTGACCTTGGACCTCCTTTTCACTTCCTATAGGCTAGGAACCCAAGAGATGGTTCTATGGGATTCTCTTACGTTCACTACATGATTAGCAAGCTAGTTGTGGGTCGCACTTGATTTCTAATACATTTACCAAGCCTGGTTAGTCATGGAAAGTCATGGAAAATAAGAGAACTACACTCCTTTGGCATAAATAGGATTGCCCTTTCCTTAAGAAAGGGCAAGCAGGCAATACAGTAAATCGACTAGCACATACTTCTACGTCTTTTCCAAGCTTCCAAGCATTGATCTTGTTATTCTCTGTTTTTGAAAAGTCAGTGAGGTGCTAACCTCTGACTTACCCCTGAGTTCTCAGACTCAACATTTGTTGCAACTTGTCTAAACCACTTCACCACATCATACACCTGATTGCTGCGTTGTGGAATAGTCTAAGCTACAACCCTTTGGCTCTGTTTCCTAAGACAGTGTGTTGTCTTAGTAAATTCATCCCTTCCTTGGGTGGCTAGATTCTCATATCTGCTGCACCCACCATTACAGTAAAGACTGGTAAGATTTTAGCAAGTGCTAATGATACTAAGTAGTTAAACATAAAAGCAATTAAGAGTGTTAAATCAAAACTCTAAGAACTATGCATAGATGTGAGTTAAATACTACATCTATTACAACAGACAACATTAGACCACAGATGGATAGAAAGGGGTATAATGGATATACGTATATATAGTTTATAATGATAAATGTAAGGGTTTAGGTAGGCAGCATGCTAGGACTGTAGGTTTAGGCAAATAGTATAGTATTTAACAGACTAATCTCTAAGCCCTTCCTAATAGGGGCTTAGCTACCTTATCTACTCCTTTAGAGCTAGGCCCCTACTACCTTAGTAGTAAGTTAGGGCTAGGCTCTGTCTTGTAGCCTTATGTCCTAATATTGTAAGGACACAGGGCACCCAGCTCACAGTAATAGCATATGAGAGTGCGAGTCAGAGGCTAAACGGATAAAAAACAGATGATGAGGAACCCCGTTGGGTCAATTTCCTTAAGTACCCAAAATGGGTCCGACTCGGCTAACCTGCCCTAACTCTCCCCATGTGACCATAACCTGCCCGACTCTGATCCCTTCCGTCACTGAGGGCGGAGGCATCCTTACAAATATCAGCCTTAGGCAACAAGGCTCCCTTAGCAGCCTTCGGTAGCCTAGGGCACTATAGTAGGGTGCCCTTAACATAGAGTTTTAATTAACCCTTCCTACTTCCTACCTGTTACGATGGTTACGGGAAGAAGAAGTAAGGAAGGAAGAAGTGTTATGGCTATGGTAACGTGACATCAGTTATTGGGCTAGCAGGGCTAGGCTTAGTAACGTGACCTAGGAAGTCACAAGATTAGCAGGGCTAGGCTGCAGCGTGACCAGGCTAGTAGATAGTTGCAGAAACTAGTGGATATTAGATAGTTGAGCTATCCATCAACTATCTAGATTATCTAGCTATCCATTAGCTATCTAGATTATCCATAAGGCATGACACTACTATATAAGTAGATAGTATTCCCTTAGATAGGAGCTTCGTGCTCAACTTAATATAGTATTCTTTACAATACTATAACGTGTTACTTAGAAAGCCTTTGTGTTTGTTTAATCCCCTGCCTCCTCTGTTAAGTCAACCTTACGTAAGACACCTCTGTGTCTTCTATCATTTAGAAGTTAGCATTATAAGAAGGTGAGGCTATTCCTTATTATATGCAGCTATGCGCTTAGCGATCCCTTGTAACCTTAGTGGCTACTATAGCTGCCTGTTCCCATAGTTGCTAGCAGCTGTGATATGCGGTCATAACACCACCTCCCCCCTAATTTAGATTGATCTCCTGGTCAAGAGTAGAATCATTGTGGCTTCTATGGGTATTTTCAGTGGAAAGCTTGCTTGAGTTCAGGAGCATTGTTGAAATTTACAGTAGGATACCAAAGTTGTCCAGTAGGTGGTTCTTCCATGCTGCCATATAGAACAACTTCTTCCGTAGGTGTTTAGAATTAAGGATTTCTTCAACTTCCCATTTAAGTTCATCTTCTATGATAATTAGAGGTGGTGGTTCATGGTGTTGGCCTTGTAGTGCATCATTTGAATCAAGTCTTAACAAGTTGCTATGAAAAACAGGATGTATCTTCATACTTGCTAGTAGGAGCATTCGCTGCAAATTTTGCCATGTAGAGGTATCCAACCTAGTTGTCTTGTAGGTAGTTAACATGAGCCCGCAAGTATCATTCTAGCTCTGCATTAAACCTCTTAGTCTAGCAATCTGTTTTAGGGTGGGATGCTGTAGATAGTTTTGTTGTGATTTTCCAAACTTTACATAAGACTTTCAATACTGTAGCCACAAACTAGTGTAATGGTGGGTGCAACAGATGTGAGAATCTAGCCACCCAAGGAAGGGATGATTTTACTAAGACAACACACTGTCTTAGGAAACAGAGCCAAAGGGTTGTAGCTTAGACTATTCCACAATGCAGCAATCAGGTGTATGATATAGTGGAGTGGTTTAGACAAGTTCTAACAAATGTTGAGTCTGAGAACTCAGGGATAAGTCAGAGGTTAGCACCTCACTGACTTTTCAGAAACAAGGAGTAACAAGATCAATGCTTGGAAGCTTGGAAAAGACGTGGAAGTATGTGATAGTTGATTTACTGTATTGTCTGCTTGCCCTTTATTAAGGAAAGGGCAATCCTATTTATGCTAAAGGAGTGTAGTTCTCTCATTTTCCAAGACTTTCCATGACTTAACCAGGCTTCGTAACTGTAGTCGACGTAAGAGAATCCCATAGAACCATCTCCTAGGTTCCTAGCCTATAGGAAGTAAAAGGAGGTCCAAGGTCAGAGTACCCCTATAGACAAATTATGTCATAACTTAACCAATCTTGTGGGTAACTAAGGAGCAATGATGTGTAATGAATCATAGAGGGTTGTAGAAGATTTTGGAGCTATCGTTCATGTTCCTAGGCCTCTAGTTGATAGAGATATGTCATGTGTAGTATTAGCCCAGTAACTAAGGAGTGATGTCATGTAATGAATCATAGAGGGTTGTAGAGATATGCTATGTGGTCATATCGGCCCAGTAACTAAGGAGCAATGACGTGTAATGAATCATAGAGGGTTGTAGCAATCATTGAGTAGTATTGCTCTTGTTGTTGGTGTGACAAGCCAAAATATGTATAGTGACTTGTAGGTTTGAGGAGGAGATTTCTAAGTTTGCTCTTGAGTTTGATAGCAAACTGAGTGCAACGAATGTCAGTATGACAGCTAGCGCTTACAGCTGCAACCTCACATGATGGATAACATTGGATATCTTGGATATTATGTTATCCATGTTATCCACGGGGATCCACGGAATATCAGGTGATGGATAACATTGGATATCATGGATATTATGTTATCCATGTTATCCACGGATATCCCTTTGGCACGACACCACTATATAAGTAGATAGTATTTCCTTAGATAGGAGCTTCGTGCTCAACTCAATATAGTATTCTTTACAATACTGTAACGTGTTACTTGGAAAGCCTTTGTGTTTAATCCCCTGCCTCCTCTGTCAAGTCAACCTTACGCAAGAAACCTCTGTGTCTTCTATTGTTTAGAAGTCAGCGTTACAGAAGAGTCAGCTCTCGTTCAGTACATCCTTGACCTAGACTCACATGGATTTTTACCCTAGCCGCAAGCCGTACAAGAAATGGCTGGCCTTCTACTCTCTAAACGAGGCGAGAGCCCTATTAAGAAGAACTAGACTACCAACTTCATTAAGCGTCGTACGGAAATCAAAGCAAAGTTCAGTTAGAAGTACGATTATAAACGAGCAAAATGTGAAGATCATAAGATAATTCAAGGGTGGTTCTCTCTCATACGAAACACAGTCGCAAAATACGGCATCTTATAGCAGGATATCTACAACTTTGATGAAGCAGGTTTCATAATGGGAGTTATTGCTACTGCAAAGGTAGTTACAAGCTCAGAAGCAAAGAGCCGTCTAAAGACTATACAGCTAGGGAATAGAGAGTGGGTGTTAATTATCCAAGGTGTTAATTCATATGGATAGGCACTTCTGCCGTTCATCATTTTTAAGGCGTAGAATCACCTCTCTGCTTAGTATAAGGACTCAGGATTACTAGATGATTGGGTAATTACACTAAGTGAGAATGGGTAGACTTCAAATTCAATTAGGTATGAGTGGATTCAACACTTCAATGTAAGGACTACTAAGGATACAAAAAAGATGAAGGGGGAACCCCGTGAGTCAATTCCCTCAAGTACCTGAAACCCATCTGACTCGGTTAGCCCACCCAAATGATCACACGTGACCCCGCAGCTACCCAGAGTCTGCTCCTTAGAGTGAGAGACGAGAAGGCATCCTTACATTCGATCGACATACAAACAGTTGTTCGATCAGAACCTATCGCCTTCTCATTCTTAACGGACATAAGAGCCGCCTCTTAGCTCAATTTCAACACTACTGTACAGAACGGAAGATAATCACCCTCTATATGCCACCACACTCCTCGCACATTTTTCAGCCACTTGATGTTAGCTGCTTTGCTCTGCTAAAGCTTTCGTATAGACGTTAGATTAAAACCTTTGTACGAAACTGGCTAAACCATATTACGAAGCTTGAGTTTCTCTCTGCATTTAAAGAAGCATTCAAAGCTGCATTTATAGAGCAGAACATCAAGAGTGGGTTCCGAGCTATAGGACTAGTTCTATACGACCTGTAGAATGTTCTCTCTTACTTAAATCTACACTTAAGAACTCCAACTCCTCCTATAGTTAAGAGTAACAATTGGACTTCAAAGACTCCTCAAACTATAAGGGAGCTTAACTTTCAAACAGAGCACATTAAGAACTGCATTATATAGCATTAGAATAGCTCTCCTAGCTCAATTAATAACGCACTAAGCCAGCTTGCTAAAGGAGCTCAGGTTATGATGCATTCTGCTGTTCTACTCAAGGCAGAAGTTAAGGCTCTACAAGCGGCAAATGAACAGAAAAAGAGGAGGGAAAGGAAGCGCAAGACGCGTATAATGCAAGGGGGTAGTCTCTCTGTACGAGAGGGAGAGGATATCCTTTAGAGTGCTAAGGTTAACGCTTAAGTCCGAACGGAGGTGGCAAGTAAGAGTAGTCGGCAGGTGGGCTCTAAGGGCCGACAGTGGCGCTGTGGCACATGTGGTACTATAGGACATAATGCCTGTACGTGCGAGAAATACGTTATAGGATTGCCATAGATATATACAGTCGAGTCGCGATAAGTCGATTCGCGATAAGTCGATTCGCGATAAGTCGATAATCGCGATAAGTTGATGCTTTTCTTCTGCATGAATTAATTCCTCATACGATTCGCGATTCACTCGATATCGACTTATAGATCGAAATAATGCCTCCAACTCGACTGCATACAATGAAGACTGAGCAGCGTCGCACGCTCAGAAGCTGGTACTCTCAACAAAATCCTCGGCCTACCCAGAAAGCCTGTATTGAGTGGTTCTTACAAACATATAATCACCGCCTTACCCAGTCAACAGTCTCTGATTCCTTGAGCTCTCGATTTGCTAGCCTTGATAGCCCGACTTCAAGCATCTCTCCCACTACCCAACGGCGAAAAGCTGCTGCTTGGCCAGAGCTTGAGGCTGCTCTCTTCGACTGGCAGAAGCGTATTGACGAAAGCGGAGGGATAACTGGGGATATTCTACAAGAGAAGGCAAAACAGATCTGGCAGTTGTTACCACAATACAAGGAGAAGCCTATACCAAACTTTAGTATTGGGTGGCTTGATGTAATGGTGGGTGCACCAGATGTGAGAATCTAGCCACCCAAGGAAGGGATGATTTTACTAAGACAACACACTGTCTTAGGAAAAAGAGCCAAAGGGTTGTAGCTTAGACTATTCCACAACGCAGCAATCAGGTGTGTGATGTAGTGAAGTGGTTTAGACAAGTTGCAACAAATCTTGAGTCTGGGAACTCAGGGGTAAGTCAGAGGTTAACACCTCACTGACTTTTCAGAAACAAGGAGTAACAAGATGAATGCTTGGAAGCTTGTAAAAGACGTGGAAGTATGTGATAGTTGATTTACTGTATTGCCTGCTTGCCCTTTCTTAAGGAAAGGGCAATCCTATTTATGCCAAAGGAGTGTAGTTCTCTCATTTTCCATGACTTTCCATGACTAACCAGGCTTGGTAAATGTATTAGAAATCAAGTGTGACCCACAACTAGCTTGCTAATCATGTAGTGAACGTAAGAGAATCCCATAGAACCATCTCTTGGGTTCCTAGCCTATAGGAAGTGAAAAGGAGGTCCAAGGTCAGAGTACCTATAGATAAATTATGTCATAACTTAACCAATCTTGTGGGTAACTAAGGAGCGATGACGTGTAATGAATCATAGAGGGTTGTAGAAGCTTCTAGAGCTATCGTTCATGTTCCTAGGCCTCTAGTTGGTAGAGATATGCCATGTGGTAGTATTGGCCCACCCCCTTAAGGAGGAGATTTTCTTAATAACTTGTTCAATGAGTGTTCAAATGATATGCCGTGATGTATGTAGCATAAACAGATGTAGTAGAAGAGTTTGCAGCAATCGTTGAGTAGTATTGCTTCTGTTGTTGGTGTGATAAGCCAAGATATGTATGGTGACTTGTAGGTTTGAGGAGGAGATTTCTAAGTTTGCTCTTGAGTTTGATAGCAAACTGAGTGCAACGAATGTCAGTATGACAGACAGACTACCGATGAAGAACTACTTGAGGAGATAATAGAGGGGCAACTTGGGCATCAGAACTCTCAAAATGATGACGAAGAGGAGGAGCAGCCTGAGCAGCCTGCGCCTATGGCAAAGGAGGCCCAGGATGCCCTCCAGATACTGATTGAGTATTCTGAAGGCCAGGATGCTCTTACTACGGGGCATATACGGGCACTAGAGCAGCTGCAAACAGCCATTGAGGCTATTCGAGCACAGTCACAGCAGCAGGTTACGTTAGATAGGTGGCTTACATAATATTACTCTATATAACGATATATACGATAAGACGATGGAAATGCTTGCTACGGATGCCATCGTCTTAACAAGGGTTTGACTGTATCCGGACACCGGTGTCCGTATACTGGAACTCTGTACGAGGAGTTCCAGTATATAAGCGAACGACATCGCGGACACCCCTGGATTTATGCACCACCCCTGTAAAGATTCATATACCCTGAGCTTTAATAAAAGATTTATATACCCTGCTATATTGTGGCCCTGCTCCCCACAAGTAGAGCAGCGCCCAACACCAGAAGCTTCCTTCTCCCCTCCCAACTCTGTTCCGTGGGTCCTCCTTCTAGAACCTCTCCTTCTTTGGCCTCCGCCGTGGGACCTGTGTTATAGGCGGGAAACATGGTTGGCTACAGTGAGGCATGGGGCCAGCGATGCTGACTAAATGCGGCAGAATCTACAGTATTGGTAGTTAGCGTTGGGTATATAGATCTTTACAGGGGTGGTGCAGGGTATATAGATCTTTTGCCCATAAGTCGTATACGACACGGCTGTGCGGTCTGATCCTGGATTCGTCAACCTTTTATGTCTGCCATCATGAGCTATAGGAGAAACATGGCTTCAGGAAGAAAGGCCGAATTAGCTCTCTGTCATGATAACGTACTCCACATGCGGTGTGGTTGGCTGATCCACACAGGCAAGTGGTGCACTAAACCAGATATCCTAGCCTCCATCTTTTATTGTGTTTTTTTCCACCCAACATGCAGAGATCTTGTAAAGAGAAAGGCAGCTAATTGAACCTGACATCCTGCCTGTAGAAGAGATCAATGTCGCGCGGACAAAAGGCGGGAATTAAATTGTTAGTCACATGTAACAGTGTCAGTGTTGATGTCATGTGATGATAAGATAGACAACCCTCCAAAACCACCTTTTAATCTTCCGGGTTCCGAGGATTGCGCCGAGGTTCAGCGACCATTAAGTGGATGCGCCCGAGATACTCGCATACACACCGGCAACAATCACATCCCTCCCAAAATATGCACGCTTATATCGCAACAACATTCAGAGGCCATTGATTTTCCGCTCTCCACCAGCCCGTCGGACCTGTCTCTCCCTCACATATCTCACTTCAAATTCTTCATATCTGAGATTCGAAGAAACAGTATCGCCAAACTGACGTAAGCTCGGCAACAGCACGACATTTCGAAGTGCGGGCCTGGTTTAGAAAAGGAAATACGCGCCTGTAGGAACGAAGACACGCCGCTACAATGGCTGGACAATCAAAGGAGGCACCCATCCCTCCTTGGGGCCTCGCAGTAGCTGGCGCAACTGGTGCAGTCCTTGCAAACGCTCTGGTGTACCCCCTCGACATGTGAGTATCTCCTTGCTTCACAAATCTCCCAAGTCGGTGAACAGTTCTAACCCTCGCCCTCAATAGTGTCAAGACCCGCATCCAGGTCCAAGTCAAGCGGAAGGCAACTGATGCTCCCCCTTCTGCATCTGACCCCGCACACTACGACTCGACATGGGACGCCATCACCAAGATCGTTGACTCTGATGGATACGCAGGCCTGTACGCCGGCATCCAGGGGGCCCTGATCGGCGTGGCCTCGACCAACTTCGCATACTTCTACTGGTACTCCGTCGTGAGGACCCTGTACATGTCATCGCGGAAGGACACAGCCGCGCCTGGAACGCTGGTGGAGCTGTCTCTCGGTGCGGTCGCAGGCTCTGTGGCGCAGATCTTCACGATCCCCGTTGCGGTCGTCACGACGCGCCAGCAGACGCAGTCAAAGGACGAGCAGAAGGGCATGATTGACACGGGGATGGAAGTCATCAACAGTGAGGATGGGTGGACTGGTCTGTGGAGAGGCCTGAAGGCTAGCTTGGTCCTCGTGGTCAACCCAGCCATCACTTATGGCGCCTACCAACGCCTGAAGGACGTCATGTACCCAGGGAAAGCAAGCTTAAGACCAATGGAGGCTTTCCGTAAGTACTCGTGCTGGCACCTGGTTGCCCAGAAAGCTGCTGTTACTAACGAATTCTCCGTGTAGTTCTCGGTGCTATGTCGAAGTCCCTAGCAACTATTGCTACACAGCCACTTATCGTGGCGAAGGTGGGCCTGCAGTCAAAGCCCCCGCCTTCTCGCCAGGGTAAGCCCTTCAAGAGCTTCATCGAGGTGATGGAGTTCATCGTCAAGAACGAGGGCCTCCTAGGTCTGTTCAAGGGGATTGGTCCCCAAATCACAAAGGGGCTTCTTGTCCAGGGTCTCCTCATGATGACCAAGGAACGGTAAAATTCCACGCACCCTGTTCATTTTTAAGGCGTATTTACTGACGTATATATAGCATGGAACTTCTTTTCGTCCTGCTCTTCCGTTATATCCGCAAGATGAGGAGCGAGCAACTCCAGAAAGCCGCCGCGCTGGTGGCCTCGAAGGCGCCGCTTGTTGCCAAATAGATCCCACCTGTGGGGGTGTAGATAAGAAAGAGTTTGGCGTCGTTTTGGCTACGATTGTACGAGTCTGGGAGGGTCACAGTAAATATAGAAATATTTAGACAAGATGTTCGCGAGCATTTATTTTATGTAGATACAGTCAATTAGAAACATCTATTGAACTAGTGCGTGAAAATCTGTAGCGGGGACTACCATAGCAGCCACCAGAATACGGCGACCAAAAACAAGACGTAGGCTGTCAATCACTGTTTACAGCAACAGTAAATAAAATAAATATACTTAGTTACTCATCACCACCTTACGGGTTATACCAACTGTAAGTAGAATTAGGCTCTCAATCGTCCCAGAGTATAATTCTTATATTCGTTCCGAAACCGAGCCAAAGAGAGGCGCATCATGAGTCTTCAGCAGAAACTCGAGGCAAGCCGTTTATATCCAGAGCTTAAAACCATACTATTCGGAACTTGACTTCTAAAAGCACGGCATTCGATTTTATTATACTCTATACGATCTATTAAAGTTTGGTTTATACTTTTACTCCATCGTCCATCCGTTACAGGACACTCATTACCTCGTCAAAACCCCTAGAATCGAGCGGGACTCTGAATTTGACCCTCACCAGCTTCGTGGGAAGCTCCACCTCCTCCCCCTCCGCTCTGAAGCTGACCATCGCCGATTTGTTGAGCAGCGCCCCCTCCTGCGCCGCTTCCAGAGGGCTGCCCACCCGCAGAGGCACCGCTTACTCCTCCTCCTGCGCCACCGCCGCTAGGCTGTGAGCCTTCCGCGCACGAAGCGCAAGTTGGTGCGCCGCCACTAGCTCCACCACCGCTGGGGCTGGCCCCTCCTCCGCTCCCAACCCCTTCACCCGGTTGAGTGCCGGAGGTTCCACCGCTAGGTGCCCCAGGCTGGGTGCCAGAGCTACCACCAGCGGACGCACCACTGCTAGAGCCTCCTTGATGGCCTCCTTGCTGGTCTCCCTGCTGGGCGCCGGGACTCTGGATCTGCCCGTCTCCAGCTTCGCCTGCGGCACCTCCCTGCTGCGCCCCAGCAGGATTCTGGACCTGCCCATCTCCCAGCTGCTGTCCTGCACCACTCTTAGGTTGGCCGTCTCCCACCTGAGAAACTGGTGGATCACCGGGAGGATCACCACCGCTGGCGCAGCTGATGATGTCGATGGTAATCGGCTCGCACTGGGGGGCGATAGACTCATCATAGAGATTGAAGAAGTTACCCGAGCGGCATTGGAAGAAGTTGGTGGAGCCCCTCAGGCCGAGCTTGCTGTTGCAGACGGAAAATCCGCTGGTGGTAAGGGCGTTTACCTGGCCAGGAGCGGGGTCGAATTGGAATTGATGGTTGGATACGATGGATCCAATGCGGCCCTGTGCGTCGGTGAGGATACCGTCTTTCAAGGTGGCCACAAGGCTTCCGGAGGAACCGCACTGAGTAGAGTTTGGCTTAGTAGGTTCGTTGACGTTTGGTGCGGGTGACAAACCTGGGCCCGCTTCTTCATCCTGGGAGTTGCGGGAGTGGATCCTGGCACAACCATGATCTGGAAGCTACCCTCAAAACTGGGCTGGCAACCAGACGAGCTGGCCTGCGGCATCGCAGAACCGTTCACACTGGTGGTGAGGGTAGCAGCTGCAAGAGCAGCAGCAGCGAATGAGTAACGCATGATAGCTATGATTGGGAACGAAGGATCCGGATTACAGCAATACAACGAACGGTATGTTGTAAGATGGAGAAAGGAAAAGGTTCAGAAAGAGGAAATCGTGCGGCTTTGTAGGCCTCTCGAGGCAGAGCTAAGGCTGACGGATGACAGACCCACAGTAATACCTGGCATGAGAATGCCGGAATCAGGACATACTCGTAGCCGTGGTTCATGATGAGACAGCAGAAATAGCTGCCAGCAGTTGGCAACGAGCGAGGACATCCATATGATGACAGAGTTTCTTACGTGTGGTCGAAATAAAGTGAAGCACTCGGCCCACAGGTTGCGAAGGAGAAAACACTTATTCCCACCTATGAGCACCAAATAAGGGAGTGTGCTGCCCATAATGACCCGGAGACATGACGAAATGGCCGCTGAAGTCCGCTTGGAAGTGTGGAGCTTAACTGTGCCCAGACTGATGCTTGCAACCCCAGCTCAGAGAAATATAGCGTGGGATAAGCCTTGTTGGGGCCGAGAACATGATTGAGTAGCAGGGTCCTAGGAGGGTCAACCAAGAAATGCGCTGGTGCAACTAATGACCCTCAGGCCGTAGCTAGTGACGAAAAAGGGTCCTCAAATCATACGACGATGATTTCAAGGCGGAAGACCCACGACGTTGCCACATGAGAAACTTGCAGGCTGTAGACCAGACAACACTTTTCAAGGGACTTGATACAATCCCAGCTAACTTTAGCTAGTATCTGATCTGCGAACCACAATGAGAATGTGACGTTCATCTCCACACCCGTTGGGCTGCTGAGTAAGGACTTGAAGCGAAGACGAGATGAAAGTAGCAATATAGGAAACAAGAAATATCGCAGTATTGCTACCAGGAGAACGTACACCCCCCTGCTATTACCTTTCTATCATTTTGAGTTTATAATTTTTGAGTTCATATTGGACCCGTCTCCTCAACTAACTTATTTAAAGGTTTTGGCATCACTGCCAAGATATTTTTGGGAAAAGCACCATCTCTCACGCTAAGCCTAGCTGGGAATTCCGTCTCTAACAACTGCCATGGCGTAGAAGTTGGGAGACACAACCTCAAAAGAGAGTATAATTATGGAATATAATCACCATACTCAATTTTTCTCAGTACAAATACTTCTAATGGCTGCACGTTGCCTATCATAAGTGTAATTCTCTTGTAGGAAGAGGGTTATTAGCCTCTGCTAACCGACTTCCAGCTCTGACGGAAATAGCTCAGGCGTGTCTCTCAACTGTAAGAGCAAGTGGAGATGAGCGTATTTTGCTCTCGAATAGACTACTACAATATCATCAAAATGTTCCCAGTTTTTGAACGCCTGCTCCACAAGTCGATCGTCTCATTATTTCGTTTTCCAGTCTTGCATCATCAGCCGTCAAATATACAGTGCAGTGGCGTCGGGAATAACATACCGAAAGTAGCCGGCTCTTCCAGCCGTTTGGTGACGCTTACATCATCCCCAATGCCGACGTTGCTGCCAGCTCCTTTTCCCAAATATCCGTATCTTCCGAAGATTGGACTGTACTTGTTGCCCTTATCCACCCTGCGGTCAGGCATCAACTTCTTCAGCATTGTCCCCTTCTCACCCAGGGCCTGCTTGCCGGTCGAGTAGTCGATGTTGATACTGGCACACCGCGCACAGTTGGCAGTTAATGCCAGCTCAACCTTGACACCATCCTTATTCTCGATATTAATTTGTCCCCATAAATCTTCATACCAGGCACCCTCAGCTCCACTGAGGACAATGTTGGGACGGAACTTGCGGATATCCATCTCCATGCCTTCAGGTAGTCGCGATGACGTTTCGGCGAGCGACTCCTCCGTAACAACCAGGAACATGGCAATATCGGCAAATGTTATACCAGGAGGCCGCCATTTCTCTCCTTTCGCCGCGATGCTAGAAGGACGGTAGGAGGAGAGATACCGCGAGACTGAACGGGCTGTGGAGGCAACAGCACTTTCAGCAGCAGAAGGCCAGAGAGAGCCCAATACTTTCCTCCTCATGGTGCCGATATATGCAAGTACAACCTCATAGCCGAACTGGGCTGAAAACCAATTGTTGTATTCGGCGCCCATATCATAAGCTCGAGTAGGTGAGTTATACATGACAACGTCGACCATGTCCAAGTTTTCCGTATCTGGTACGAACGGTATTGTTATAGTCGTAGGCGGCAGGCTGCTCGATGGACCAGCATACGTGACTGTAAACTCCTCGAGACTATCTCCATCTCCATCACTTGATTGCACGAGGGCTGTTTTGAAGAGCGCCATCTCAGTCAGTCTTGAAACGTGCATATTATTGAGCTTCCTCGGCTCATTATCTCCACCATCCACGCGGAGCAGCATGAATGTGCGATCATATTGTAAGCCTGTGCCTACCACTGTCGCCGACGACAATGCAATTCCGCGCAGAGATTTGACTGGATAGATGTAAAGCTATGCCAGGAGTTAGATTGAGTGAATGCCAGTAATTGTTCGCCTCAGTTTCTGGACGGCTTACCTGAGTGACCTTCATGGCCACAACAGAGTCTAAGCGCACGAGTTAAAAAATAGAAACTGTGAAAATTGTTAAACCGGAGATGGATTGAAGTTTTAAGACTTGAAGAAATTGTTTAGATGTAGAAATAATATTTTTGGGCGCTCAGATGGATCTTAAATATGTTGTGGTTGGAGATAACGCTGACCAAATCTCGGTTGGAAAGGGCGGTCCGCCACCCCAAATCCGGAAGAAAAGAGGCAGGACGCAACTTAGACCGCGTGTATCCGTCAGTAATCACGACAAAATGCTAGACAAGGATCTCTCGATTACTTTCCAACAAACTCTAGCATGACGCCCCGTGCACTCACGCCATCCCCACCGCGGGGACACAATTCGCCCTCCCACTCATCCAGCCGCGTGTCATCTCGCCCCGACAAGAAACGCACCCTCCTTTGGGATTGGACTTCAGTGCGCGACTCGATCCCTCTCCCCGTTATCCCCACCAACTCTCCCATTTGCGCCTGCCATAATTGGAACACATGGGCACCACCCGATCTCCCCGCGCACGTCCCCTTCCGGCCGATGTTCCGCACAGTCGAGCAGCTACAGTTCCCTGAGTTCGAGTATGCTCTCAGCCAGCCATACCCGATCATGCACTTCCTCAACGAGCCGGAGCGCGCAGACCTGACGCCAGAGAGGGCCTGTGAGCTGTGGTTTGAGAAGATAGTGCCTCTGAGGCGGGAGAGGGGGACTAAGATTGTGGGACCGGCGGCTGCTAATGATCACCCCGGAACTGTCTGGTTGGATACGTTTATGGCTCTTATTGCGGCTCGGGATTCGAGAGAGCGACCTGACTTCCTCGGCCTCCATTACTACGGCACTATTGCGGCAGAGGCTATAGGCTATTTGACGGACAGGCATAGGAGGTATCCAGACTTGCCCGTGAACATCAGCGAGATCGCGAGCATTAGTCGCGACAGGCGGCAGGTTGAGAAGTTTAGTAGGGAGATCGCAGAGTGGGCTGATAGGACGGAGTGGGTGCTAGAGTATGGGTTTTTTGGGATGATGCAGGAGTGTGCGGATGAATTTGTGAGCCCGCAGGCACAGCTCATGGATAAGAAAGGGCAATTGACTGGATTGGGAAGATGGGTCATTGGCGTCTGAGGAAGGGGCGGTGCATAATAGTCAGCTAGATGATTATTACAGACTATAAATCCTATTGTGGCTTAAGTCGTGCACAGCAACTATGAAGAGGACGAAGACCCTTAATAACAGTAGCTATTAGTGCCCTTCAATTTGTCAGTTACTGAAAACTTGGGCTTAAGAAAGAGATTCTACAGCTTTAGCTACAGGTATCAATTCTCAAGAGCACATAGTCTCTTCCTTAAACTTTTGGCCAACCCCCAAAAAGCCCCTTAGCGGAGAAGTATTAGCCTATAAATTACCCCGCATAACGCTAAAAAAAGCTAGTGGAGAGCTTGGGGTGTGGTATCGCTATCGTACCAGAAGATGGCTTATCACACACAATTTCCCCAGCCTTCTCTACAAAACCACCTACCGTTAATGACCTCAATTCTCCAAGTCCGCTCACCATGGCAGCCTCTCCGGCTCCAGGCAGAGAAGACGCCATAATGGCCGTCGAGCAAGGGCATGTCGCGAGGCCTGGATCACAGTCCTCGAGCAGCAATTCGACTGACCAGGACGGGTCATTTGCACAAAGCAGGACAAGGACGAGCGCAGCGAGTGGGAGAGCGCCTGCGTGGTGGAAGGTTAGGCTCTTTCGGGGAATGCTTAAAGATGTAAGAAGGAGAGCGCCCTTTTATTGGAGTGATTGGACAGATGCTTGGGATTATAGAGTCGTGCCAGCGACAGTATATATGTATTTTGCCAAGTATAGCTAGCCCTCGCCTTGGCGACCTCCCCAGAGCTAACTTTCTCTCACAGTATTTTGCCAGCCCTAGCCTTCTCTTTGGATATGTTTACGAAAACCGATATGAGCTACGGAGTCAATGAAGTGTTATTAGCGTCTGTTCTGGGGTCCATCGTTTTTGCCGTTCTGGCTGCGCAGCCCCTTGTTATTGTCGGCGTTACGGGGCCCATCACAGTGTTTAATTACACGGTTTACGATATCATTACCCCTACAGGCACGAATTTCTTTGCTTTCATGTGCTGGGTTTGCCTCTGGTCACTAGTCATGCATTGTGCGCTTGCATTTACGAATGCTTGCAACGGCCTACGTTATGTGACGCGCTTCTCCTGCGATATATTCGGTTTCTACGTCGCATTTATATACATACAGAAGGGCATCCAAGTCCTCACACATCAGGGCTACGACGAGGCCTTCTATCTATCCATCATGGTATCTCTACTTGTGCTTGGCTTTGCCTACGGTTGTGGCATCGTTGGCGAAAGCACCATGTTCCAGCATTACATACGAGTCTTCGTCAAGGACTACGGCACGCCGCTCACAATCGTGTTCTTCACTGGATTTGTTCGTATCGGACGCATGGATGGCGTTCAGCTACAAACTCTGCCAACCTCAAAAGCCTTCTTTCCGACAGCCGACCGCGGTTGGCTCATCCACTTCTGGGACATCTCCATATCTGACGTCTTCCTCGCTATCCCTTTCGCTATCCTCCTCACCATCCTCTTCTACTTCGACCACAACGTCTCATCCCTAATAGCGCAGGGCTCCGAGTTCCCCTTACGAAAACCTGCTGGCTTTCACTGGGACCTCTTCCTCCTTGGCCTCACCACCGGCGTCTCAGGCCTCCTTGGAATCCCCGCCCCCAACGGCCTCATCCCTCAAGCCCCCTTCCACACCGCCTCTCTATGCGTCACCAAGATTGTCCCTGCCTCCGAAGACAACGATTCCAAAGACCACCCAACAGCAGTTATCGACCACGTCGTGGAGCAGCGCGTGTCGAATCTAGCCCAAGGCCTTCTAACACTAGGCACTATGACCGGCCCCCTTCTCATCGCCCTCCACCTGATTCCACGCGGTGTCCTCGCTGGCCTCTTCCTCGTCATGGGTGTCCAAGCCCTTGAAGCAAACGGCATCACGCTCAAGATTCTCTTCCTCCTGCGCGACCGCGCGCTGACGCTGGCCTCGGACCCGCTACGCCGCGTCAGCAAGCGCGCGCTCTACGCATTCGTATCGCTACAGCTGCTAGGCTTTTCAGCCACGTTCGCGATCACACAAACAATTGCCGCAGTGGGGTTCCCGGTCTTCATTTTTGCGCTTGTGCCGCTGCGGACGTGGGCGATGCCGAGGTGGTTCACGAGCGAGGAGTTGGGGCTGATGGATGGGCCCACAGCGAGCGAGTTCACGATGGTGAGTGTGGGTGGTAATTTTGGGGAGGGGGATGGAGAGGGCGATGGGAGTGGAGTGATGGCGAGCGCGGAGAATACGGCGGTTAGTAGCGATGAGGAGCTGGCGGAGAGGGGGCAGCGGGTGGGTGCTGTTGCGGCAAGGGATTTCGGGGATAGGGGACGCCTGGGTGAAGGAGAGAGGGTGCAGCATCATGGGGTTGTGGGAGAGGAGATGGAGATGAGGAGGTTGAGTGGGGCGGCGAGGAGGAGGAGTACGGCGAGTAGACAAGGGGCCGTGCGGTGGACATAGATGGGTAGAGAGCTGAGTAGTTTGATAATTAAGCGGTTAGTCGCTTAGTTGGGAGATGTTTGTAATCATCTAGTTTAGTTGGTTGATACGCTCCCCATCCTAATCGATCGGCCATGGAAGCCAATCTGGTCCGCTTCTCAAAATCACTCCCCTCCTCACCAGTCATCTGCTTCAGTCCCTCCTCTCGAAGTCCAGCAAACATCTTGAGGGCTTCTTCATACGTCTCGTTCGAGGTCCACCCGTCACGAGCAACAACTCCTTCTAATCCATCCCAGAAGTCGGCCTGCTCATTCCATCCTTCGCCGTCACGCATATGGTTCTGTATATCTTCCTCGGAAAAATGGATAGGGCAAGGAACATCAAACCCCATTTCATGCCAATGCCTAGATGTCATTTGTGAGCTGATTTCTTAAGATGGAAAGCGGGTGACACAAACCTCTCTAACCTAATAAGACACTGCCTGAAAGGTAATATATCTCCATCCCAGGTATCCTCGGCGAATTCGATAGTTCGCCTTCTCGTTGTCCCTTGGGGAGTATCATTTACTTTGACAAGTAGCGGATTCTGTTTCTTAGTTTCCGTCTCATATAGAAATTGCACAAGAGACCTCTCAACCTGGTCTGATACCCGGTCTTTTTCACTCTTTTCCATGTCTTTGTAGTTCTCAGGGAGCCTCAACATTACCTCACCAGTGTAATTAACAAGCTTCGGATAGCGGTATTGAAGGAATAGAGGGCCAACCCATGTAGATTGCCAATCGATGAGACTAGTAATCCTGTCATCTTTGACAAAAATATTCGGGGCGTGCATGTCCCAATGCCAGAGAGTGGCGCGACTCATACTCTTATCTTCTGGTAAAATATATGGAGAGATGTCTAGGTATTTCTTGTAAAGTGCAATGTGAGCATCGGGGGAATTTTGAGTATCTGATGCTCTGAATATGTCTGTCGGCGGTCGCCGAACTGCATGCTGTTTTAATCACTTGATTTGGTTGTTGGCTAGAGCTTTGAGGTAATCATGGGCGGTTTTCCCTGCAAATTAGCAAAACAGTATTATGAGCGGTATCTCCTTGGGTACGTACAAGGGCCCCTTCAATTGGTATTGATGGTCGCTCTTTTCTCCAAAAAGCATGGTCTAACACTGGGCCAATTACGAAGCGCTCTTCCGCCTCTCTTTTCAGCTCTACAGAAATATCGCCAGAAACATCGGCCCTTTCGCACCCAGGGAACGAATCTTTTGTAAAGTAAATATTGCCATATCTATAAAGTTAGTAGAATTCTTAGAGAAATGCTCATAGAACTAACCGGGTAAATGACACCGAGAGCAGCTTCTTCTCGGTAGCTACTAGGTCGCCAATAACTTTATCTTTCGACCGAAGCCCTATATCTCCCCATACATCTGCTAGCGATCGGCTCAGGGCCTTTTCCATCACAATATACTCTGCCTGGACGGGATTGTCGGCGACAGCACTCCAGGCGTGGATTTTAGGAACCGCTATATTAAGAATAGTTCTGGCCTAATAGAGCACGGTATTAGCTTATATCTTCTCTACTTACAATTAAAATGGGGCTTACAAAGTCCATACAACCTCGGAAGCGGTAGTCTTAAACGCAGGACCAGCATTGGGACATGGTATGCGTGCAATGGCAACAGAACCATTATCCATTACCAGCCTAAACACCTTGTTATATCCGCCTTCGGCCAGCTTGATCATTGAGACACACGTCTTCGCACCAATGCTCTCAGCTGCAACACGCTTGAGTTCTTCCACATTGAACTTTGTCTATCTCTCACGAAGCTCTTTCTCTTCATCCCATAGCCACCTCCCACTGGTGTAGCGGAAGAATTGTTCATATTTCTGCGACTTCGAAGCTGTGTGCATCATTCGAAACAGTTTGGACTGGAATGATCGTAGCATTGTCACCGGGGCCCGACGTTAGATGGCTGATATAAGTGCAAAGAATGGCTGGCAATTATTGCCTTCAGAATAGATTGCGTCTAAGAGCTAGAGCCTCATGGAATTTGCGTGGGTCGTGGTTGGCGGTGGGCCGTGGCTGGCGGGTTGGCTCTGTCACACAGCTAGCTAGCTCCAAGACAGACATGTAAAAGTGCTTATGCCGTAACGAATCCGCCTAGGGACGTTATCGTCAGGTTGAAAGATGCGCTCGACCAGTGGATTATCATCGTGTTGTTCAAATGACGGCGTTCCCCAAGCGCCCACGAAAATACTACTAAAGGGAACCGCCTCTGGCCGAGTAATTACGCCGACGACAAGAAGAAGAACATGCGCCTAGATGCTGGTTCCCAGGTTGGCGACAAGTATGAGGTGATTGTGCAGCCTAACAAAGGTGCTGATAACGTCTCTGTCAAAAAGGCCGCAGAGGCTAATAGCCATCAAATCCTCGCTAAGGTGGTGGTCAACAAGAACCGATGAGGAAGATATCAAGAGTGCTTTGGTAGATAGTTTTGAAGAGACGATCAAATAAACAGGGCTATAAGGAAAGGTTAAGGGTCTCTTGATTGGGACTTACTTCACTATGGCGGACACAAATGGAATCTAAGACAGCTTAGCTACTTCTATCGTTATAACGAGCATTGATTACTTACTGCATTTGTTACAACTTGGAGCCAGAACGTGGAGGTTCCATCGAGAATATTACACATATTATACATACTTAATCTATCAACCATCTAACTTTCCAGCAAAATCTCTCTCCTCCCCGTCTTTCCCTTCCTCCTCTCCTAATCTCCGCCCACAGTACAAGTTGGTTTTATCTATGGACGCCTAGGACAATGCAATTCGAGGATACAAATGTGTACACCAGAGAAAACAACAATGAGAAGAGTTGACGCACAGCAGGCTGCACCCGCCGACACTCATCGACCAGGCTCTCCCGCGAATAAACACCCACCACAACACCCCGGCTACCCAAGACTTCACACCTCCACTCACGCCGGAGTCGTAGGTGTCGGCCCCTCAGGCGGTCCATCCGAGACCTCCTCCGGGAACGGCGGCGGCGCGCTCTTCTTGTCCCCGGTTCCGAAGTACTTCTCGAAACTCTTGTGGTCCTCGAACGGCCTCTTCCCTAACAGCCTCACCATGTCCTCACGGCCCAGGACCTCCTTCTTCAACAGCTCCTCGGCAATCAGCCCAACCTCGTCTTTCTTCGCTTTCAGCAGATCCGAGCACTGCGTGTACGCCTCATCAATGATGCGGCGCACCTCAGCGTCGATGGTCTGCGCTGTCGACTCAGCGAATGGCTTGGTAAGCTTGTTTGGGTCGTCGGCGAAGTGCAGCGGGCCAAGCTTGGGAGACATGCCCCACTTCGTCACCATCGCCGTCGCCATCTTGGTCACCTTGTCGAAATCGTCGCTGGCGCCGCTCGTCACAGTCGGGAAGTGCAACTCTTCGCTCACGCGGCCTCCGAGCGTCATAGCCATGCGGTCCATCAGCTGGTTGACGTTCATCAGGTAACGGTCGCCGGTGGGGAGGTACTGGGCGTAACCTAGCGCGCCCTGACCACGGGGAATGATCGAGACCTTGAGGAGCGGGTCGGCGTACTTGAAGTACCAGCCACAGATCGCATGGCCGGCCTCGTGGTACGCGACGACCTTCTTCTCCTCGGGGTCGAGGACGAGGGACTTCTTCTCGAGACCACCGATGACACGCTCGATTGCTTGCTCGAAGTGGGTCATCATGACGGATTCGGCGTTGGTGCGAGCAGCTGGTAACAGTTAGTACATGTTAACACGACAATTGTAAGGCGAAGACTCACCAATAAGAGCTGCCTCGTTGCAGCAGTTGGCAATATCGGCACCAGAGAATCCGGGGGTGAGAGTAGAGAGGCGTCCAGTCAAGTAATCGATATCCTCGTTCGTGACGATCTTTTGCAGGTGAACCTTGAAGATCTGCTCGCGACCAGTCATAGTCGGGCGATCGATTGTGATGTGCCTATCGAAGCGGCCAGGACGCATGAGGGCCTTGTCCAAAACATCCGGTCTGTTCGTACCCGCCAGAACAACAACCTGATCCTTGGTGTTGAAGCCGTCCATCTCCGTGAGGATCTGGTTCAGCGTGCTCTCGCGCTCCTCGTTACCGCCTCCAAAGCCAGACTTCTCTCTCGACTTACCGATCGCGTCGATTTCGTCGATGAAGATGATACAAGGGGTTGTCTTGCGCGCCATGGCGAACAGGTCGCGCACACGCGACGGACCGACACCGACGAACATCTCCATGAACTCGGAACCACTGACGCTGAAGAAGGGCACGCCGGACTCGCCGGCCGTAGCCTTCGCCAGCAGGGTCTTACCGGTTCCGGGAGGCCCAGACAGGATAGCACCGCGGGGAATCTTGGCGCCTAGCCTCGAGTAGCGCTCTGGAGTCTTCAGGAAGCTGACGAACTCCATGATTTCCAGCTTTGCCTCGTCCATGCCAGCGACATCGGCGAACTTAACCTTGATGTCCGTCTCGTGGTTGAACTTCTTGGCTCTGCTCTTGCCCATGCCGAACATTCCACCCTGGCCGCCGCCACCACTTGCACCGCCAGCCATACGGCGAATCATGAAGATGGTGACACCGACAATCAGCAGTGTTGGCCCCAAGGAGATAGCGAGGTCCACGAGCGAACCCTCTTTAGTATAGCTGACCGGTATCCTCTCCCTGCTCGGGATCGCGAGCTGGTTTTGCGCCTCCTCGAGGTGTTGCTCGAAGGCTTGCACGGAGCCAATTGTGAAGTAGTAGTGGAAGTTAGGCTGCGCAGCTGGTGACTCTGGGTAGGCGCGCGCCGTGGCCTCGCGGTGCAGCATGACTCGCACGCGGTTCTCGTTGACGACGACAAGCTTCTCGACGAGGCCCTTCTCGAGGAACGTCGTCCGGAACTCTTGCCATGTAATGTCGCGCGAGTTCTCGCCCGGCACGACCATTCTGTAAAGCATGTAGGTTGTAAACGCGCCTAGCATGGCAGTGTTGAAGTCCAGCTTGAACTCGTAGGTCTTAGGCCCGCCTTGTTTGCCGCCCTGCTGTCCTTGCTGTCCCTCCTGCTTGCCGCTCTTGTCCCCGCCAGGTGGCGACGGTGCCCCAATCGGTACCTCTTGCCCAGCCGGGGGAGCGAAGTCCCTAAGTGACTTGCCTCCTGCTTCTAGTTCTATCACAATCTTCGCGAGGTTGAGCATGATCGCCGCCTCCGCTGTGCTCAATGGCTCTCCTCCCTTGTACTTCTCAAGAATCCCGAGCAGTGCTTTCGGATAGCCCTTCTCCTTCAACAACCTCGTCGTTATCTCCGCTGACCAGGACTTCGGGAATATAAACCCCCCCTTCAGCTGCTCTATTATCCCCTCCAGCGATACCACATCCTCAGGCGAGAGCATCACTATCCCATTCCGCATGAGTTTCTGCGCCTTCTCTGCCCCCTCCCCATGGACGAGACTCCCATGGAGAAATCCCAAATCCGCCACTTTCTCCGGGCCGGGGCTCGCCTCCTCAACCTTCTTTACCGCCCCCTTCTCCACCTTCTTCTCCCCAGCCTCCTCCTCCAACTTCTTATCCCCATCCTCCTTCTTCTTCTTCCCCCCATTCGCCCCCTCCTCCTGCTTCATCCACGATCTCCCACTCGTAAACCCCCTTGCCGCCGCCATCCGCATGCTCAACGGCACCGCAGCTTGTCGCCCCAATCCATGCCTCGCCGCAATCCTCGTCGTCGCCGCTGCTGCTCCCAGCCGCGCAATGCGCCCCGGCTGCCGCAAGAGCATGCTCATCGCTCCTCCGTGCTCGGCCCGCGCGGTCTCGTCGTCAGCGCCGTGTGCGGCCTCGTATCAGCGGTAATCGTACGTTCGTGTGGTTATCTCATCCGGGACGCGTGCGAGGGTGTGCGTTCGGGACCGCACGCGTGTGTTTTGGTTGGGATTGAGTAGTTTGCGTGTAGGGGACGTGTTTTTTGGTCTGGTTGATGGGTAATCGTCGTGACCAAATTTTCGCTTCGCTCCTAGGTTGGAGGAAGCGATCCGCGCGGTTTCAAAATGAGCGGAAGCGATGTGCGCGGCTTCGCAATATGTAGCCTATAAGTACCATTACATAGTAATTTGTATGTAAAGGTACATAAATCAATCATTGTAAGAAATTGTCACTTCATCACTCCCACGCTCACTCCCACACTCACTCAGCAGCTTCTAGGCTTGAAGCTCGGCTTTCTAGGCTTGAAGCTCGGCTTTCTAGGCTTGAAGCTCGGCTTTCTAGGCCCGAAGCTCGTGAGCGTGAGCAGCTTAGAGCTCACCTCCGAACTGAAGCCGGGCCCGGCTTCGGCTTGCCCGCTTCTTCGACTCCTCAACCTGGCGCCGAATAGCCCGTAAGTCGTGTTCTGGCCGCCTACTACAACCTCTTCGGTTCCGGTAAGCCAATTGCAGTAGCTCTCTTTTGAGGGGCTACTAAAGCCCTCCGGAACCCGGTGTTTCTAGTACTGTAGCCCCTCTTCTACAGCCCGAAAAGTAGAGGGTTAGAAACCCGTATTGGTAGGGTAGGCGTACTAGGCGTAGGCGTAGGCTGTATGTAGGTGCGTAGCTTCATAATAGCTGTATTACAGCTTATTACAGATTCCAGCTTTCCAGAAAGCTAAGACTATTGTAGACTCCTTAAAAGTCTGCTTCTGGATTTGGGTAAGGTCTCTCATGAAGGATTGTGTAATGATGTACGGTTACGCTCGCGCTACATCCCACTGAGCCAAAAAGACTACAGTATTCCTAGAATACGCGTAACACGCTTTATATACCACATGTACTATAACGGCGGCACCCCGTTACATGTAGGCTCCGGAGCTGGCAGACTGCAGAAAATATCATACTTCTAGTAGCTCTAAGCCCTAGGTAATACTGCTCAAGGATCCATTTCTTAAGGGCTTCTGACTATGTAGTAGAGAGGACCTTATTCCTACCACCCTTAGGTGGTAGGTTCCGAGCACGCCATTTGAGGCTCATCCGTAGTGTTGATTCACAGGTAGCAATTATAGACTCAGAAGGGTTTTCTGCAAGCCACTCATGGGCATTTGATATGGGATTCCCCTCCATTAAATGAATTGTATAGGATTACAATATAAATATGCCTTGGGGAGAATGCTTACATAATCACGGAGCTACGTAACTTAACTTAGTTGCTCTACCTCGGAGATAACTTACTGCCGTTCTTGGAATCCAACTTCCAACTTTCTACTCTCAGTGATTGTGCCACTTAAAAATCTAAAGAGGGGCTGTGGATAACAAGTTTACGGAGTACAGGAACTGTACTTCAAGAAAATGCGTTTAATCACTCAGAGCTGCAATTGGTAAGCTAGTTACTCAGAAATGGAACCAAAGAGATTATTCCCGTTGGTTTAAATTGCTAAGATCAATTCCCATCCTCACGCACTCTCGGTCTCTCACTTTTGCTCAGTCGTTCCAAGTTAATGCCCACAGGGTTCTCGAAGTATACATAAATCGTTTTTGAGATCCCCTTAGCTCCCTCTATAGCTCCACCCCCCCTTAGCATACCGCCTGAATAATAACCTCGCCCCTATCGCGAAGTAAATTTGAGTGAAGGTCCGTTTCCCATCCGTCATGCCTCATAAATATCTCCTGGAAACCCTGTTCATACAGAGCGAATGCCCACCCTCACTATACCGATACATAAACCTCGTCAAATCCTAAGCCAAAAACCCGCTAGAAACAAAAGCCAAAGAAGCCAGAAAAAACCCGAAAAGCACCCCGCTCTCCCAACACCTCAAAAACCATCCCATCCCATCCCATCCCATCCCACACCTTCTAATACAATACATTTCCCCTCCCCCTCCCTTTCCCTTCCAACAACCCCCATCACATCACATATCATCACCTCACCTCCCCACACCCCCACCCCCACCCCCACCCCCACCCCCAGCCCCACTACCATCACCCATCCCCACTCCTCCCCCCATCAAATCCGCCCAATCCCACTCCAACATCATCGGCATATTCCACAAATCCGGCGGCACAAACGGCTGCTGGAAGCTCTGCGGATTAATCGGCGAATGCGGATCCGCACCGCTCAAATAACGACTCATATCCGGGAACAGCAGTCCCACGCCCGGTCCCCCGCCGCCGCCATTCGCAGCAGCAGCTGCTGTGGCAGCGTTGGAGAGGTGTTCGAAATCCGTCGCGATGTCGTGGAAACCCGCGTCGGACATCCAACTCAGATCCAGCGCCGGCACCCCCCCCCTTCCATCCCCAGAGTTGTATGCATTCATATCCCCATACTGGAACTGCGGCGGCGTCTGTCCCGCTCTGCTCGGCGTGGGTCTCTCAATCGGCGGTCTGCTTATGCTGATACTGGGCAGGACCTCGTTGAGTTCCTTGCGCTTGCGACGCGTGGTGGTGTCGCGATCGGCTTTGTCGAGGACGACGCGGGCGATGCGCTCGAATTCCGTGCAGACGCCGAGCATGCGCTTGACGCCCGTGTTTTCGTCTTCGCCGGCGAGCATGGAGAGGAAGTTGACGACGAGGTTCATCAGCCGGACGTCGGAGCGGGCGCGGGGGTCTTGGGGGTTTTGGAGGATGTTGCCGAAGAGGGTCATGAGGGCGGAGACGGGGTAGTAGAGGATTAGCCTGGGGGTGGGGGGTTAGTATGGTAAACTGGGGGAGAGAAGGGGGGGGGAGGGAGGGGCTTACCAGACGCAGGAGAAGTCGCCTTGGGGGACGTATTTGACGAGGTGGATTGAGGCGCGTGCGGAGGATACGCAGAGGGCTGCTGATGAGAAGACGCGCGGGTTAAGTGGCCGCGAGTTCAGCCCCTGGATGGCGAAGTTGGAGAGTCGGCTCGTCCAGTAGCCGTGGTGGATGGACATGCGGTGGATGGTGGTGAGGCAGTTGTAGTATCCAAAGTGTAGCACAACAACGTGGAGGATGAGCGGGGTATGCGAGGCCTTGATCTCGTGTTCGGGGCGGAAGTCGATGGGGATGCTGTCCTTCCACTCCTCGAGCTGCTGGTCTAGTTCGCCGATGGTGTTGAGTAGCTCGCCGTCTGACTGCTTCGAGGCGCGCGTCGAGTACAGCTGGGTGTACACCTTGCTCACGATCGTGGAGAACTCGCACATCAGCCGGAACAGGTTGACCTTGCCCTTACCGCCCGCCAGCGGGATATTGCCGATGTTGTCCTCCGGGTCCGCACTAGGAAGCTCCACGTTCATATCGTCGTCATCCTGGACTGGAGGCCGTCCGAAGCGCAGGCATATGTCCTTGTCCAGCATATAACCGATCCAGAAGACGCGCTTGCGCTGCTCAATCTCGATTGGGTTGAGGTTGAAGCCCGAGCCGCGCTTGTGCAGCCCGATGCTGTGCGATAGCCTGATTGCGGATGCGACGAGAAGGAACGACGGCTGCGGGTTGGGTGTGCCTTGCATGAATAGCGCCATGCCGAGGAGGGCTTGTACGCTGAGAAGATCGGTGTTGCGCATCGTTAGCTCGGTGTACACGGCCATGGCGTTCTTGAGGTAACCCCACGCCTTCTGGTCTTCCTCTTCCGGGACCAGATTGCTCATAACGCGCAGGCGATGCGCGATAGCGAGGGCGATATTCAAACTCGCCCACCATCCCGATCCGTCGTATGGGTCGCGAGAATACTGTCGCTCGACGAGATGCATGAAGGTCGGTTGGTGGAAGAGAGGGAACATGCAGTTGAAGTTCTCAAAGAAGTCCTTCAGGAGAGACAATGCCTCTGCCTTCTGCGGAAGCTGGAGGTATATGCGCCTCTCGAAGATATCACCAAATACCTCCGGCTTCCAGTACACCCATTTATTGTCGTCGGCCGTCGCCTCCGCAATCATAGTCTGGAACGACTCATCGCCCGTCTTCTCATTCACCCACTGTATCCCCTTGGGCGAGAATATCGAGAACCCCGACGACGACCCAATATACCTCGTCTCACCCTGATCATTAGTAACGAGCGAGCACATCAAATCCGACAGCTCCTCCACCTCCTCCGCCGTCTTCTCCCCCACCCTCCGCTCCGACCCCCTATCCCCCTGCGTCCCCGGCGTGAGCACACTATTCGGGCTCTCGGACTCGCCCTCCACGCCCGGCGTCCCCCTCAGCGTCGTCGCCTGCGACGGCGACGTCGGGATCGAATCCGCGAAGTGACTCGCATCTCTCTTCGAAGACTCCCGACTCGCCAACCTCTTCTCCAACATCCCCAAATCCGTACTCCCCCCATCCTCCCCATTCAGCAGCCCCGACAACCTCAGTAGATTCTCCATCCTCCCTAACCTATTCTCCAACCCCTCAATATACTTCGCCCCCTTCGGCGGGCTCCTCTTCTTCTCCACCTGAGTAAACACGCACTCGGTCTTGTAGTTCGTGCAATGGCTGCACGCGGGCATCTGGCCATCGCACTTAATCTTCTTCTTCCGACACATGTCGCACGCGCGCGCGATGCGCCGGCGCTTCGCCTCGTTGCTGTCGTCGAGCAGCGTGCCTGCGTCGCCGAACATCCCGGAGGTGAGCCCCATGCCCTCGAGGCCTGTGAGGATCGGCGAGCCGTCCGCGGCGTAGGAGCCGAAGATCTGGGGCGGCGGGTCGTGATTCAGGTGCGCGGAGGCGTGCATGGAGTAGGTGTGCGGGTTGGTGTTGGCGGACATGGTGGTGGTGGTGGTGGTGGGTTTTGCGTCGTGCGCGTGGCGACGTGGGAGGGTTGGTGGTGTTTCGGTCAGTCGCGAGACGGATGGTGGGTGTGGGATGGTGTGTGCATGCCAGTCTCACGCCAGATGAGTGGGATTATATGTGGCGGGGTTCGTGTATTTCGTTTCTCCTCTCTTTCGCAGATATTATCGATGTCTCGCTGACTTTTCCATATATTATTTGGTACTGGTCCTTCTCCATGTCTCTAGCGGCAGCGATTAGACTAGAGTACCATGATTCAAGCTGACAAACGTTATAAATTACTTGGAAACAGTTGGAGGGAACAGTGCAGCCGGGGAACAGAGTCTCGGGACTAGAAAGTCGCAGAGTAGATCTTTTTGAATTGCCTAGTTGAGAGAGTTGATGCCTTTGAATCCGGGGTTGGGGCTTTTTTGGGGTTGGGGGTGGTCAATGGGTCTGGTCCGAGTTGGGGGGGGTCGGGGGGTCGTCCGAGTTGGGGGGAGTCGGGGGAGTCGGAGTCAAAGTTTAACGAGGTGCCGGTGCAGTAGTGGAGTAGGTAGTGCGGGCCACGTTGCTGAATTACTTTCCTCCCCCAACTCTAAGACCAAGGGCGCGCATGGCCTCAAAGGAGTAAGACACCTCATCTCATCATCATCCCTCCTCGCATCATTTGTCACTCCCCCCCCCCCCCCCCCCCTTTTTGGATCAGAGGTAAGCTGCGTCACCGCGGTTTCACATGGGTCCGAGCCCCTCCCATACTCAGCTCGCTACGGCGATGATAGGGATCATGTCTAAGATCGGTGCCGGGATGGGCGGTTACAGGTCTAGGCGGCGAGGAGGCGGCGGGTTGGGGAGCCGGTGCGAGTGGCGATGCTGTCTACATTTCTGCGGAAAGTCCTCGGCTGTTCCTAGAGCGTCGTATACTTCGTCGAGGGGGAAAAGGGGGGGAGGTCATGTGATTGTTGTGGTCTGGGGTTGAGCGAGGGGAGGGGGATCAGTACCGGCTATTTGGGGGGTTGCCAACCCTGTATGTATTATACAAGAATCCCTCCCCCTCCCACCCCCTATCCATCATCCTCATCCCAACACCATCCCACCAGACCATCTTATATCCAGTCCCCCCCACCACCCACCGCCCATCAACACCACCCTCCACCCATCGACCCATCGATCCATCACATACACCGAAAATCTCACCATACAACTCCCCTTTTTCGAACCTCGCAAGAATCTTGCCTAAAAAACCAAAAAGAAACGGGTGCCAGGCCAAGAAGATGTAAGTAACCATGATCATAGCGCGTCGCTTTTGTGCGTTTGCATTCGGGGAACGGGGCGTGAGTAAAAGGGGGGTCGGTCAGACGAGGAGCGTTCCTCGCTCCCTCGCTCTCGCTCTCTCTCTTGAACCGCCCCCAAAAAATAGTAAAAAAAGGGTTGAAGAAGAAGAAGCAAAAAAAAACAATCCCAATACATGAACATAGCGTCCGCTGGTATCGCAAACGCCCAATGATTAACTAAAAAAAAAGTAAGATCCCTGGACTCCCAGTGATATTTTTAAAGTAGTGAGTGAGCCACGTCTCATAGACGCGTTTTGTTGCTGTTTCTTCGTCGAAGGTGTGTGTGTAACTCGTGTACGCTGTACCTTCAGCTATGTTCTCCAGCGCTGCTGTGGTTGTAATCCCGCACGTAAAAAAACGTGGTATAAAATGTAAAAAGAGTCCCACCCAGCAGGTAGCGTGACCAGGCCAGCTCGAAAAAACGTCATCCGAGCGACTCTACACCTCCTCCGTGAACCTCGAGTTGCGGCTCCCATCTCGCGACGGGTGCGAGCGCCCCAGCGCATCCGGCATCGGCAGCGCCGGAGAGGCGTTAATACTGATGAGCGGCTCCGTCCTCGAGTCCGCCGAGATATGCGCCTGGTATCCCACCCCAGGTGACCTCGGCGGCGCCCTATCATTCAGCGGCGACGACGGCAGCCCAGCCGAGGTAGGCGACGCGGGGTATCCCGTCCCGCCGTAGAAGCCGCGCGAGTCGCGGTAGAAGGAAGTATCGCTCAGGTGCGGATCGGCGAAGGGGTCCTGCTGACGGTCCGAGAAGGGGTCTTCGTAGCCATTACCCCCCGAGGTGAGGACCGAGGGGAGCTTGCGGCCTGAGATGCGGACGAAGCTGCGGTGGCTGTCTGCCGTGCTGGAGTGCGTGGCTTGGGACTTGCGGTTTTGCCCGGTGAGGGCGGCGAGCGCGGCGGGGACGGTGAAGGTCGAGGGGCGGCGGACCATGGACATGGGGCCTGTTGCGGCGGCGCCGCTGGAGGGGATGTCGGGAGAGGTGAGGTCGCGGCCGTTGCTGAGCTGGACGCCGCCTTGTTGGCGCCGCTTCCAGCGGAGGAGGAGCATGACGAGGAAGGCGATGAGGGTCACGCCTGCTAGACTGCCGACGACTGAGCCGATGACTACGGGCGTCGGGGGAGGGTTGTTGGAATCGCCGTTCGAAGCGCCCAAGGCTTTGTCGCCCGAGGAGCTGCCGGTGCCAGAGTCGGTTCCAGAGCCAGAGCCAGAACCAGAGCCTGGTGCGCCGTATGCCACCCCTGTTCCTGTTACACCGGCTGATGATAGGTATGTGGTTGTAATAACATCGCCATAGGCGTTTGTGTATATAGATGTATATACGCCGCCTCCGTTTTTGTGCTGCGCCGAGGTCGCGGCCAAGGCTGACAGGGTATGGGAAGTTGCTGTATTGTTATGTAAAGATGCGAATGCAGGAACCCCATGTGCACTTTTTCCTGCTGCGACTGCGAGATGTTAGTCGGGACCCATCAATGCAAAATATTTGCTTCTTACCAGTCCCGTTCACTGGTGTGAGCGAAGAAAATGACGGTACGTCTGTTGGTAAGGGCGCAGCAGTTGTCTCGAGAAACGAGGTAATCGGTGGTGCCGGAGGGACTGGTTCGACAGTGCTCGAGGGAATATTCGTAGGGACATCCGTGGGGAGATCTGAAGACGGAGGCTCTGTCGGTGCAGGCTGCGAGGTGACGCTGGCGGCGTCGCTCGGGACAGGCACAGGAACTGCGGGAGCAGCAGTCGCGCGAGCATCACCATCCACACTACCCGTATTTGCCGTGTAGGTAGCAACAGATTCGGAGATTGTATTTCCTGCGCCGTCGACGGCGACCTGCCGGACTACAGACTCAGTCTGGACGACTGCCGTAAGGGGTTTGTTTGGTGGTGTTGATGGTTGAGCGCCAGCCTGTCGTTCGTGGACATGGGCGGCATCGTGGACGTGGGCTCGCCGTTGGTGGAAACGTGCGTGGGTGTGTCTGTTTCCGCGATTGTCGATATGTTCGGTGTGTTCGCGATAAACGGTCTCTGCGAGAGCATCCTGAAGGAATGAAGGGGCCTCGTCGGTGTCGGCCATGATGGCGCGCGGCTGTGGTGACTTTCTGCTCTTGTCTCTTGTCCTCTTGTCTCTTGTCTCTTATCTCTTATCTCCTGTCTGTCTCCTGTCTCCTGTCTGTCTTCTGTCTCCTGTCTCCTGTCTCCTGTCTCCTGTCTCCTGTCTCCTGTCTCCTGTCTCCTGTCTCCTGTCTCCTGTCTCCTGTCTCCTGTCTCCTGTCTCCTGTCTCCTGTCTCCTGTCTCCTGTCTCCTGTCTCCTGTCTCCTGTCTCCTGTCTCCTGTCTCCTGTCTCCTGTCTCCTGTCTCCTGTCTCCTGTCTCCTGTCTCCTGTCTCCTGTCTCCTGTCTCCTGTCTCCTGTCTCCTGTCTGTCTCCTGTCTCATGTCTCTTGTCTCTTGTCTCTTGTCTCTTGTCTCTTGTCTCTTGTCTCTTGTCTCTTGTCTCTTGTCTCTTGTCTCTTGTCTCTTGTCTCTTGTCTCTTGTCTCTTGTCTCTTGTCTCTTGTCTCTTGTCTCTTGTCTCTTGTCTCTTGTCTCTTGTCTCTTGTCTCTTGTCTCTTGTCTCTTGTCTCTTGTTGTTTGGTGTCTGTCTCTTGTCTTGTCTCTTGTTGTTGGTGTCTGTCTCTACTCACACTCTCCCCAATGTATGAGTCCCCAATGTATGAGGAGGTTAACGATTGTGGAGAGGCGACATGGCACTTGCGACCATGGCGAGTGAGAGGTGGAAAGGAAGATCAGTGGAGAAGCAGAGGAAGTAGAAGAAGAGGTGGAAGTTGTAGTGGAAAGGGACGGAGAAGAGGAGAGACAGTGAAGTCAAGCATAGGCGCCGACAGTTTGGATGGTATAGATATGGGTTATGGATATGGATATGGATATTGATAAAATCGCGACTAAACCAGCGGCGAGATCTAATCTCGCTTATGCTCGTGTGACTGGGGGAAGGGATGAAAAATCAATATTGGAGGCATTTTACGATTAGATGTTACTGTAGGGTAGCAAGACGGCGGTAGTATTGTAGCATCGTGGTCGTGTGCAATTGGAAAGTTGAGGGGAGTGGGAAGGAAGGGCAAGATGTTTGTTGTTTACGCTGGTTGTTGGGTTCTAGACTATGATAGTTCTTATTTCCCCTCTATTTTCCTTCTTATGTCCCTTCTTATTTCTCTTATTTCCCCTCTATTTCCCTTCTTATTTCCCCTCTATTTCCCTTCTTATTTCCCTTCTTATTATTTCCCCTCTATTTCCCTTCTTATTTCCCTTCTTATTATTTCCCCTCTATTTCCCTGGATGATGGGGTCTCTGCTCTAGAAATAGAAATAGCTCCCTAGGGGACTGGGACCGGGAGGGACTGGGAGGAACCAGGAGGGACTGGGGGACTGGGGCCCCGGAAACTGGGGTCTGGGAAAACTGGGGCCACGGTCCTCATCCATCCATCCATCTACATCGGCTATTCTGGATCTCAACCACCAAATATTATCCTTTGTTTCTCGCAGCGTTCTATTCTATATACTACAGATATTATGAAACCAGCATCTACCCCGCTCTCAACATATTCCACCCAATGCTTACGAGTCCTGTCACCACAAGCACTCCCATACTTTCTTTCTTGATTGCGTCGCCGACAGATGATCCGCGCCGCCTTGATGGCTGCTCCATAGATTTACCCCACCATTCCATCGCCGCAATCACTCTCCCCAACCTCGATTCAATGTCTTCATAAACCCACTTCTCGAATAAAGCCAAGTAAGGTCGACGGCAACCATGGCGACCGATCAGAAGCAGAAGTACGTTTATGTCCCACCGATCGAATATGCGCGGTCTCAAGAACCAACGGCCGGCAGCTCTCGCCCCAGAGTCCCACCCCCACTTCCCCCGCGTAAACCATCAACACAGGTCGCCGTGCCGCCTCCATATTCTTTATACGACTTCGAAAGGGCCGAGTTAGCTTCAGAGACATGGGTTCACGACCCAAGGACCTCCCCGATGGAATCGATAAGCCCGTCCGAGTTACGAGAGGGACAGCGTACGCTCCTGCTCATTTACATCCATGGCTTCATGGGCAACGAGACGAGCTTCCAGAGTCTGCCTGCTCATGTTCACAATATCCTCACGGTGGCCTTGGCTGAGAGCCATGTGGTGCATACCAAGATATATCCTCGATACAAGTCGAGAAACTCAATTGAGGCTGCAAGAGACAACTTCAGCGATTGGTGAGGACTTCTTAACGCATTCACCTCGTCCTATCACTAAAAATATCTCTACAGGCTCGGACCGCATGAAAATGCTAACACAGATATCGTGTTACTTGGCCACAGCATGGGAGGCTTGCTTGCTGCAGAGGTTGCTCTCATGCCTTCTCCTGACCCAAGCCACGGTGGACAGTTCAAGCACCGAGTCCTCGGCACTATTAGTTTCGATACACCATTCTTAGGCATGCACCCTGGGCTGGTAGTAAGCGGTATAGGGAGCTTGTTCAGACCGGCTCCTGCGCCGCCTGGGTCTGCACAGAACACACGGGAGTCGTCGACTGTTACTGACACGTCGGAGTCAGGCAGCATTTCATCAATGCCAACGACTGCTGCTTCTATAACGACAGTGAGCTCAGCAGATACACCTCTAACCCTAAGCACCAGCAACAACTCATCGATCCACACTGCCACTACCAATGATCCGTATTATAACCCACCCTTCGTCAACGACATTAACATCAAGGAACGCAGCGGGTGGAACGGCTTATTACATTTCGCCAATAAGCATGTTGATGGCCTTACATCCGCAACCAAGCAATACTTCCTGTCCCATATTGAATTTGGTGGCTGCCTCGCCGACTTCTCGGGACTGAAGAACCGGTATGCTCGTCTGCGGCACCTAGAAGATGTCGACGACACGACAGAGGCGGCGTTGGCATCCGATGCTAGGCGTATCCGATTCGTCAACTACTACACCGCGAGCACTGGGCTACCGAAACGGGTAAAGGTGCAGCAAGTAAAGGCGAAGGACGAGGATGGGAACGTTGTTTCAGTGGAAACTGCGACGGAGAATTTGAGCCTCGAGGAATCCGCGAAGGCTACCAGGGATATCCCGGCTGAGTTGGCATCTTCTGGCGTGCTTGATGGACCCGGGGCTGCAATAATTTTGGTCGCAGAGACGGGTAAGGCAGCAAATACAGAGGCGAAAGTACCAACATCAGAAACTCATATCTCTGAAGATGCGCCAGAGCAAGACGATGATGATTATGAAGCACAGCCGATGCAGCACATAGACTCTATGCCCATCCAAAGCGACGACGAAGATTCCCAAGATGACGACTTCCATGATGCCCCTGAAGACACCCACCAAGCCACAGCCGACGTAACGACAGCGACCCCACCAACACCAGACGTACCGACAAGGACCTCGCCGATACCAGACGTACCAACAGCAACCTCGCCAATACCAGACATAACAACCTCAACCGGCGACCCCGCTCTCCCCCCCATCCCCCCCATCCCAGAAGAACCCTCTCCCCTCGAGCTCTCCCTCTACAGCGACACAGACTCCCGCAAGCTCGCCGAAAAAGAACATAAGCGCATCCTGAAGATCTACCAGACAGCTGTCAAGCATCGCGAGAGCGCGCTCAAGGACCGTCGGAAACTCACTGAGAAGCGCGAGAAGAAGGCGGCGCAGGGGCGCGAGAAGCTGCGCAAGACGGAGCAGAAGAGGGAACAGCAGGAGAATGAGAAGAGGCTTAAGGAAGAGGAGAAACAGCGTATTGCTGATGCTAAGGCGGCGGAGCTCCGGGCTGTGACGGTTAATCCCAGCGGCCCTGCCCCTGGCGCGGATGCCCGAGCGGGATCTACCTTCGAGGGCACAGAAGCAGCGCCGCTGAAGAAGAAGAAGGATAAGCGCTTTTGTCTGTTGCCCGGCGATCTGGAGCGCAGCAGCGGCGGGCTGGATAAATGCTGGGTGCGCGTTTACATGGAGGGTGTGGACGAGGTAGGCGCGCACTGTGGGTTATTCTTCCCAGGACCACAGTATGCGGCGCTGCTGGGCGATACGACAGAGCGGATTCAGGGGTGGGTGAATGATGATGCGACGAGGCGGGCGATTTTAGACATACATAGCCTGGATTAGGTGATCTGGGTGGATGGTGGTGGATATTACTGTATGTACAGTAGTAGTCACATGCGGCGTTTTATGGATAGATAGATTCATGAAGTTACGATACCCCATCTCGCTCTCTCTCTCCCCCTTATAGCTATATTCTAGCGCACACACGTCTATTTCGGATCTATATACATATGAAAATCGATCGCTTCGCCCTGCGCGGAACAGAATGCAATATGGACATTGGTATCACCGTATTTATACACACTCCCCCCCCCGCCCCCCGCCCCCCTCCCACTCTTCCCCCTGGCGGCAATTCAGCCCCCACTGCTCCCCTCCTTAGCATGCTTCTCCTTCAACCTCTTCTCCTGCTTCATAAACTCCAAAATCCCCACCGGCACCCCTCTAAACACCTCTCCACTCAACCCATCATCCCAATTCGCTTCCTTCCCCCCCCATCATCATCCATACTCGTCCCTGCCTCCTCCCCTCCCCCCCTCCCACCTTCTTCCCCTCCCCGCGGCTCATATCAACGCCCACCTCCCCCCCACCGCCCTCTCTGCCCTCGCCCTCGCAGCAGCCCACTCCTCCACTTCCTCCCCAAACCGATCCCACACACAATTCACACACCCGCTCATACAGCAGTTATCCGGCTCCTCCGGGCGCGGCGGCACCCACACACCCGCCACTAGTTCGCTCTTGCTAGCCAATTCAGCGCGGCGTTCCGCTGGCCCTGCCAAGCGTGATCCGAAGACGACGCGGGCGCGGGCTATGTTCTCTTCTTTTGCGGACTTGGGAGGGGAAGTTGGAGGCGGGGGAGGATGAGGGTCGGAGGTGAAGGCGCTGGAGAGGGGGTGGGTGAGGAGGGAGTCGTAGTAAGGGCCGAGGGGTTTGGCTTGGGGCCATTCGGGGGAGCTGGAGGTGCTGCTGGGTGTGTTGGGTGTGTTGGGTGTGTTGGTGCTGTGGTGGCAGGTATGGCGAGGGAGGACGAGGAGGCGCGGTGCGCGGCGCACGAGGTGGTGGAGGGCGCGGGTTTCCATGTTTGTGGGTTTTGCGTGCGTGCGTGCCCTTTGAGATATGATGGGCGGGCTGCGCGGGCGTAGGATGTGGCTGTGATTTATTTGTTATATCATGGGTGCGTTTTGCGCTGTATTTTGTTGTGTTGTGTGGTTGATCCGTCGGAATCAAAGTGAGTCGTAGCCAGAAAATGTTTTAGCATTGGCATCCATGACGTCCTCTCCGAGGGCCGCCGCCGGGGCGATAAGGCAAGGTTGCAGGTTTGTTGGTCCCTTGCTCGTGGAAGCGTGTGGCAGGCGGTGCGGGATAACTTTCTAGCGAGTGGATGGCCAAAGTCGCGTCCTCTTGGGGCTATAATACGCGACTTCAAAACACCCAAGCTCCCAAACGAACTACGACACCCCACGAACTACCTTGTAACGATTGAATATACGCAATTGTCGAGATACGGATACAAAGATACTTTACTCGATTCGAAGAGCGCATGGGCGCAACGATTAGAGCGTAGATTGCGATGTCGCAGTCGCCCAGCAAGCAGCGCAAGTTGTCCCCCGAGGTGGGCGCGCCGAGCACACCGAGTCGCATTCCAGCACCTAGGGGAACCGGGAGGGCCACAACACCTGTTAGGAATACGCCGGGGGGAGGACCTTCTGCGTCGCCCAGTAAGGCTGGAGCGAGTGTGTCGCGACCACCTGCGCAGGTGGTGGAGGGGGATGTGGGGTCCCAAGCTGAAGAGGGCGTTGAGGTGCCGGGGATAATTGGCCAGGCAGGACAGACGGGGGAGGTAGAGGCGACAACACCCAGGGGAACGAGGAGGACACCGAGGGGTGGAATGACGTTCGCGCCGAGGAGGAGGTCGCAGTCGCCGCAGAAACAGGATCCGAAGACCTCGACTCCGGCGGGTGGGAATAATGAGCAAAATCCGTTTCAGAAGAAGGGGTTGAAACGATCGCCTATATCGACCGCGGACACTGCTGGGGGGACGGATGAGCAGTATCCGTTTCAGAAGAAGGGGGGGCTACGACGATCGCCTATACCGGAGACGGGTGCTGCTGAGGTTGTGCCGCAGATGGGGAAGACACAGGAAGGGCCGGTGGTGGCTAGGCCTACGACGCAATCGACTACGCCACAGTCGATTCCGCCAGCGCCTGCGGTGACTGCTGAGATTGTGGACCCTTTCAAAAAGGGTGGGCTGCGTCGGTCGGATGTCGCTTCTCCTGCGCCTGCAGTTCCTGCAGTGCCAATTGAACCGACCGAGCCTACGGATCCCTTCAAGAAGAGCGGATTACGCCGTTCGGATATTGCTTCCCCGGCACCTGCAGCACCTGCAGCGACTGTGGCGACTGTAGCGCCTGTCGCGCCTGTAGCTCCCACCGAGCCTACGGATCCCTTCAAAAAGGGCGGACTACGCCGGTCGGGCATTGCTTCCCCAGCACCCGCAGCTCCTGCAGCATCTACAGCACCACCCACCGAGCCTACCAAGCCTACCAATCCATTTAAAAAGAGCGGACTACGCCGGTCAGACGTTGCTTCTCCTGCCGCTGTAGTGGCTGCAGCGCCCACCGAACCCACAGAGCCTACCAACCCTTTTAAAAAGAGCGGATTGCGTCGGTCAGACGTTGCTTCCCCGGCACCCGTGGCGCCCACGGAGCCTGCTGACCCGTTCAAAAAAGGTGGACTACGCCGATCAAACGTTGCCCCTACGGCGCCTACAAATAATACACCCGCTGAGAACGCGCCTACAGAGGAAACACCTACCGAGAACACACGCACAGAGAGAGCAGTCACTGAGGAAACACACCCAAATACACAGAGCACCGCACCCCTCAATGCTCCGGTTCAAGAATCAGCGCCAGAGCCACAACCACAACCGCAGTCACAGCCAGAACCTCAAGTAGAACTCGAACCGGAGCCAGAACTCCCCCCAACGCCAACCCAACTTGGCATCCCCGATCCTGTCGTAACCACCGAACCAACAGGAATCCACAATACGCCCAGCAAGCGCCCCAAGCGCCCCAGGAGCACAACTCTCAAATCCTCACCCCTCAAACCCCGCGATCCTCTACCCACCCAGCCAGTACCAGCAACAGTAGCGGCAACAGCCTCATCATCAGCCTCAGCACCCCCTCTTTCCGCCTTCCCATTAAAAAACAAAACAAAACCAACAACAACAACAACAACAGCCACCTCCGAACCCCCCCCCAAACGCCGCAAATCATCCCCCCCTCCCTCCCGCAACCTCTTACCCCCCGACCCACACGCAGCCAAAAAACGCCGCCGCGCTGCCCTCCTCGCCGAAGTAGCCCAGCTCGAAGCAGACCTCGTCCTCGCCGAAGCCGAGAACGCGCGGATCCGCCGCCACCACGAGGCTGGACGGCGGGATGTCCCCGCGCCGAAGAACGAGGATGCGATTTTTGACCTCCTTCTCAGGGCTACGCGGCCGAGGGTGGCTGGGGGGGGGGAGGAGAGGCCGAGGAAGAAGAGCGTTATGATAAATGTTGGTGCGTTTTTGCCGTTTGCGAAGAAAAGGAGGCCGGTGGTGAGCAAAGAGGTGGTGGTGAAGGAGGGGGGGCTGCCGTCGTATGGTCCGGTGGAGGTGGAGGATCCGATGGCGTATCTTTCTGTCTTCTCGCCGCTGGGGTTTACGTCTACGACTACGATTTTGGCCTCTGTGGGCGAGTCCGGGGCGGTGTTGCAGCGACGCGATGTTGTGGCGAAGGCGCGGGGGGGGTTGTTTCATGCGCGCGTGGGGGTGGTGGTTGATACGGCGTCGTTGGCGGTTGTGGGCGTGGATGTGGATGGGCTGGATGGGAATGCGGAGCCGGAGATTGGGGGGTGGATGAGGGAGAGGGCGGGGGAGGGGATGTTGGGTCGCGATGTGAATGCGGTGTTTTATGGGATGGGGCAGTGGGTTGAGGGGGCGGCGAAGAGGGCGAGGTTTTGGTGCCAGATTGGAGAGGAGTTTGGGTGTGGGGGTGGGAAGGGGAAGATGAAGGAGAAGGAGAAGAGGAGCAAGGGGAAGGGTAGGGAGGGGGAGGATGTGGAGCTGGATGAGGGAGTGGGCGCGGGGAAGTGGACGGCGAAGGATCTGCTACCGCACATGAGACGGACGGCACTCGTGCTGCCGGTTGAGGACGTGGAGGTCACGGTGGAGTGGCGCATCGCGCTCGACTGGACGGGTGAGGCGGAACATGCTATCTCGGCGTCGGCGCGGGTGCCGCGGGGCTGTAAGTTCCATTCTATCTTGACAATGGGTTGTGAGTGTTACTAACGAGATGCAGGGCATGAGCAGGATGAGCGGCGCAGTCTGACGAGGCTGCCGGAGATGTTTCGGAAGCTGGTAGAGAGCCGCGGACCGGTGGTGGCGGTGAGGACTGTTGTAGCTGGGTTGCTGGGTTGATGGGGGCGATTGAATGGGGTTATGTGGTATGTGGTATGGTTGTACGGTATAGGAGGGGATATGAGAGGGGTGTAATACTGTAGTGCACGATTATGATAATGATACCCGTTTACCCATCCTCCATTCATCGCGCCTCACCGCGCTCCTTGTAATCGTACAACTCTCAGATCTATTTATATATGCGCTACATGATATTATGAACTCCCACCCCACTACCGGCTTTTCCCCTGCCAAACCGCAGTCCGCAATCCGCATATGCATTACCCCCTCTCCCCTGCCTGCCATCCCATCCCATATTCTCGCCGCATAAGCGCTAATCCACATCCACCCCCTTCTTCCTCAGATCCGCGCGGGCCTCATCGATCTCGAGCATCAGCTCTGCGTGCGCGGCGGGGACATCGTTGAAGGTGAAGACGCCGAGGCCGAGCTTGAAGAGGAGGTAGGAGCCGAAGGTGACGAGGACCCAGAAGGGGAGCTGTGCGCTGGGTGTTAGCTTGTGTTCCTGGTCTTGGGAGGTGGACGGAGGGGGGGGACGTACGACGGGGATGATGTCGGATTGGATTAGTGCTGGGAGAGGAACAAGTTCGAGGTAGAGGGAGAGATAGAGCTGCGGCGTGTTAGTGAGGTCTTCTTGGTCTGCATGTCTGCAACGGAGGGGGTTGGGGGCGGGGAGGGGGACGTACGGAGGAGACCAGGAGGGCGAGGGAGATTGTTTGTTGTGCCTTCGTCATGATTGCTATGGGTGTGTGCGTCCGGCTGTGCGATGACGCGTGGAAATGGTGGCTGTGGGGGAGCTGCGAGCTTATTGCCTTTGTTGGCGTTGATGCCTTTTGTTTTCTTGGGGATTCTTGGGAGGGAAGGGCGTTCAAGGGCGAGAGCTGTCCTTGGGAATTGCCCGATTGGGGACTAGGGATATTTGGGACGCGTGAGTGGTTGATTGGCACGTGACTGGCTCGCTGTTTTACGAGGTACGAGTAGCGTGCACGGCCCTCCTACCAAACATGACGGACAGTGCTGTTTAGTCAGCAATTACGTAACTCAGTCACGAGTTCTAGTATACGGACACTTAGCCGGCTGCATTCATTTTGTTGTGTTGGTGGCCATCTTCTTGGTCTTGTCTGCCTTATTATTGAATTCAACTACCTAGGGGTGGACATGACATCTAGGGATATTAAAGCCAGCTAAGACCAAGTTGATATCAGGGAAGAGTGGTAGTTGGAGTAAGGTAGGAAGACATTGTAATTGGTGATAGTTGAAGTAAGAGTTGAAGAAGTTGATATTATAAGAAGAAAGGAAAGGCACGAAGAGGAATAAGGTAAGCAGAAACAGGGGTATTCTTACTATGAATCACTTCTTATAAGTGATTCATTTCTACTATTATGAATCTTACTGTACTATGAATCACTTTCTTTATCAATTTGGCCCGTTTCATGTCGGGTTTGCTTACGTAACCGCTTACAAATCCAGAGCTTTCGCTTAGTATTCGGACGCCGCCGGTGTCCGAATACTGGAACTCGTTGGGGCTGTGCTTGCAGGATATTATGTAATCCATCCATTGAGTTTCCCAACTTATGAGTTTAGTGATTATTGTCTGGGAGGGTTGTGAGGTATCATACGCAGTCTACAAGGCAATTCGAAGAGGCAGGTATTATTTAATTCTCGGGCCTTCTCACCCCTTATATGTGGTATGCACGCACGTGTGAGAGTGTGTATGAACCCCACCATGTAAAGAAGCTTATCTCCCACAATCAGACCAAAATGAACAAAAAAAAGGACCAAACGGTCTAGATAAAATAAATCAATTTAAGTAATAGCGTGTAAATAATGGCAAAAAACGGGGCATTATCTGACGATTTTTCTGTATTCCCTGTATTTTATTTGGAATAGTCCTGCGCATTCTTGGCCGTCTTATCGTTTCCAGACGTCTTCTCTGCAGTTGTCTGGGGGTAGACCTCGCAATAGTTAAATTGATTTTACTGACCTAAGCAACGTCCACACAACTTCCTTCTCCCATTCTTACCCCCCCTCCCCCTCCAACAAACTTACAACAACCTCTGTACAAATTCCCCGTTTTGGCAATATAATACCCACGTATATACTCCACACCTGTCCCCGCTTAGGGCCTGTTGCAGTCAGACATCCGCGACCGACCTTACTGTACCCACCACACTGGGTTCGCTTCTCACTTCCTGTCAGTGCTTACCAAAAGGCGGTCATCGTGGCGCAGCTCCCAGACTTGCAGCTTCCAGCAAGGCTGTGTTCCTGGCGGTCCAACTGGAGCGCTCGATCTTCGTTGCACGGTCTCCACGCCAGACTTGGTCCGCCGCTGTCCCACTGAAACTGAATGGGCGGTGACACGAGCCAGGCGGCCCCCAGCAGCATGCATGGATATGATGCCGGAATGGTTGGGGACATGGCTGGAATTTTGAGGCCCTCCAGTACTTATGCGGCTGCCAATACCAATGCGCCCTCTCCGTTTGCCATATACCTCGCCGAAGACGAGTCCTTGCAGGCTGGAAACCAGCAAGACCAGGAACCAGATGCTCTGATGGATGCTGTTTTGAGGCTGTTCTCGTTGGACGAGAGTGATCCGCTGGCAAATGGAGGGGATGAGGATGAGGAGGAGGATGTACTGGTGGATTTGGCGGACCAGCAGCTGAGGACTGACCGCTTGAGGGGCATCACGTTGTCTTTGGACCAGCTATGGTGGTCTGGTCAAGTATACATGGCAGCAGCGGCGGAAAAGCTTGCAGATGGAAGCAGAGATTGTAAGTTGTATTCCTTATCAGTCAAGGGAGTTTTGCGGTCCGTATTGGATCTAGATGACCTGTCTGGCGCTTTCTAATTCCAAGAAATGATTGCCCTCGTCCACACACTAACTCTTGCTTATAGACCGCTGGAGGATACCAATGGGAAACTCCGGTCTCGTGGACGCCTTCTTGATGATAGTGGCCACAGAAGGCATTCAAAATTCCCTCATGATCCATGTTTTAAGGTTAATCGGAAACACGTGTGCGGACACAGGTATGTGACACTAAAACCCCTACACTCCCTTGCTAACTAATACTCTTAAGATGAGAATAGAGCAAGGGTTGTCTCAAGAGGCTCCTTGCAAGCGATAATAGCGTTGCTCAAAGATAAAAGCCTTGTTCCCTTCGTGGCGCCAGTGCTATTTAATATATGCTTTGATTATGGTATGTGGTTGTCTAACCTCTACCTATATCTTGCTAAGTCGTATTAGGACCTGCACAAAAACAAGCATCAGAATTCAACCTGAGCAAAGCTCTCGTCCAGTTTATCTCGGATCCATATTTCGAAGAACACAGGCCATTTTTAGGCTATGCGTGTAAACTTCTAGACATGGTAGTCGTACAACGTAAGACAAGTCTCCCCTATTGGATATAAACATTGCTAACCCAAAAAGCCAATGAACCTTCACTCGCGCCTGAAAACACGGTTGAGGTTCTGTTGAATCTAGCTGTATCAGGGAAGTCACCTCTAGACCTGGAAGACTTTATTAGCGTTGTTAGCTCAGCTACGAAATACCTCCAACATGCTCGCTTCCAAGTCGCGCTGTGCAATTCAATGGCATTATATGCGGCCCTTAGGCTAGTACTTTTATCTTATACCCGGCTTGAGGATAGTATGGGCGAAGCGGCCGCCCCAGATGAAGAAGACACCAATCGTCTCGCTGTATGGAGGACTGAGATGAATCAGGTCCTCTCAGACATATCGGCACTGCCCGAATTCGCTGCGAGGTGCCCCGTAAACTCGACCATGTCTAGCTACTTAAGGAAATGGCTGTCGTCGCCGCAACTCCAACTGCAAGTCTGCGCTTGCATAATGCTCGGCAACCTCGCACGCTCAGACGAAGTATGCGAGGAGTTTGTCCAAAAGAGCCGCATCCACAAACCCCTAATGGACATCCTCACCACAGCAACCGACTCCCAAGTCCTCTACGCCGCCATCGGCTTTCTCAAAAACCTCGCCCTCCCCGCCCGCAACAAGGTCGAGCTAGGCAACGCCGACCTCATCGAGATCCTACCCCGCCTCTGGGCCATGGACACGCTACCCCAGATCCAATACTCTGCGATCAGCCTAGCGCGCCAACTCCTGATCGGCAACTTCGCCAACGTCCTTCGCATCTCCGCCCCCCTCTCCGCCGACCCGGACTCCCCTGCCAACGAGAAATCCCGCCTCTCAGTCCTCATCTCCATCTTCGGGCGCAGCGACGCCGAGCCCGTGCGTATGGAGATTGCTCGCGCCCTCGCCGCCGTATGTCGCGTGCTCGCCGCGCGCACACCTGCGCCTGGCACCGACGCAGTGACCCTCCAGACGCGGCGCCGTGAGCTCTTCGAGCGTCACCGTGATATCGGAACGCCTCTTAGCTTCCTGGTGTCGCAGACTAAGTGGCCCGTCGTGCGCAGTGAGGGTTGGTTTGTGCTGGCGCTGCTGGCGCGCACAGAGGAGGGCGTTCAGTGCGTGGCGGATATTATGCATGAGATTGATGTGTTTACGCCGCTGATGGATCTCATGACGGGTAAGACCTTTATTGAGCGCATGTCCTCGCCTATGACTTCGCCAACGCCAACGGAGGCGACGAGCTTGTTGCTTGCGGAGTTGATGGCTGCGAAGTCGGACGGTGCGGGTGCGACTGCGGGAGGAGCTGCGCCGACAGGTACCATGAGGGAGGCGGAAATGGCGAGGATTGATCGCGAAAATGCGCTTGTGCTTGTTAGCGAGCTGTTGCGGCGACGGGGGTCGACGATGGCGTTTATGCGGCGCATTGCGTTTGAAGAACTCCTGCAGGACGGTGGGAGCTTGCATGTCGAAAATCTAGCGGCAGAGGCAGCGCTGCCGCCGCCGGTGCCGTTGACGCAGACAAGTAGCGAAAGTTCATTTATGATGGATAGTGTGATTGGTGATGGCAACCATGAGATGTTTAACTGAGTGGTAGTGTGGAGGGTGGTAGTTTGGGCTATGTGCCTGGATGGTGGGATGACTGGGATAGATAAAAGGAGAAAAGAGGTTTACTTTAACGGGTATAATTGGGCACTCGACACTTACCGTGGATTTCTTCACAAGATTAGAAATTGAAAAATAAACACAATTCTCAGAGCTATGATCTAGGACCATTCCAGCCAGTGGAACCAGATACGGTGGAATTCATGTTTTTGATTTCCCCGCCCTTCCTCGCTATATGCCACATATTGCCAATAGATTGATATCCCACACAACCTCCAAGCGCCAAACCCCAGCAATCCTAACATATAAACAGGCATTATTCCTCATCACTGCTATCCACCACAAACCCACCAAATGCCCTCCCTCTTGGCCGCCGCGGAGCAGGTATGTCCTCATCATCGTCATCATCAAGATCCACCATCCCAACGTCCTTCCCGCCAGCCGCGGGACTCCCCTCTCTACTCTCAACATCCTTGGTATCAAGCCTCGCCCGCTTCGCCACTGAAGGCCGTGTATGCGGACTCGACAGCGGCGTTTCAGTCCCTATCTCCTCTCCCGACTCTACATCGACTGATCTCTTCCGACTCCCACTAGACGGCGGACTCATAGCCACCACAGCATCCTCATCACTATCGCTCTCGTTCCCGGCAACCACGACCCGCACCTTAGGCTTCCTCTTCTCCACCCCGCTTGCCGGTGTGCCTATCGCCTCCGCGACCAACAGTCCCCTCCTTACTTTCGCCCTCGTCCTCTCCTCCTCAGCGAAGAACGCCTCGTCGCGCTCAGCATCACTCTCATCATCGCTATCATGTACAAACAGCTCGCTCTTGATCCTCCGCTGCTTCTCGAGGTCCTTCGCGCGGCGTGCTCGGTCCCTAGCCGCCAATTGCTCCTCGTCAAGCGCGTCGTCCTCGGTCCCACTGCGTCGGCGCTTCCGTCGCGTCTTCTTCAGCGCGGCGAAGGCATTGGATTTACTCATCGGTGTGGGTCCTCCGGCAGGGAAGAGTATTTCGGCATCGTCATCATCTATGCCGTTGTCTGATTCATCGTCAAAGGCTGCACGTCGTCTATTTTGGGCGGCAGAGACGCGCCGGATCTGCGCTTCCGCGTTGTACCCATTTTCAAAGGTAGGGGGATCAAACTCTGCGGCCTTGATTAGGGTGAGCGCTTCTTTGAGCTGGGCGGAGGAAAGGTCGGAGGGCACAACCCAGGGGGTGTCGATGTCGTTTTTGTCACCGATGTGGCGAAGGCCGACGAGCGTCATTAGAAGGCGGAGGTAGCCATTCTTAAGCATGGCTGTCTTGCAAGTGGCATCGCTGGGTTTGGCAACTGTGTCTGTTAGAAGTGTTGGATATATGGTTTGTTAGGGGGTATATTACCTATTGATGGGGCTTTAGGGGGGTCTGCAGGCACGAGTGGGGTTTCGCCAGCATCGGTTTCGACGGACTGGATGGGCTTGTTCGCCCCCTCCCAGCTTCTGCGCTCTATCTCTGCATACGATAGTTGAGATTTGAGACACTCTAAAAGGTGACCCTCGTTACGGTCTAGCAACGCGCCAACAACAACGCCAATCTGCTGCTCCCACTCAAACCCAGGTTTGACTTCCAGCTCCGCTGCCGCCCGAGCCTTGCTCTCAATGGTTTGCGTCTCATATCCATACTGGAAGAAGTTGGCAGTGTATGTTGTCTTCGAAAACAACATCTCGACAATAAGCTCGGGGTGTTCCTGGATCTTCTTCACACACTTCCGGAGAATGTGCCTCACTAGCTGGTCCCATTCCTTGAAAGTTTTCGAAGCTGGATCAAGCCCTCCGGGTCCTTTGATAATCTTGTGCAGGAGATGGATAATGTCGACTCTGAAGAGCATGATGCTCATGTCCATCTTAAAGGCCACACGGTACAAAAAACGATGGGCCCTCTTCATCTGTTCTGGTTTTAACTCTTGGTAATAAGACGCCAATGTGACAAACGTGTCTATACAACCCTGGGTCAGAAATCTAGACGAGAAGCGCTTGAAGTCGAATTTTCTTTCCCTAGATACCCGCTCCGCCTGAGCGTCATCATTGTCTGAGCCGTCGATTATTTCGTCGTCCGCGTCATCCTCTCCGGCGTCTATTGCCGCCTTCTTTTTCCTGCGGACTCGCCTCCGTGACCGTACCTGCAAGTCGGTATTTTGCTTCGAGTAATTTTCGAGGATGCGAATATAGACATGAGCCAGCTCAGTAGCGGCATCAAGATATCCGAATCCCTGATCTTTGAAAGTACGGATGATATTAGCAACCCGATCATGTGTTGTTTCTTCGTAAAATATACGAGCCAGGATATTCTCTGCAATCTCCTGGTCCTCGTCGAGCTTTGACTCGGACATTTCTTGGACAGTCAGCAGGATCTGCGTAAAGCATTTCATCGAAGCTTTTAGGTCGTCCCATGATTTATCCCCAAAATCCTTTTCCATTGCACGGTTCAAGGTGATAAACATCTCTTGGTTGAGGACGCCAGCCACGAGCCCAAAGCTGTCATCGGTGTCTTTATCTGCTGCCTTCTTACTTTTCTGCGACTTCTTCGACTGTCGTCGCACGCGTTCGGCTTCCAGGAACCATGAGACAAGGTAAAAGAACTGGCGTGGGTGGTATTCGAGGATGCGCTCCGCCTGTCGATCAATTGCCTTTCGTACATTCTGGAAGAGCGGATTGAACCCTGAGTCAAGGAAATCTTTCACGAATGTTTTGAGGTTATTGCTGGCTCGCTGGCTAAGTTTCTCTGGAGCATCAAAATCCATGGGCCCCTTTACTTCCCTTGGTGCGCGCGTTGGCGGTTTGAACTTCTTATTCTTATCCATCTTGTCAAGACTCCGGGCGGTGTTCAATAGGGCATCCTGGCCAATGACCGTAGACATCTTTCCGTCGTCCCGTTTAACCCACAACATTGTGCCAAATCTACTGTGTCTTGTCGGGGCTGTCCTCGCATTTGCTCTCCTCATCCCCGCTTCCTGAGTGAGTAACTTCGCCAGCTCGTCGTCCTTGTGGTTGTCTAACTGCTTCTCGTTCATGAACAAGGTTTCAATGTCTACGCCTTTGATTAAATGAAAGAGTATTTCCATAACGACGACGTCCTGGGTATTGAAATCCTCCCCCATAGATGAGCAGAGCGCTAGAAGCAGATGGAGAATATCCTGGTAATCGAATGCGTCGATTATTGCTGACCGCGAGATTTCTATTTCATCTCCATCGTATTGGACGCCCGGGGGGGGGGCTATCATGGTGATATTCCGTAGTAGATAGAGGACCATTCTGATCACATTCTCATCTCGGGTGCTGCGATCTTTCAAAGCGACGGCCATGGAAGGTAACGCAACCCGGGTTACGGTATGTAGAATCCGCGCCCCATCGTAGTTGACTATCGAGCGCTTGTAGCCCAATTGAGCGAGTTGGAGGAACGGAATATGGCGATGGTGATTCACCGTCATCTCAACCCCCTTATCCAACGGCCACGTCAACGGTACGAGAAGTTCCACGCATGCGAGCGCTATCCGCGACTTTATCTTGTTGTCGGTTTCGTTTTCGGGCCAAGCTGCCAGGATCTGGAGCAGGTCGCCGCCCACCAAGTTCAACTCTGCGAGACATCGTGCCACATCCAGTCGATTCGCCTTTTCGTCATATAGCTTCAACCATCGTTTTATATCCCGCAAACAGGCAAGAGCATCATCTCCTAGCACATAGCGTCCATCCTCGTCCGAACCGCTGCCGCCAAGCTGCAAAGCCTATTAGTGAAAGCTATGGTGGGCGGAATGCGTATAAACATACCGCTGTAACAAGACTGGAGACGTAAGCCTGAACTTCAGGATCTACGACCGCCTTTGAGCCGTCGGCCAACTCCATTGCTGGGTTTATTCGTTGAATTATCACGACCCTCACATTTCTGATGCTCTTTACGCGTATCCGAATTGGGTAGACGCGACGTGAACGCGGGGCGGCTTATCGGAGAAACTTAGGCGCCGACATCGGATAAACCTTGCGGGAACAGACCTCAGGATCACGGGTAGCCTCGGAGGAGGGTAACTGCCTATGATATCAATTCTTGGTTTTCAGCTTCATTCCCCAAAATTTCCTTCAACGTTAGCACTATTGTTTGTGCATCTTAATTACTATGGCCACAGCACTTCTCAGACGGCAATTGCTGCAATCCAGCAGCCATGCAAGGACTTTCAGCTCGAGTCCTATCGTTGCTGCCGGCTCCGTTAAGAAGCTCGGTGTAATTGGGGCCGGACAGATGGTAAACACGCTACAAGACCAACTTGCGCTTTCCATTACTGACTTCCATAACAGGGTCTGGGAATAGCCCTTGTTGCTGCCCGAAACGCTGGTGTCCCAGTGACTCTCCTTGATACTTCCCAGGCTTCAATTGACAAAGGCCTCAAGTTCGCTGGCATGTGACTGTCCCTCCCAAACACAGGACGCCCTCTAACTTTACCACTCCTGCAGATAAACTCCTTGCCAAAGATGTCGCCAAAGAGCGCATTTCCCAGTCAGATGCCGACCTTATTCGCAGCCGTCTCACCTCGACTACCAACATGGACGACCTCTCATCGGTCGACTTCGTCATCGAAGCCGTGCCCGAGATCCCATCCCTAAAGTTCGACATCTTCTCTCGCCTTGGCCAAATCGCCCCGGCGCACGCGATCCTGGCCACCAACACCTCATCCATCTCTATCACGCGCATCGCAGCGGCCACGACCCAGGACCCAACCAACACCTCGGTGTCATCGCGCGTTGTCGCAACGCACTTTATGAACCCCGTCCCCATCCAGAAGGGTGTCGAAATCATCTCTGGACTCCAGACCAGCCAGGAGACTCTGGATACCGCAGTTGAATTCTGCAAGGCAATGGGAAAGATCCCATCTGTGTCGGCTGACAGGCCTGGTTTCCTCGCAAACCGCATCCTGATGCCATATATCAACGAAGCTATCATCTGCCTCGAAACCGGCGTCGGCCAGCGTGACGATATTGATGCCATTATGAAGAACGGCACCGGTGTTCCCATGGGTCCGCTTCAGCTTGCGGACTTCATTGGCATTGACACCTGTCTCGCAATTATGAAGGTGCTGTATGAGGATACTGGAGACTCGAAATACAGGCCTAGCGTTCTGCTGAAGGGCATGGTGGATGCTGGGTGGCTCGGAAAGAAGAGCGGGAAGGGGTGAGTTTGAATTCTCAAAATACAAAATCCAAGTACTGACAATGTTTTAGCTTCTACGACTATTAAATAAAACGTGGGCGTGGACGGAACGGCAGGAGCCACAGTGTATAACACTATATATAACAACATTAACCTTTCGAAGATCGCCGACGTAACCAGCGGGTCTAATCCGTTAAGAGCCAAACATATAAACGGTAGAAATCAGTTCGTCGTGACAGAAATTGAGAGCATCGGCACCCCAAACAAAAAAAATGTTGGACAGGGTAATGTGTTGTGATATGTACTTTCGTAAAACGTTTAAAAAAGTGACAGAGAAGAGGAAGAAGCACTGCGACAGAAGGCAGACAAAGCGAATCGTAAACGCCAATTCCTGGTTGATATCCCCCAATTCAGCCTTGTCTCATATCCCAAAACCCTCTCCTCATTCATAACCCAAACATTCGTAATAGCAAACATGATCATAAAAAAAGCAGTATCCGATTCGACCCGTTTCCCAAATTTCCTCAATTGGGTACCTTTTTTTTCGTTTGTCCATGTCTCCGTTGCCGCCGATCATAATTTTGCCGTTAAAACTACACTTTGCGTGGCGGGACGAGGGGATGGACCCGAAGGACCGGGGCCGGACACTCGGGCCGCCGAACCGCAACTATTGCCCGTCGTAGGAGCCCGACATGCTGTATGTCCGCTTGCGCCGCTTCATAGAGTTCAAGTCGTACTCGTCTTGACGGAGGTAGTGCGCCGTCTCTTGCTGTTGAGCCTGCGGCTGGTCCTGCGAGTCTTCCAGGCCTACTCCCTGGTGCTGTCTGCCCAGTTACTTTGCTCTGTCGCCGCTGGACGACCTGGACTCATGCTCTGCGAATATGCGGCAGCAAAGTCCGTTGCTTGCGCCATGGGCGCACTGAGCTGTGAAAGGTGGTATTCCCGAGGTCCAGCGTCGACTGGAGTCCTGGGGATGTGGAACTCGGTGGGAGCCATAAGGGGAGCGCTCTGGAAGCCGCCACTACTGAAGGCACTAGCAAATGTAGCCGCGCGGGCAGTGGCGGGGATGGGTTGGTTAGGGCTCTGTGAAGAGACTGAGCGGTATTGGCTGCGGAGATCAAGGCCGGATGGGAAGGTTGCTGGGGAAGCTCGGTAGCGGGAGACAGGCGGTGTGGAGGGTTGGGTATTGGCTGAATGAGATGTCGGGTATGTGAGGTGAGTTGGAGATGTGTGGATATTGGAGTCTATAGCAATGTTAGTGATGTACAATGTAGAATAAATCGCAAATACTTACTTGGATATGTAGGGTTACCGTATTGCTGCTGCTGGTTAACTCCATTCCCTCCTGGTTGGTCGCCTTGGTATATTGATGCCTGTCGCCCATTAATGGACGGGCTCTGGGGACCTGGTGGTGGGTAGCTTGCATAATCTATAGAATCTCCCTTCCACAACATGCTAGAGCGTAGAGGTGATTGTAGTGACTCCGACCTAGATCTGGATATTGTCTCTCGTAGTTGCAATGGCTGTAACGGCCGGGCTCCTTGTCTGCTGGACGCCTGCATACCGTAGCCGTCCATACTGTTATGACGATTATACACAGTTGAATTTCGAGCTCCTGTGCCTCCTGGGTTTGCCAAGTGGTTTGAGTAGTATCTATCACCACCAAGAGAAAGAGGTGAGAGCATATCAGGCGAGCCTATTGAGCCCTGGGAGGCAAATCCAACATGGCCAAATGCGGGACTGAGGCCCGTTGGCGAGAGATGCTCCTCGTGTTCTTGGCGTCTCATAGTATCAACCATCAACGGGCGCATTCCCATGCCTAGATCTCCGTAGTTCTGAGAATAGTCTACAGGCTGCAATGGAGTGCCAATACCGTGCACGGCACCGTAGGGTGAGTGAAGTGCCTGCACATTATCAAAGTCATCGGGGACGGTCCTCATATTCATCATCCTCTCCCGGTCATCGGCTGTGAGACGCTTGATTTTTGCACGTCTTCGGATTGTCAGTTACGATCTACCTTTAGAGAGGGATTGCATACCTGTTCTGAAACCAAACCTGGACCTGCCTGGGGCTTAGGCCGGGGATCTCTCGTGAGAGACGCTCCCGATGAGCCCCATCCGGATGGGCTTGCTTTGCAAATTCGCTCATCAAGAATCGAGTTTGCTGGTGTGTAAGTCTTTGAAAGTTAAGTTAGCACCAATTAATCTACCCCATAATTTGGAGCCTGTGCACACCTAAATCGTTTCATCTTCCTCCGTTCCGTTCTACGTTTGGCCTCTGTTTGTGGAGGCCTACCTTCTCCAACTGCCTCTTCACCATCAAGCATATCGTCGTCATCATCATCGTCATCTTCTTCTCCCTTAACCTCGCCTTGGCCGAGATTTTCTGCTGGTGGGCCAGAAACCTCCGTCTTTACTTCCAGCGTGGGGCTCGACTTTGAGTTAGCAGGAAGTTCGGGTAGGTTCGCCGGCTCTAGGAGCCTAAAGCCATCCTGCTTCAGGACATTGACAGGAGGAGCAGAATCTGGGCGCTCAGTTGGTGGGTTTGAAAATGATTCTTCCCTGTCCCCAACTTGAGCCAGGCTGTGCCGATGTGACAGAGGAGGGCGTGCTGCAAAGAGCTCGTTGGTAATAGGCGCATCCACATGATGCGAGGTTATTGGTTGTTCAAATGGAGGTGATAGAACAGTCTCGGTGGATGGAAGGTATTGAGAATACGCATCCCGCCAGTCCGGCTGCGTTGTCAATGGCTCAAGGTTCGACATGCGTGAAGCCGTCGGTTGGTAAGGGCTCCCAAGCTTGTTAGAGGACCAAGTGTGCCGTACAGTATCGCATTGCCGGGTGACAAGCATTGGGTTGGTTATCTGAGGGCTTGAAGTTGTGTTATTCCGAGAGGGCTTCGAAAGAGCTAATTCGAACAGCTGGCCGAGGTCTAGCTGGAAAGGACGGGAAATCTGTCGCTGTGCCGGGTGATGAACGAAAGTGAGGGCCTCAACAAACGACTCCTGTTGACCGAGCAAAATGATGGCGGAATAAACGCTTCTCAGCCACGCGCCTGTGGATTAATGGCGATTGAACGAACTTTTCGACTGGACCAGCCAAATATTGTCCTCAGAATAGGGATGAGCTCAATCGAATATGCCGATCTTCGTGCGTCAGACGCGGTTGATCAGCTCATCAACAAAGCCTAAAAGTAGTGCTTCGTAATTTGATAATGAGATATCAGGAAACCCCCAGAACCTTTTCCGCTTACCAAGCTAACTCCTGGCAGCTAGGGCGATCAGATATTGACTTTGAAATCTTTGCTGTTTGCTTGCTCGATGCGGCACAGATTCCTTGATATGGTGGAAATGGATTCCTCAAGTATCAAGTAAGATACAAGTCCATAGGATATCGTAGCCGAGCTGGTGTATATGTATATGTCCGTAGTTCTGCTGTTTAGGTTTAAGGATGCTCGAAGATCTATTCGAATAGTTGGCGGGGTTTGACGACTACACAGGTTTGATCGACGAATTGCCTGATGTTATATTGGAAGCACAAAGGATAGATATGATGTTGAGTCTGGGGATCACCGCAACATGATCAGGCGAGCTAAGAATTGTAGATGCTTGAGGGTAAGGACAAAATCCCGGTCCCTTGTTGAACGAGTCCCTAAATGGATACTTAGTCCTGACAAGAGGGGCTCTGGCCAAAGACTGCGAGGTGAAGCGCTGGATCAAAAGTTACAAAACCATGCCTGAATGGCTATGGGCAAGTGTGGCTTGAAGTAGAAGCGGCAATAGATGTGCACGGGCTCGCCTCAAGTGCCCTTTGGAATGGGCGGGAGAGGGGGAACACTGGTAAGATCATCAAAGATGCGAGAGCCTAAAGGAAGGAAAAACCTCGTCCGCGTCCAAGTCACCGAGGAATCTCCACATATTAATGCTTGGAGGTTGATGGCCGCTGGACGACGGATGGTGGCGGTGGTGGGGGAATGTGGTGGAAAATGGAGGTTGGAAGGGGTAATGATGGGACCCGAAGGAGGGGAGGCTGGTACTACAAGCTCATGGTAGACATGTACCTTGTCGACTCTATCGAGAGTTGTGCAGGAGAAAAAGGCTAAGTTGAATGTGGCCTGGGGTGAGGGGGAGCTGGGAGGGGCAGTGATGGTATCGGCGCTGGTATCCGATAATCCCTAGAGTAGGTGAAGGGTTGGATAAGACCGAGTGGCGTAGCTGGGCGCCGAGCAAGGTAGTGGGCTGGATACACGTCGCGCTCCGGGTTAGTCGCCGACGGTAGCAGCATCGAGGGTATCGATGGTAGCGACGGTAACGACGGTAGAGAGAAGCTAGCCGCTGGCGGTAGAAGGTCTCCAGTCGCAGGAAGGCCACGGTCTAAAGAAGCTGATGGACGAGCGGAGGGATCGTCGAGGTCTATGAGCCGTAGCCCAAAAGTAAGAAAGAAAGTACCCACTTGGAGTTGACTGGGATCGAGCGTGGATCATTAGCTCCCTCGACGGGGTCTAGAGTTGCAAGGCATGGATGAATGTATGTACTGTATGGAGATGTACATGCAGGTTTTCAATCCACTCCATCAGCAAGGCCGAGCAGTATATGAGAAAGAACCGAGAGAGAGGTTGAATGGCTTGACACATAACCGTTGCTGTGAACTGGGCGGCTAACTTGAGATTCTGGTCTCAGAGACACAGCTCAGAGTGGTCCCTGAGAACGCGACAACCTTGCCATCCACCAGCTCCCCACCAACCAAAATCTGGTAGACATTGCCAGCCAGTCCCCTTCTCTTCGACGTGGCATGGCATGTCGCTAGTGGACCCATCCCCCACATCCTCCCGTCACTCCATACCATGGTAGAGAGACAATTCGCTCCGCAGACGTGGAGAGGGGTAGTACCGCACCTTAAGGACGCCACAAACGTATAGCTCAGTAACGACGTCTCAAATATGGTCCGAGGTTGGAAAGCATGCCGCAGCTACTGTAATGGGACAGTAGCACATTCGACGGCGCCACGCCAGTCGTGCAAAGGCTTCTTCTTTCTTCCTCTGGGGATGAGGGCCTGGCAGTCTAGGACAAGGCGGGGGGGGTAGAAGGCAAGGGAGAGGGTGAGAGGGTACTTGCTTCAACGGCGCCAATTGTGTGGAACCTTCCGTGGCATGATCTATCCATACCTTGCTTCTCTTTCCATTCTATGCTGAAAAAAGAAGGGTTGGAGGCTTGTAGACATGGCCGCCTGTACGTGCAGGGGAAGGGTTATATCAGCCGGAGTTTCGCATGTGCAGAGTCGTCGTTGGTCGCGTCGAGAATTCGTGCTTGCAAACGTTCAGGCCTCCATGGAAGCAAGGCAGCCAGATTAGCAAAAGTGGGGTTGATGACAGGCACTCCCTGTCATTTTTCGGATGTGAGGGACGGCGGTTGTCAGTCTCTCCCTGTGTGAGGAGTGCTGGCGGGTATAATCGTGGCAGATATCAAATGTGTAGAAGACTTGTCTCTGGCCGTCTTCTGTATTGATATGGTTGGTATGTACTACCAAGGTGATTGCACATGAAGAATAGATTGTATGCTTCTCTTCGCTTCGGAGCTTCTGTTGCTTCTAGTGTCAGGCCGGGAGGCTTATTCGCCGATTTTCAACCGTGGTAGTAGCTTCAGCATCCGGTTTAGTCGCGTGGATTTGGGTGCGGCATCCCTGCCGCGCCGTTTGAAATTCACTTCTGGCTGCGGTAGGCCGTCCTTAGATATGCATACCGTACACATTTTCTTGCCTGCCGGCGACATTAATGTGTTGTGCAGCACATCCCGCAGTACAGGCCTTTCATGGTCCATATGTGTCTCTTTCGTCCTACACTTCTGCACCACGGCATAGTCGAGGGGTTAGCGTTAAGGCCCTGGCAAGGGACACGACCAATCGCAATAACAACGCCCAAGCACGTATCACGTGCTTGTTGCCAACGGTGGCCTCGGTAAGAGGGGTTTTAGGAGTCGTTCACTCATTTGTAGAGTGCTCTCCTGTGATCGCTTGTGCTCTAGTGTGCTCTGTTGTGCTCTGTTGTATTCTCGGGGTGACAATGTTGTGGACAACAGTGATTCAAACCCGCTGTCTTTCGATGTGCTGTAGAATCAAAAGTGTACTCTTGCGTGGTGCTCGGCTACACAATTGCGCGTCGGATCAACATGGCTCCTCCACTCCAAGCCAAGGGTAGAAGAAGGGGCCTCTCTGAGTGGCTCGTCCCTCTCTTCGTCGCGTCAGCTTGTCCCTGTGTACCATGCACATTGTTGTGAAGAAAGATCAGGAATTCCATGAGGAGTGGCCTCTGTCTTACTGTACTCCCCCTCCAACCCACTCATTCACTCGGCTCTGCAAGGCTGAAACCTTCCGGAGAAAGCCCGTCGCATAACAAGCGGCATGCCAACACGCTCGAGACGGCCTCCGGGCGCTCTTTTGTGGCCGCAAAGCGCCGTCCTTCGTCCTCCTCCATCATCTCGCAAATCAAAAATACTTGGGAGCATATACAAGAGGTAAGAGTATTCTATTATCATATTACAATACTAATAACCATCTAGGTTATGTAAGACCGTAATCTATTACAGTCGAGTCGCGATAAGTCGATACTCGGTGTTCCACCCACTCGCTTTGCTCGTAGGTGGCGACAGCGATCTGTGCACGCGACAGCGATATGTGCAACACACAAAATGAAAGAAATAAGCCTCATATAGCAACTATGTAACTATATAATTAAATAATAAAATCAATAGAGCTACTATCACTATCTCCACTACTACTGTCGCTACTAATCTCAATGTTACTATCACTATGATCCTTACCATACCGTAAAATTATCACTTTGGATTTTAACCCAACCTTCTTCCACTCTGCTACCCTCTTCCTCTCAACCCTTCGCTCTTCGATTTCAATTTTCTGTTGTTGCACCTGTAGCTGCTTTACTACTTGCTTTGATTCCTTTGCTACTCTTGCCTCTGCCTTTGCTTGTAATTTTGCTTCCTTCTCCTCACGTAACAGTCGGGCGTCTGATGCATATAACTGCCCCCCCTTCTGTAGCGATTTCCATGCCCTTGCCTTTGCTGTTTTCTGCTCTGCTGACCGTAAGGTAACAATGTCAAGCTCGGTCTTATAGAGCTCAGCCCGATGTAAAACAACTGTAGTTCCACATGCAAATGATTGAAACCCTTCTCTTGACGGTGATGAGAAAGCTGCCTCTACTCTCTTCTGCCAATGTTTAACTGCCTGTATAGTTTGCACACTAGTTTTTGGAGTTGAGATACGGTCGTACGAAGCAAATGGCTCATAGTCTGGTGTTTGATTCCGGGTCTCTTGTATTTTATCAATTACTAGTGGAGGATTATATGGATATAGTCGTGCATTTCTCCAGCCTGATTGAATTGTCCGGACAGTTAAGGATTGCCGTCGGATTTGTGGAAGGTCGGTAAGGAACGTACGTAGCTTATACTCATAGTCATAGCTACGTACTGCTTGATCAAGTGCCTTTTGATGGAAGTGTTCTTAAAAACTGCTACATCAAGAGGTTGTAGTAGATGCGTAGTATGAGCAGGAAGGCAGCAAATAACAACGTTATGCTCTTCTGCTAATGTGAGAAAGTGCTCCATTTTATGAGAGTCATGGCCGTCGAGTAATAGGAGGCGGGTGTCGTCTGGTGCCTGTCATACTGACATTTGTTGCACTCAGTTTGCTATCAAACTAAAGAGCAAACTTGGAAATCTCCTCCTCAAACCTACAAGTCACTATACATATTTTG